CTAGGGCCCATCTCTCTTTCCTTCTTGCATGATATCCAGTAGTCTTCTTCGTTTTCAATTCCTTTCTCCTCCACCTTTTTCTTCGCCTCCTCTTCCTGGATTGAAAGTTACTCGGAGCAGGCAGCGACATCAAGCCTGTAAGGATGGGGAGGGAGGAGGACGCGAACGTTTCCAGCATCTTCTCCAGTCCGTTGCGATTCAGCCCCCCTAGCAGGCGAGAGAGGCGGAGCAGCGAAGGTACTTTCCTCATCCCTTTCCTCTTCTCCCTCCTGCTGCTCCTCTTCCCCTTCTCTCTCCCTCTCTCTCTCTGCCCTTGTCTCCCCCCTGTCACTCTCACTCTCACTCTCACTCTCGCGCTCCTCCTCCCCTTCTCTTTCTCCCTTCTCCCCCTCCTCTTTGCCACGGCTCGTGGTGTAACTCCCGGAGCAGAAGGGAAGCCGCTCGGAGCGGTCTCCTCCCCTGAGGTCCAGCGGTTCTCAAGGTTCCTCTCAGACAAGGAAGTCCTCTCCTCCTCCTCTACGAGTGAGCGCAGGCAATCTGATTCCTCCACTCACTCGCCTTGTGCTAGCAGGACGTGAAGGTGAAGGTCCCAGGAGGTAGACTGGAAGGCTGAGGCAAGGTAGGACGGCTAGGGGGAGAGTCCGGGAGCGTGCAGAATGAGGGAGTAAAGGAAGACGAGGAGGAGGAGGAGGAGGGAGCCAGGGGAGGTCGAAGAGAGGAGGTGAAAGAGTAAGCGGCATGTCATTAAATTAATCATTCACAAGCATCATATCAATAAACAATCGTATTCACATCTCTCTCCCTCCTCAGGTCGCCCCGGTGCTCCCCAGCGGCCCCCCGAGCAGGTCGCACAGCAAGTGGATGTTGGCGACGTACCCAGGGGCCTGCTGAGGCCCGAGCCCGTTGGGCCCACCGTCGGCCGAAGGCACTCCAGTAGGAAGAGGAAGAGACACTGGGGCCCTCCCCTGCCGCTGCTCGTCAGCTCCAGCTGGGCAGGACGAGAGGAGGATTACCTTGTCGTTGCCCGGTAGGTTCCGGTCAGACCCGACGGAGAGGATGCCGCGGTTGTCGAGGGAGTGTGCCCTGAGGGAAAGTGAGGAGGAGCAGCAAAACGAGAGGACGAAGGGGGTTGAGAAAGAACAGAGAAGAGCAGGCAGACAGAGCTCCTGACTGACTGACTGACTGACTTACTTACTGACTGACTGACACAAGAGAGAGGGAGAGAGAGGACAGAAGGAGAAGGGAAGGACGGAAGGGGAGAACAAGGAAAGAGAAGGATGGTAACAGGGGATCGCAACCTGAACTGTGAGGAGAACGATCCGTCCGATGCCGACAGGCCGCCGCCATGGGAGCCAGAACCGTGGATGGAGCTGAAGGGTGGGCGCATGAAGCTCATGGGGTGAGGGAGCCCTTGGCCAGGAGGCAGCTGAGCAGGGTTGGCGTATCCTCTGAAGGGCTGCAAGGATGGAAACGGATCCATCTGCCGACTCGCGCTCGCTCCTGCCATGCTCCCTCCCCCGTAGCCGCCGGAAAGGGAAGCCGCTCGGAGCGGTCTCCTCCCCTGAGGTCCAGCGGTTCTCAAGGTTCCTCTCAGACAAGGAAGTCCTCTCCTCCTCCTCTACGAGTGAGCGCAGGCAATCTGATTCCTCCACTCACTCGCCTTGTGCTAGCAGGACGTGAAGGTGAAGGTCCCAGGAGGTAGACTGGAAGGCTGAGGCAAGGTAGGACGGCTAGGGGGAGAGTCCGGGAGCGTGCAGAATGAGGGAGTAAAGGAAGACGAGGAGGAGGAGGAGGAGGGAGCCAGGGGAGGTCGAAGAGAGGAGGTGAAAGAGTAAGCGGCATGTCATTAAATTAATCATTCACAAGCATCATATCAATAAACAATCGTATTCACATCTCTCTCCCTCCTCAGGTCGCCCCGGTGCTCCCCAGCGGCCCCCCGAGCAGGTCGCACAGCAAGTGGATGTTGGCGACGTACCCAGGGGCCTGCTGAGGCCCGAGCCCGTTGGGCCCACCGTCGGCCGAAGGCACTCCAGTAGGAAGAGGAAGAGACACTGGGGCCCTCCCCTGCCGCTGCTCGTCAGCTCCAGCTGGGCAGGACGAGAGGAGGATTACCTTGTCGTTGCCCGGTAGGTTCCGGTCAGACCCGACGGAGAGGATGCCGCGGTTGTCGAGGGAGTGTGCCCTGAGGGAAAGTGAGGAGGAGCAGCAAAACGAGAGGACGAAGGGGGTTGAGAAAGAACAGAGAAGAGCAGGCAGACAGAGCTCCTGACTGACTGACTGACTGACTTACTTACTGACTGACTGACACAAGAGAGAGGGAGAGAGAGGACAGAAGGAGAAGGGAAGGACGGAAGGGGAGAACAAGGAAAGAGAAGGATGGTAACAGGGGATCGCAACCTGAACTGTGAGGAGAACGATCCGTCCGATGCCGACAGGCCGCCGCCATGGGAGCCAGAACCGTGGATGGAGCTGAAGGGTGGGCGCATGAAGCTCATGGGGTGAGGGAGCCCTTGGCCAGGAGGCAGCTGAGCAGGGTTGGCGTATCCTCTGAAGGGCTGCAAGGATGGAAACGGATCCATCTGCCGACTCGCGCTCGCTCCTGCCATGCTCCCTCCCCCGTAGCCGCCGGCATTTCCTGCCTGCCCTGCCATGATTCCTCCTCCCCCTGCCCCCTGCATCGCCTGCGGTATTCCGCTGCCAATCGCCCGATTCGCATCCCGAGCCCCCCAGCCCGGATGCTGCAGCAAAAGCAGCGTCACAAGAGCACGTGGGAGGGAGCAGGCTCACCTGAAGTCCAGCTGGAATCTGCTGTGGTGGCCAGTCTCCTCCCCCCTCGTCGTCGCTGCTCTCGCTGTCGAACCCTTCATTCGCGTTGTGCGCTGCTTGACTGTCGTGTGTCGCGACTTGTCCTGCGTGCTCGCTACGGTGCAGCTGAGCCGCCAGGTCCGACATGGCAGCGCTGCTGCGGTTGTTGCTGGGCGCTTGATGCATCTACGAGAGGAGCTGTGAGGAAGGAGCAGACAAAGAGAGCAGGGGAGGGGGTGCGGGGACAAGATTTACAAGTTGAAGTGCAACAGAGACATCGGAGGAGGAGGACAGCTCGCCAGCTGGTGGAGTGCTGAGGGAGAAGGAGACGGCAGGTTACCTGCATCTGATGCACGTTGAAACCCAGCGCAGAGCTCGAGACCTGCTGGGCGTTAGGGACGAGGCTGCAGGGAGGTTGACCGCCCTCACCGGCACTCCCGCACGAGCCGCCGGGAGCGGATATGAGGCGGCAGGGTGGAAGTTGCCTGTACCGGACCCGCCATTTTGTAGCCCAGTCATGACGGAGGAAAGAACTTTCTCGCGAACGTGCGCGGGGACTTTCTCCAAGCTAGCTCGCACCATGTTGGACAAGTGCTCGATGGAGAAGCTCTCCTCCCCAACAGCAGGCAGGGTCAGCCCTTGATCCAACAGTTTCCTGCCCTCCCCCCCAACGCCCTTCGACTTGTCCTCACCCTGCTCCACCCTCGCATCATGCACGAGTTGACGAGGAGCACCGTTGTCTCTGTGGATCATCGGAGGAAGATTCTCTTGCCATCCTGCAGAAAGGCTGGCCTGGCTCCCATCTTCCACCGACCTGGTCCTCGCATTTCTACCGTTCGCAGCACCTGCATCAGCACCGTCGAACGCATCCTGCTTGCGTTTCTTCCCCTTGCCCGCACCCTTGTCCTCCTTCCTCGATCTCTTGGGCGCCTGCCTGTCCTCGGGCGAAGCGTCTCTACCATCGAAGTCATCCTCCATGTCAGACTCCGGGCTGAGGCTGCCATCAATCTCGAAGATGCCATCGTTCATGGCCCGAGCTGGCGACTGGTCCGAGGTCGGCTGCACGTGCACCAGCTCTGAGTTCACAAGATATGTCGGGTTGAGCATCACCCTCAGCTTCAGGATCAGAACATTGATCGCTTCCATCCTCAGCATCGCCTGACTCTGCGGCGTCTGCCCGTACTCCATCATCTTCGAGTCGATCAGCGCCAGGGACTTGTTGGCACTCAGAAGCTTCCTGTGCGGCCATCGAATGATGCCGTGACGGCGACAAATCTTCTTGATCGCCGACATGCACAGTCCCAAACGATCGGCAGCCTGGTCAGCCGACATGTCGAAGTACTTCGCCAGCTCCTCGTAGAGCAGCGGTTTAGTTTGTGACCTGAACTCCCCCCGATACTGCTCCTCCACACGCACCCTCACCACCGATGTGTTGGGCTCCCGAGCTCGTATGTTCCCCTCCACAGCATTGCTGTCTCCCGACAGCATCTTGAGGTACGAATGGGCAAAGGTGTCCCCTTCCTCGAACGCTCGCATCGGGTAGTGCTTGCCCTTCTCCTCCGTCTTCATCATCATATCGCACCTTCCTTTCACCACGATGAACCACACAAAGTCCGTGTCGCTGGGGCCCTTGATCGGCGATTCTCCATCATGCAACGTCATGTGCTGCATCGACCGGCAGATCGCCTCTCGTGCGGTAGTGGAGACGTACTTGAAAAACGGTAGCCTTTTTGAGAACTTGATGATGTTCTCAACATCGGCTTCTGACCTCTTGTCAGGTGCGACCTCCAGCGAAGTCTTGGCACTCTCCCACACCTTGGATGTTCCGGTTCGGGCCCGTCTCTGCGAGGAAGGCTTCCCGTTCTTGATGAATGAGAGGTTGGACTGCCCGAATCGCTGACAGACTTCTTGAAGGATATCGTTGGCAAGTGAGAATACAGTATTTTCAAGTTGTTCGTCGTAAGGAATCTTGGACCTGTACCATCGTTAGCCCATGAGGGAATGGACCATGGAAACTAGGATATGCCTGGAGTAGAATACAACAACTGAGACAACGTGCCCTTGTCTCGTTAAAGGAATGGCGTAACATGCCTTCAAGCCAGTCACCTGTATGACACAAGCGAACGTGTAAGATGCCTGCTCCTTCAGCTCGCAACTGCGCTCACCCTTGCTAGCTCTGAGCGAACGAAGAGGAGGTGAGGCAACACCGAAGCGTCTTCGTGCCACTCTGTCTGCATAGTCTTCCACACGCGGCCAGGTATGCAGGCATACTGCACATCAATAAGTTCGTGTCCGTGAGGGAGCAAGGACGTTCAAAGGAGAGAAGGAAGCAAGGGGGTTGCAAACGGGATCTCTAACCTGCGGATAGTGAAAGTTCAGCGAGGCTTTATGGAAATCTTCGGCATTCGCATTGGCACAGTAGCATGCACCGCCATGTACCATGCATGTGTTGCCTGCGGGTCTGTAGGGCGAGAAGTCACTGAGAATGAAAAAGAACTCAAGCCTCTTACTTGAAGGCTTCCGCATGCACAAAATCTCCTCGCATACAGACCTCCTTGAGTACCTGCGGAGCCAGCTATCAGCCTGCGAATGAACTAACTGTGCGCAGCTACCGAGTTTAAAATCGCTTCCAGTTGAGTATCGGCAGACATCTTGATCAGGCTCGTTCAAAAGTCCTGCCGCGACAAAAGGCTGGCAGCAGGCAGCGAAGTAGAAGTTCTGCGAATAAAGGAGCAAATCCTTCTTGACAGAGCTATGACCAAGGGAAGGTCTAAAGCATCATTTCTTGACCATCATGGCTCACCAGTGCACGAATAAGAACGGCCTGGCGTTGAGAACTACCCACCACCTTACGGATTGATCCCAGGAAACACGAGATGACTTTGAGATGGTGGGAGGCAGCAATCTACGCTTCACAGAGCCTCTGTGTCACCATGCCATCTGCACTCTTCATGTTCAAGTCGTGTTTGGGTAATCCTCTTCCTTTCTCCCTCCTGTCGCCCTGCCCCTTACTTGCTCTCCAGCCTGCTCCGCCTCCTTCCCGCCATGCTGGCCAAACCCGAACCCTTCTCTATGACCCCCACCACCCCCTTCAACACTACCTACAGATCTAGCTACCCACCCATTCAACTTCTCCATTCAGTACCCTACCCAATCGAAATCCCCAAGTTTGATGCCACCCCCTCATAACCCCCAACAATACACCGGTGTTGGCAATGTATGCATCGCCTGGTAAAGACTTGGTACCCCACCCCATTCTGACTCTCATACCACCCCCTTCATTCCCAGATCGGTCTGGTTAACATCCCGTACTGACCCCACAAACCAAGCAAAATTAGAGGGCAGTGGACCAGAACCCCTACCCTTGTACCCACCCCACAATTTGATAAAAACCCTTGCCACCCCACCCTGGATCGCCTTCGATTCCATGACCACCTATGTACACCTTAACAAGCAAGCGAGCAAAATACAAATACGAGAGGACCCACCCTTTGGTTATCCACTGTCACTAGCACATGGATTATGTCACCCCTAAATCATATGCTAGAATGGCGTAGGGGTAATGACCACCCCAAGTGAGATACATCAAAACAGACTTCACAATACCACCCACCTTATTAACGTCCCGACTATTCGAGTGACTCTACTACCCCCTTTTGTAACCCACCCCATATGTTAACGCTTTCCTACCACCCCTTCAGAAAAATCGTAGGCTTGTAAACACAACGATTGGAATATGTCAGTCCGCCTCGGAACAAAAAGACGCGAACATGTAGCTCTTCGACTGAACTCTCGTGGCTCTTTCAAGGGACACGAGTTTATACCTCTAGTGATGGTCCATCACCCCTACATTTTCCTACTTCTTGCAGACTGCACTGGGGTGGGTCTTGCAGGATGACCGTGGGTAGTAATTGCTGGTATGTACCAAAACACCCACCCCCAGAACCCTTTCTCCTTGTGAACGAGAGAGTAGGGTATAGTACCCTACCACGGAACGGAGCTCAGGGAAGTTAAGACGCCTCAGGGCTTGGTAACGTGACAGTGACGAGTATGCGGTGTGCTGGGCCCCGCCGGGGCCGGGCGGCGGGGGCTGAGTGGCCTTGCCACCGCGCCCGGCGGCCGCGCCCGGCCGCTGACTCGGAGGCTCAGTGACCGTGAGTGACACGGCCTCGGCGTGACGGGCCGGGCAGCCTGGCGGCAGCTGCCGCTGTGCAGCGGAGCAACAGGCATTTGTGTTCTTCGTTCAAAGCAAACTTTTCACAAGTATCAAGTCTGCCATGAAGAAACGGAGGTCTGAAGCAGGTGGTGAAGGAGTATGATTGCGTAGAGGTACGTCACACCGTCTCGATTATCGCTTCTCATGGGATTGAAGGCTGAGAATCACCTGGTTTGGCATGAATGAAAAACTTGAGATTGATGCACATTGAATCTCGGCGGGATGTTCAGTGGAACAGGCAGCGTCTTCTTCCGACCGTCGGAGTTCAAGCCGCCTTCAACGGACCGGGATGACTGTCACTTACTCGGAACTTCGGCCCGGGCCCGTTTAGGCCCGTCGGAGTCCGACCGTAGGGCCGCGGCGCCGCGCCGGGTGACCGCGGCCGCCGCGGACCGGGCCCCCGCCGCCCGGCCCGGCGGGCGCCGGCCGGCACGGTACCCGGTACTACGGTAGGGCCGTACGGGTCACCGGGGCCGCGGCCCGGCGTACCGTAAGTCTGAGTCCGTACCGGCCGCCGCCCCCGGGCGCCGGGAGCCTGGGCCCGGGCCGCGGCCGGCACTGGTCAGGATGACAGTACGGTCACCGTCGGCGGTAGCCTCCGAGTTGAAGTTCGGTTGAAGCGCCGGGCGCGGCCCGGCCTCAGTCCGATCGGCCCAGTCAGCCCGGCGCTGAGCGCCGCCGCGGCCCGGACTCACTGCCGCACGGCGGCCCCGGCGGCCGACCGTCGGCGTCGTGCCACGACGGTGACCGGGCGGCCGTCGTCCGACCGCCGCGCTCGGCGGCGGCCGGCCGGGCCCGCCATGACTCAAGTTAGTCAGCGGCCCCCGCCGCCACCGTCCGATCAGTGTCCGATCACCGGCCGGGCGGCCGCGGCCGCCCGGCGGCGGCCTGGACCCCAGTGACTGCCGGGTTTACCGCCGCGAGGCTCTGGCAAAGTCACGTAGTAAGGCACGTCGGAGGCTGAGTTACGGTACCGTAGTACCGGGTACCGTACCGTACTCAGCCACTAGTGACTGACTCAGTGAGTCGTTGGCAGTTCAACGGTTACCGTACTACTCAGCCTGCACTGCCACCTGATTGTCCGGGTGTCCGTCGAGCCTGTCCGATCCGACCGTACTCGCTCCGATGCCGGTACGGGAGTCGCCGTCGGTTGGCTCGGCAGGCTGACTCTGTGGCCGGGCGTGAGCCGAGCCTCGGAGTCCCGACCGTCTCAGTCACCGTGCCCGGCCGCCAGTCCGTCGTCGGAGGCTCATACCGTACTGACAGGCTCCGCGTACGGTAGTACTGATTTGTAACAGGCTTAGGGGGCCTTGAACTTCACTGAGTCAAGTAAAGAAGCATGGTGGCCGGGCCGCGGCCTACGGCCCCGTAGCCGCCGGACTGTCTCACAGGCTGAACTTGACGTTGCGGAATCGGCGCGCGGCCCCCGGGCCGCCCGGCCCGCCGGGCCCGACTCCGATATGATCATGATACTACGGCCGGCGTACGGTACTACCCGTAGCAGCTCCCGGAGTCCGGCCCACCCCGGGCCGCGCCCCGGCGCGGCCAGCCTCGAGCCTGATCGGACGGTCCTCGACTCTCCTGATTTTCCTCGTACTGATTTTTAACTTAACTTTGAGTAAAACCCCAGGTCCGGACGGTGAGTCACTGGCAGTCCGATAACTTTCAAGGATTTTTTTTAATTGTTTGAACTTCGGAATTGTTTGAAAAGTTTTTTTCCCGGCTCTATCTCGAGACCGGTACTACGGGTAAAGGTAAAGAGTAAAATATCGTCAAGTGACCGGCGGTCGCAATCCAATCGCCATCATGCCAGCGCCTCTTCGTCGGACAGGTTTCTCCCTGCTGCGGCTCTTGGGCCTCGTCCTCAGCCCTTGCCATCTCCTACCGGCGTCTTCTGGTATCCTTGGAGCATCTGCAAGCTCTTCATCAGCCCCCATCACCGCTGCCGACTACCAGGCAAGAATTGGCTGGGGGTTTGACACTGATTTCTTCAAGTCCACGACGGGCTTGAAGAAATATGATCCAAAGATCATGGTTGACCTCAAAGCTAAGGGAGTGAAGAATCTCCGACTCCGAACTCGAGGAGACATCTTTGGATTCAACTCTGCCACTGAGGTTGTGGACAGCGCGAGTTTGCAGGAGCTGGTGAAGGGGTACAGAACCGTCCTGCCTGACATGTACGCGAACGGTATCTTCCCTATCATCTCATGGATCAACGATGCATCAGAAGTGCAGGCAACGGACGCCCAAGGCGACAACTTCGTGGAGTGGTGGGGGAAGGTGGCAGAAGAGCTTAAGGATGAGCCCTACGAGCTCTCATTCAACCTCTTCACCGAGATAGGAGACGGCAACCTCAAGGACGACCCGGCCAAGTACAACGACTGGACTCGTCGCGCCATTTCCGCCATCCGCAGCACGGGAGGCAACAATGGGAATCGTGTGATCATCCTTGGAGCACCGGCAAAGGACGCGGACTCGCTATCAAGAATCGACGCGTCGATCACTACCGGCCAGCAGTATCTCATGGCAGAGTGGCACCTGTACGCATCCGGACCAAACAAACAAGTGGATGGGCAGAAGTACTGGGCGGGGACTGGGAGCAGTGAGGACCGTGAGCGGGTGAACAAGGTCTTTCGAGACGCCATGGCATGGACGGCTTCCACGGACATCCCGACCTGGATCGGAGCATGGATGCCATATGACAACATCGGGGCCACACTGAGCCAGGAAGAAGTGGAAGCGTTTGCCTGCTACTTTGCAAGCGTCGCACGGGACAACCACATCCCTTGGTCCATGAACAAGCTCGACAATTTCTATGATGTGCGCCAGAAATCTTGGGTGCAAACCCAAGACATCGGGAGATCGGACGCTCCTGTCACCCTCAGCATGCCCCCGATCCTCGATGCCCTTCAGTGTTCTTCAGCTCCTCCTTTGCCACTGACAAAGTCGAACGCTGACATCTATCTTGCGCAAAGACGTGTGGAACAAAGCAGGGCAAGATCGCAAGATCGTCACAGGATCCATAGAAGTTTCATGATCGGTGACCCTGCCGCTGCAGCTGCCGTGACTCGGGCCATGGAACCAGAGTAAGGAGCATCCTCGTCCACATAACAGGCTTAGGCTGCGGCCAGTGACCTGGCATTGGACCCGGGCGATTATATAGTGGAGTGACTACACTTTGAGTAAAGGACTTGGAATAAGCTCAGGCTGCTGCCGGCCGGGCTTGGCTGGCGGTGGCCGCACCGTCGGTGTCGGTCCGACCGTCGATCCGGGCCGGTGACTCCGGGCCCGGTGTCACCACGGCGTTGACTCTCGCAGCCGCTGCTCCGATCACCGCCTGTGCTAGTTCGGAGTACGGTAGTAGCCCGCATCATCGCGGCAGTGATCCCCGGGCCCGCTGACGCCGGGGGAGCCTCTGAGTGCCCCTCGCAGACGGTGCGGCCACTCCGAGCAGTGAGGCCCCGGAGTCTCGGCCGCGCGGCCCCCGGCCCGGCGTCGGCGGCGTCGGGATCCCGGGAGTAGCCCGGCCGCGCGCCGGGACTCAGCCTGGACTCAGCCGGGAGCCGGTACCCTGAGGCAGGCCCTCATTGGCTCGGTCCCCGCCATGAGGCCATTCGCCCGATCGAAGGCAGGGACTCCCCGCTACAAGAGAGGAGCGGGGGAACGAGGAGAGATGGGGAAGCGGAGGAGGCTTGCATGAGCATGGTGCTTGGATACTGGCTAGGATACAGCTCTGAGAAGGCATGCGGTTGTTGGGAGCTCCTCATGTTACAATCAAGTGCAAAGATCCTGATCCCCAAGAAGAGGATTCTGATCTTCATGCCCCTGCTCTTGGTCGCATGCAGTGCGGCTCGTGCTAAGAGGATCACGTCTTCATCACTGCGACTTCGTGGAGGACAGCCTGTGGCTCTTTCCGAGAACATCCAGGAGGTGAATCTGGAGAGTGAAGCGAGCTCGACCACGGCCAGGAAAAGATCTTATCTGGCGCAAGTGAGGGTTCTCGAACCCAGTCAACCAGGGAGTGACACAGAGTCAGACACAGACCAAGAGACGGCGAAGAGGAAGAGGATGTGCATCGGCATGAATAAAGTCCTTGAGGACCACATGGATGAGGAGCGCGGCGGGGGGGGTGCGGATTCTTTTTCCAGCGGTGCTGGGCACGAGCATGCAGACGACAATGCTGCGTGCCCATCGCATGTCGTCGACCATGCAGCATCTGTTGAGTCCACGATCAGAAAGAAGAAGAGGTGCCTCAAGGTAGGAAGGGAGGCGATGCGAAGGGAGGAAAGCAAGGGTTCCTTGAGACGAGCAGAATCGGTCAGCAGCAGCGTTCGCGACGAGTCGCCGGGGAGGAGCTCGATGGACAGCCAAGACAACCTGGAAGACAGAGAGACTAAGGGCAATGAGAGTGCACGGAGGAAGAGGAGGCAGCTAGCAGGTATTCAAGAAGCCCTGCTTGAGGAAGAGAGGGAGGCGAGGCAAGAGGAAGGGGCAGGGGGCCCAGAGTGCAACACTGTACGGAAGAAGAGGATGCAGACGCGCAGAGTGAGGGAGGCGATGGACCAGGAAGGAGAGCAGGACAGGAACGACCTGCAGATGCTGCTTGACTCCTCCCTCTCTACTCCTCAGAAGCCTGAGCGGCTCCCCCCACCAGGTGCTCCAATCTTGAGCTGCCATGTGTTGACGGTTCGTAGGTGGCAGGACCATGATGAATCGGTTTGTGTCCTCGCCCTTTCGGTACTGTCATCGTTGTAGACGACGATGGAGCAAGGGAGACTGACTGCCTGCAGCTTCTTCTCAAGCATCGTGAACTCCCTGTCGCCGGTATCGGTGCGTCTGCCCTTCTCACTCCAGCTCGTTCTGATGGAGCCTGCAAGTTTGGCAAGTCTCGCCAACCAGCCAGCAGGCAGGAGAGGCCCAAGGAGGGAGCTCTCTCCATGTCCTCAAGGAACGGGACGAGGGCGAAGCTTTCCGTGACCTCGCTCGCTCCCTCCGCTGCCCTGCCGCTGTCTGACCTGGTCCGGAGCGGCGGACTTACTGCAACATGGACCGACAGCAGTCTGAGGATGGCCGGAGTCGGCAGGTGCAAGCACGTGTACAACGAGGCGATGCTGGGGCAGGACGGCGTGATCCTGATACCAGAGCAGGCCAAGTGACCCCCCGTGATAGCCCCACAGCCTCCTCACCAACTTTGAGCAGGTCCATGGAGGAGGCTATCACGTCGAACCCGCAGAGCTCACACCACGTCTTGGTCGATTCCTCGCAGCGCAGCTTGTGTTGGTCGGGGGTGCAGGAGATTTTGCACAACCAGAGCCTGTGCCTTGTTTGTATAAGTGAACTTGCCCACTACCCTCCGGTGACGTCAGCACCAGTTCGAAGCCTGTCAGTCTCCTGACGTGCCACAAGTTGCTGCAGGGCCAGTGGAGGCTGCATGAAGGGTCCAACGGCTCCTTTCACAACTGCGACTTGAGGTGGATCCCGACGCCTCCATCCCGCCTGTAACATGCGACCGCAGGAGTTCGGCAGCGAGCTGGGAGGACAGCCTTGTGCAGGTGCATGGAGGGGTCTGGACGTTCAACCAAAGCAGCATCCGCTGCAAGGGAGGGACGAGCCTAAGCTTGCATGGCCTGGCAGAAGCGCGGTGATGAGTAAGAGGGAGGAGGAGGAGCTGGCTGATCGATTTGCAGTGCGTACAACTCGACCTTGGGGGGATTCTCAACCAAAGATACGGACACTTGTTTCTCGGCTGCCTCCGTCAGCGAAAGGTTTGGATCCCTTGCTCGCCCGGACCGGAACCCGGCCTCTTCCTCCCCTCGACTCGCACCCCTCTCCTCGTCCTCCTCCTTCTCGTCTTCCTCCTCCTCCTCCTCCTCCTCCTCCTCCTCTGAGCATGGGTGGAGCAGCTCCTTCTTCTCGTGCTCGCGATGTGTCCTTCACTTTGCATGTAAGTCCAGCTGCACGTGTTTTCCTCCTCCCTCTCCCTCTCCCCTCCCCAGCTCTTCCTCACCGTCTCACGGGCAGCTCGAACTGGAGCGGCGCTGATCGTCTCCGGCTACGGCTTCGCCCGATGCTCCAACAGGTCAGGGCCCGGAGGAGTGTGTGGCCGCCGTCCCTTCTCAGTTTCTTGCCCCAGCTCCCTCTCCCACTCCCACGAGGCCATCCGGATGGACGGCAACTCGAAGGCTATCGTCAGCGACTCCGTCCTCCTCGACAACCGCCGGTGGGTCTCCCGTGTGCCATGGGCCCGCTCCGTGACGCTGTGAAGGAGCTTCACCGTTACCACTCCCGGCCGCCTTCACCTTGTCAACGACGTCGTGAACTTTGACAGGAGGAGCGTCAGGCTGGGAGGTGAACTCAACTGTTCCAGCGAGTCTCCTGCTCCTGAAGAGAGCGCAGGGTGCATCACTCAAGACAGGAGCACCTTCTTTACGTGAGTTCTGCTGGTCTACTCAGTTTGCCGTCAGCTCCTGTGCTGCTGTTTCTGTCTTGGCCAAGACTCCGCTGTTCTCACAGCATGGCATGGGATGGTTGTGAGAGTGAGGACGACGGTGCCGCTTGTAAATATTCCATGTGCCTCTACACTGTTAAGATGTGATTGAATAATATTTTTTTTGTCGAGGAGAGAGTGATGAGGATTTAAGAAACTTACTAAGCACAAACAGGAACTAATCGTAATCGTACATGCATGAGTTCTCCAAGTTCATCATTCACTCTTCGATTATTGTTTCAAGACACGTTCGGCTGCGGAACATCGCAGCATATCAAACGCATTTCGGTAGCGTTCGGCAAGTTGTAAGACACGCAGATGTTGCATGAACACCGTAAATCCCTGGAGCTATCGCAAAGCTGCAGCAAACAGACGGCTGGAGACCGAGAGATCGTGTCAGTGCAACTAACGACACATTTGACCTCACCTCTGTCCTCCTCTAGTTTCAATCACTGTAGTTGTCATAGAACTTGAGGCTGTTGTCCTCAATAGCTGCAGGGGAGTGTGAACGTGAAGAAAGTGGCAGCGTCCATGATCATGGCAAGGCAAGCAGAAACTTACAGGTGATGTGACCATCATCAATTTCGACTTCAGGCGCGATCATGAAACCCCACTGGGACGAGTATGTAGGATAGCTGTTGTCGTATTCCCACGATGGCAGATCACCTGCAGTGGAAATCGTGAGCCCTCAGGCATGGAGACATGCTGTCCCCCATGCAAGAGATGAGAAGAAGTCTTGTTTCTCACCATCCTCGTTGGATCTGATTCTGCTGATATCGAACTGATTCACCTCTCCTGGGTAATGGCTCTCGCTCGTAGCCGTCCTGCTGTAGTACTCCGTCCTGCCCGCGACCGGCTCCCCTGATTCAGGATCGATGGGGGTTCCGTTCTCGAGTCCGAAGTCGAAGAGAGAGTTGCCGGAGCTCTCCGGCTGCGGGTCCTCAGGCACCATGAACTTCCCGTCGTCCTGCAGTCCCTTGATCCTCCAGTTCTCCCCGAGCCACAACCTCTGCTGCCTCAGCATCGACCTAGGGAGAGCCCGCACTAGGAGCTCACTTCTTTCCTGCCTCCTCGAGCTCATCATCGCAGTGATTGCAAGCAGGCATGTCACCGCTGCTGCTGTGCATGCCGCCCACCTTGCTACCACCGCCCCGTTAGCCATGGCTGAAGAGCCGTCGTAACCGCCAGAAACGGTATCATAGTAGCAGCCCCCCCCGGGGTGTTCCGGGCCGCTCGGACGGGCCTAGCCGGTCACTGATAGCGTCACTGATACTTGGGATGGTGTCTGAGGGGGTGGGGTGGTGAAGGGACCGGTGCCAGAATGGCGGGAAAAGCTCGAAGGTCCGGGTTGCGATGCGGCCTGGGAGTAAGAGGATGTAGGAGGGGTATGTAGAATGGGAGAAGGGAGGGGAAGGGGCCTTGAGGGTTTGATATAGTCGTTCACTTATGAAATGTTAAAGATAGCGGTATGGAGGGGGGATCTTTCATATGGCCATTTGAGGGTATCAGGGGGTGGTTGACAGGAGGGGCTATGATGTAGGTCAGGGACCTTGATGATAAAACATAGTCACTCACTTATGAAATATTTCTGGTAGAGGTGGTCAGGTTCCTCAGGAGAGGGGGGAATGACAGGTGATCCGAGGGCTTGTGGAAAGCAGAGGTTAGAAGTCGATGGTAATACCCTTACGTTTCAGAAATAGTGTCTCACTTATAAAATTGGTGAGGTATGGGTGGATAGACAATGGGGTCCCCCACATTCGGCCACTCCCCTTGTGACGTTCACCCCTCCTCGCGCGGTGGCAGTTTTTTTTTTTGAGAGGATCCAGAATTTGCGAAGGGGGGTGGTATCACAAGGAGAAATCGGGGGTCGTGAAAATAGAGTAAACTATTATTACGAGGAGATGTACTAGTAAACTTTTTCTGGTAATATTCCATAATCCATATATCAGAACCGCTGTGGGATCTTCGGAAGGAGGACCCCCTTGTGAAAAAAAACATTGTCGCTGGGCGGAGCGCGTGCTCGTCTGTGCTACTCCAGGTAATGGCGCCGCCGGCCGGGTTGGAAACTAGTCGATCTTCATACACGAGCAGCCCTGACCCTCGCCCTCCTCCTCGGGGCTAACTTGATGCTTCATGCTGTCACCTCCTTCCGCCTGACTGAAGATGGATAATTGTTTCGTGGAGTTGCTCACACCGGTTCAAGGTCGTTGCGACCTATCCCGGTTCCTCGTTCCGGCGAATGCGCGGTGTCTTGTGTTTAGGCTCTTGGAATGGTTTGATCAGTGATTGCTCTCGTTGCCTTCTCTTCCTCTAGTAATGTATGCGATTTGCGCAAGAGAACATGTTTTTACGCTGTTGAACATGGGATCTTGGTTGCGTTTTCCACAGGAAACCTTGTGTTGATTTGTGACTATCTTGTACTGTAGTAGGGCTGATGTCACTCTTGACTGATGTTCGATAATTTGTCGCATTGAAGAACACGGCTTTGATTCGTGTGAAATTTTTGTTTCTTCTACCTTTTTTGCATCCTCAAGTGCGCTTATCGCAATGTTACAAATTCCGTCTTTTTTCCACCTTCACCACTGATTTACGAGATTTTTCAGTATTCCTAGTTTTTTGCATTAGTTTTGTTCTATGTGCAAGTGTAGTATCTATGACTAACTTCACCATATGATTATCATTGGGCAATAACCTTGCTGTAGAACGATTCCAACATGCGACTGACAACAGTTCTCAGGGACCCTTCACGAGATGTCGAAGATCACCGGCAAAGTCAAGTGGTTTAACGTGAAGAAAGGCTGTGAGTGCAGAAAGATCACCTCCGCTGGATATGTGCACTAACATGTGGCTCAGACGGTTTCATCACGCCAACGAACGGGGGTGAAGACATTTTTGTTCACCAGACTGCCATCCATGCGTGAGTGCCAACATCTTGTTTCTGTGCGCGTCGTAACGAAGTCTTCGTGCAGTGAGGGCTTCCGCAGCCTGAAGGAGGAGGAAGAGGTCGAGTTTGAGATCTCCGACAATGGCGGCAAGTCCAAGGCCATCAATGTCACTGGCCCCGCGGGAGCTTACGTTCAGGGAGCTCCGCGCCACACCAAAGGTACTTGAAGTCGGAGATGTAAGAGCAGCAGCTGACCCACTAGCAGGCTCACGCAACTACAGGCCTAGAAACCAGAGGAAGGACAACAAGGATCCCAAGGCTGAGAACGCAGGCGAATCAAGTCAACCAGCTTGATCACAGAGAATGTCCGTTGCGTATGGTTTCAATTTTGTTAGCCTGCCTAGCTTTTTGAATGATAAACTGTACAAGTCTTGTACGCAAATGATTTGCTTCGGGAACTCTTGCTGTGGAGTGGCGTGACGCTGTTCTGTGACTACGCACTGCTCTGTGTTGGGTTCCTGGATCAAGATCATGCGTGTCTGGCTTGATACTTTTGTTTATGAATAAATTTTGGATGAAAAGGCGCCAACGTTATTTTGTGAGCATAACCTGGGCACTCACCACTGAGTCGTCATCTGTACGCAACTTCAAACGAGGGAAACGGGAACGAGAGCAGCAGCAAGAACTGAGCAAAAGCTCTACTCACAGAATCTTTTGATCATTCCAGGAATCCTAGAGGGACTGGGTAAGCCGATGCCTTGCCGACCTTCAGCCGACTGGGGAAGAGAACAAGAGAGGTCTTGTGCGGACGTGGACGGCATAATCTTGAGAATGTTTGCCAGAGCAATCTGTGCGGTGTTACTGTGAGGTAAACAATGTCTGTGAGAAGATTATGCAACTCACCTCGTATGTTGATATTCCCACGGCAAAAAAAGTCGCCGACCTGTCAAATACATTCGAGATGAGCAGACAGGGGGAGGACGAAAGGAGAACGAGGACGAGGCTGGAAAGAAGAAAATAAACGAGGAGGAGAGAGGAGAAAAGGAGAAGGAGGTAAGGAGTGGCGGTACGAGCAAAGAGGAGGAAGGGCACCATATCAGTCGCGGGATGAAACCAGCCCACAGCGCTTGGATTCCCTGCAGCTTTCAGTGAGCTCGGAGTTGCAGTTCGCCTTGCAGGTCGGGCACCTCCTGTCTCCCTATTGTGATCATCGCCCGTAGGGGAAACTGCGCAGGCGTCTGCAGCAAGGGGATGTCAAGGCGAGGAAGAGGTCATTGAGTATGCTGCTCGCCTGTCCCAGCATAATTCTAGTCTTAACGACATCGAGGGGGTTCGTTGCGAACGACGAAAGGCATCTAGAGACAGGGGGAGTCAGGCTAGCGTATAGAGCCCATCGGGGATCTAATGAGCGGAGGAAGCATCTAGCAAGCAACAAGACGAAGGTTTTAGACAGCGCAGACCCTGCGGTGATGCCAGCCCCGAACAGCTCAGCTGGCTCCAGTTGGCGCTGGACAGCAAGTTCACTCTCTCCGAATAATCATTCACCAGAGCAAAAGGAACCTGAAACCTGCTGATCATCATGGCCTTGATCTGTTCGTAGATCCCAAACTTTAGCATGGCCCTGAGACTGGCTTAGCCCCGACCGCAACAGGCACAAGGCCTGACCCTGGCGCGTTGCGGAGAAGGGTGGCGAAGTACCCGTTGTACATGGCTCCGATTCCTTCTCGCTGAATCCAACGTAAAAAAGTAGCGCCCAGACATCAAGAGCTCACTTGAATGATATCTTTCATCAGACTTAGAGCCTTCTGACCGCTTGCTAGCTGACCGACCTGTGGGTTGGAGAGGGTCAGCGTTCCAAACTAATACTGTGGATGAGGTAGGATCGAACTTCGGCCCATAGGGCATACCTGGCATCGCTGCTTCAGCACTTCCTTGGGGACAAAGATCAAGGACGACACGGCGTTCCCCGTCATCGCCGCCAGAGATGGAGAGAAATTCTGGCGATCCCGCGTCACCAGACAGCAACTTCAAGACGGGTTTTCAATGCACCTTCGTCTTGTCCGGAAGGATGTTGGACCAGACCCTGCAAAACTTTCAGGGGGCTCGGGACTTAGGATAGACACTCTAAAACGATAAGATGGACGCTCTGGATCAGAATAGACATCGCTCTCACCCTTTCATCGACTCATAGGTGCTGAAGTAAAGGAAAGAAGATATGAAGGAGCCAGCTGCTGCTGTCCTGGCTCCTGCAGATTCGGTCAACGCACGCAGCGTGTCTGAGACTCCCTCCTACCCGCATACAGGCCGTGGTACAGTCCTCTCTCCTGCACATCTCCATCAGTTCTCGCCTCCAAGGCAGGCTCGCATCACCTTCACTGCCTTCAACCCCCCATCAATCCAACCCGAAAACTTGTTGGTCGAATCAGCTTGCTTCATGGTCTTCAGCGTGTCCAGAGGATGCAGGAGGAACGAAACAGAAGATCCAGCCAGCCCCCCGGCAATGCCTGAAATTTCTTCATGTCAAGTCCGAGTCACCACTCTCCCTCCCAGCGGTCGCAGCACACAGTCGTAACAGCCTGAAGGCCATACCTGACAGGATTCCCCTCAGCTGGCATGGGATCTCGTAGCCACGTAAGAAGCATTTGTTCCCGTCATGGGGCATGCTTCTTCTGGGATTGTCTGCCAGAGCCGATGCTTGCAGCACTGCGGCGGGACTCGAGCCAACTTTGCCCGGGTGAGGAAAGAAGTTCGGCAACTCAAGGGGGCACGCAGGCTCCGAGATGCAGAGCAGAGTCGTCAACAACAGAGCAGCCCTAATGGCAGGTCAGCTGAAATAATTCGGACAGGTGTCCCCGCTATGATGACAAGGCGCATTGGACATCAGGGAGGACCTTTACCTTGCATATCGAGCGGATCCTAGTGAGTCACTCGCGTTCTCCAACGTTGTAGAGTTGACCTTGCCACTACCGAAGTGACTCGACGATGGTGAACAAGGTGAATGATCTCCCAAGACAGCATAGCTCCTTCTCTGGTGTGCCTCGCTGCCACTGCCCTTTGATATCCTCCCCATGGTAGCCTTCAGCTCCACTGTAACGCTGTCATGCGAAACCTCGCAGTCACTGATGCAAGGAGACGCCCTGACATCTGGGCATCCACATGGTACAGAGAAGGAGGAGGAGGAGGAGGAGGAGGAGGAGGAGGAGGAGGAGGAAGGCTGGCAAGAATGAGGAGATATGCCGCTTCTCCTTCGCTTGCGCTTTGCCTGCATTGAAGGTTGAGAGAACGAACGTTTGGGCAACAGATCCAGCGAAAAATACTTTTAAACATAATTTCAAGTATTATAGTAACAGCAAAAATTATATTGAGAATTTATAAATCCGTGTGTAAAACAGTTTTTCTTCCATTCCACTACCCTTGGGATCTGCTGCTTGGTTGCACTGGGGTAGGGTTGTAATAATTGCTGAGGGTGGGGTACATCTCACCCCAAATCTAGGGGTGGGATGACACTGAGGGCTGGTTGACACCGGTATTGGCTATATCACGAGAAATCGTTTCGATATATGGTAGGGTAATGAATAGGACACCCCCGTCAGGGTGGTAATTCGCTAATCTGTGTAGGGTAGGGTGATCAGGGATGAACGAGGGGGTAGGGTTAGTAGGGTTGGGTCATAAAGGGAATAACTAACTATTCCCGTACCGGACAATGCTGCCGGCCCGCCCGGTCCGGGCCCCGGGCCGTCGTCGCCGTTGGAGGTTTTGTCGTGCATGTGTGGTCGGAGTAGACTTTTCTGCTGCCTCTATTACTTTTCCTAAAATTCTGTTGAGGCGGGTTTGTTTGGGTTATCCTTTCCCGGTTTGCCTACCCCCAAGGCTTTTTGCATTTCATCCCGATTGCCATGCAGCAACTGCTGCGGGGGGTGCTGAAGAGGAAGGAGTTCCGGCTGCACCAGGTGAGAGCAGGAGGGTTGAGAGATGAGGAGACAAGAGAGGAAGCAGAGCAGAGCAAGGAGCAAGGAGCAGGAGAGCAGGAGAGAGCAGAGATGGGGGGAGCAGAGATGGGGGGAGTAGAGAGGAGAATAGTGGAATACATGTTGAGTGCAGCTGGGGATTTGGGAGAGGCTGGCAGCAGCAAGACAGTGAGACGGTGGGAAGGAGCAAGTGATGGCGGAAATATTTTTGTTGTCACTGAACTTAACTCGACCAGCCTTTGAAGTCTCACCCTTCAGCTCCGATGAACGACAGGTTTGCGGTCAGCATTAACTTGGGGTCTACTACCCATGAGTGGACCCTGCTGATGAACGCCTTGCGCCCCGAAGTTCCTCCGGACGTCATCTTTCCTGATGTATGCTTGCAAGATGGAGCGTGGTTGGGGGGAGGAAGGGGGGGGGTTGATGGGACTTCGAGCAGGGATACGAGGACATGATAAATTACGAAGTACTGGAGGGGATCAAGAACTGGGACCCGAAGAAATCCAGCTCGCTGGTCGACCTCCTGGTAGAAGTGCGAGAGATACTGCGTCAGAGTGAATTTCAGCGGTCGTTTGAGTTCTCAGAGGACAAGGTAAGCCAACGGTGTCGCGATGAGCCGTCTCGATGTGAAAGGGTCCTGGCAGGTGAGGTTTGAGCTGGAGAGCGTCAAAGCGCTCTCACCGGAGTCAGAGATCCGAATCTTGAACGACGACCTTAGAACGATTGAGTGGTTCATACTTGTGCTGCCTGTTGCTCTAATACGGTATTGAGGCAGCTCGCAGTTTCATACCCATCTTTTCAGGGCCCCAGCCGCACAAGCTGAAGGCAGCAGAGGATTTCAGTGACAGCAAAGGGGAAGTGGCATGCAGGCTCTGCCTCATCCTAGATCAGGAGCTTGCCAACGTCTCGACACGTCTTGACTACCCTTCCACGGTTGCCTTGAGCTGTTTCAGAGCAAAAACAGTGACGCCATCGACAGACGAAAGAAGAGCTCCATGCTTTCTGCCCAGCATGGGAGCCTGGAAAGACGCACGCGTTTGACTTCGTGCCTCTAGTTCAGGGGCTTGTTCAGCGGAAGTTGTTGATACAGCGAGCTCGCGCAATCTTGCTTGTTCAGCTCTGTGAAAAGTTGAATCCACTGTCTGTGGACTCCGCTTACCACGAAAAAGCAAGCTTCTTGTGCCAGATAGACAATAACTTCGATGTACCACTGTCTTCTGCACTTGATCTCATTCTTTGACTCGTCGGAACGCAGGCTATTGCCCATCTGACCCTGTCAAACAATTTTCCAGACGAACCGCCGACCATCATAATGCAAAGTGTAAGCGATGCTCCATCTTTTGCATACTTTCAAGTGACAGTCAACCTGACAGGTCGTGCAACTCATTGATCGCAGACCTATCATAGATGTAGTCATAGAATATCAGTGGGATCCCTTGTGGAGTATTCCGGTCATGGTGAATCATCTCATCAAAGTTATTCGAACAGAAGTGAGTGCTGGCTTAGTTTTTGACAAAGCAATCAGTAACTTCATGACTGCAGTTGTTAGAATTCAAGAATAAGGTGTTGCAGCAGGCGCAAAATGCTTATGTTCCTGTTGGGACGGCAGAAAGCTGATTTTCGACAGATCATTCATTTCGAATGTAATTGGGCAAAAGAACGGAAATCTACAACATGAAGGGGAATGAGTGATATGCAAGTGAGTTTGCAGTTCCCCTTCCGGCTGACCGATAAGACACTCACGGTGGTTGCTGTGTATGAGACCAAGCAGAAAGATAAACCCTCGTTCTCTGTGGAAAGCATCAAACTTCTCAATAGGCATTCATAATCTTGGTCACAGTGTCACAGTTGTCTTCGAGATTTCATTTAGAAACAAGATATCATGTCTTGCAGTGGTTCTGCACTTAATGTTCATAACTGTTCTTTAAATAAAGTTGGGATTCGCATATGGTTTCACTCCTCTCCTCTTGAGTTGTAGGACCCTTTGTGCACCAAGGTTAGCGTCCTGCGGGCTTGAAGCTGCGTAGCTGTCAAGATGGTTCCTGTCGTCTATTAGCTGGGGAGGGCCAGCATCGTTCTCATCCATCCATACCCCAGCATCCCCGCCATTCCCCTGAGCAATGGTTGGGTATCTTGGGTCGATCCGAAGATCGTCGTGTTTGTCGATCACTCGCTGGTAATCATATCCTGGCCCAGTGTAGTAGTAGGCATCCGCAGAACGACCACCGGGAGCATGCTCTGCCATGTACAACCTTGCATCAGGCATCTCCTCACAGCCCATGATGTCGACCCCGTCCTTGGTAGGGCCTGTCTCCACGATGCCCTTTGGCCAGCAGCTGCACCAATGCTTCACGTAGTTGGATGCGCCGCCCGGCTTCTTCTCGTAGTAGAACTTCTTGGCCCTCGGATCCCACACTGGATGCTTCCGTGGCCCACAGATGTTTCGCCATCCCCCGTCGCGGCTCCAGAACTCCAGATTCTCATTCTGGACATCAAACTCAGGCACGATGTCCCGTCCTATCGGGTCCATGCCCCAGCTCGGCAGGCCCTGTGGAGCACGATCAACAACAGTAGCTGGAGTCGCTTTATCTGGAGTTGAGGTGAGGTGAGAGACTAAAGCATGCTTCTCCTGGGTTCCCTGTCCGAAGTATTCTGCAAGAACCTGAGCATTTACCAGGCTATGCTCCCAAAGATTCTCCTGGGCAGATTTCCAATCCCAGCCAATGAAGACTATATGCCCGCACTCGCACGGAGTACCGTACTCCCTCTGCGCAGCACTGCAGTCAACAGCCGACAAGGAAAGTCGAGAGCCATCTTGAGAATATGGATTTGGAATCTGACAGTACTTAAGAAGGAAGAGCGGCGACACCGTGGGCACCCTTGGGAAGTTGTTGTAGACAACGGCAGTTGCAGCTGGGAGAGTTGAGGTATCAACTCCAACCATGCCCGGTGTCTGTTTCAGCTTGGCAGGCATGGCTTCATCAATGGCTTCAAAGTATGCCGATGGTGTGGATGGATCTCCTGCAACGGTGTAAGACTCCCTTTTGCTGAAGTCACTCTGGATTGGATTGGATTCAATTTGGTACCCAAAATACTGATTCAAAAACTGTATCGTCCTCGAAGAGGCACCGTTGAACACCAAAGTGTTGCCCTTGCCAACAAAATCTCTCAGTTTCTGGGAATCCATTCCATTCGTACTCAGCGTAGTGGGCAGCACATCCTCTGCGTCCGGGGGGAAGTAAAGCGTTTTGCAGCAATGCGAGGACATGTAATCGAACGCCTGACTGGAGAACAGAGCCATGTAATCATTCTCCAACGTTGTCAATGATGGTTGCAATGAGGTCCTCAGGGACGTTCCGACCTGTTCAATCGATCTCCTGCTCGCGTATGCCTCCGCATGCTCAATGACTTGGTCTAGTTCCTTCTCATTCCTCACCGGAACGCCAACGACATCCTTGCTAGACATGCTGTCTAGCACAGACTTGCTGCTAGATGTGCGGAGGCGCTGAACTGTGTGGGAGGACAGGAGCAAGAGGGCCGCCATCGAGCCGCATGCCGCCCACAGCACAAAACCACCCTGCCGTCTCCTGCCCATGTTCGCCAGTGCCGGCTCTTCACTCTGTTCGTAACGAAAAGTAACGGCATCTGCAGATACCGTTACATAAACCCCCATCTGTAACGGTTTTGTACCCCTCCTCGTCCCGCCCCTCCCAGGCCCCTCCTACCCCCTGAACTCCTAATCCCTACCCCTACTGCCAACCCCCTAGTCGCAAAGCGTGCAGCCATTAGTAGGATGGTTTGCTCTCAGGGTATTCATTGGTCATCCGTTGAATTTTGTGTAGTCTTTGTTGGGCTAATTATGAAAATTTGAGATCAATTTTCCAAATACATTATTATTTTCATGCCAAATACTCAATTCATTCAAAACAATATACTCCGCGCGCCGCGGCGGAGCTAGTGAAAAGGTAGGGGTAGGTGCAGTTTTGATCAGGGGTGAATTTGAACTAGGGGTTGTTGAGACACCACATGATACAATCTATGCATTTATATCCTAGTCTATCACTTATGAAATATCATCACTTATGAGGTATGAGAAGACTACTGAAGAAAATGAATTGATCCGTGGTGGGTACTTTAGCAGAGGTTGAAAGGGGGTGGGGTTATCACGCGAATTAGCGGCGCCTTTGGTGAGGAGCATGCAGGGATCAGACGGAGAGGAGAGGGTCACATCCTCCTCCTCCTCCCCCTCCACCTCTTTGTCTTCCAACTCTCTTCCTCATGTTACTTAGTTAGAGAAGAATCCTAGAAGATTTCAGCAATCCTGGAGGGCGTTCCCCCTTGACATGCCACAGACTCGGGGCAAATGCTCGTTTTGTGTGGGATGTGCTAGGTGTGCTTGTGTTTTTTCGATTCCTGGATTCGCTTTGTGCGCTTGAGTTGTTACTTGTTCTAGATAGAATAGTACTACTCGTCTCTCGGAAAGCTCTATTCAAGAGGAACTTTTGTAATGTTTTGTTCAGCATCGGCTTAATGCTGCTTGCTTTCCGATGTCCTAGACATGTCTGTTTCGGATGATGATTCGATGCTACCATTGGCTTATTCGTGTGATAAAAGCTGCCGTTTTGTTTTGATCTTGCTTGATAACTTTGGGTTGGAGAGGTTGTGCATGAAAGAAGGATCGAAATATTTTTGTTTCTGACGTCACTATTTCCTTAGGATCCGGGGAACGCTCGCGAGCTTGAGGCCAGTGGCATTGTGATTGACTTGCTGCACCACAATGGCCGAAGAGCATGCGCGATGGAAGCAGTATGAATACTCCGCGAACTCGAATTTGGTGTTGACCGCAGAGCGTCGTTCTCGTGATCATGAACCCTCGGGTGAAGCTGAATCTCTTGCGAACCGCAAGCTCCATCGCATGGGCGATCGAGTCCATCGTTCAAAGCCACAGGCACTGGTTGAGAAGCGGGACAAAATTGAGAAAAAACGCAAGGAACGCTCCGAGAAGGACTTGGCTCGCAAGAAAGCCAAAGCAGGAGGCACAGTGCTTGCAGCAGTTTCTGAGCCAGGCTCGTACAGGCCGAAAACGGAAACTACTCGTCTTGCATACGAGCAAATGCTTCACTTCCTTTCTAGCTTCCTTGGAGAACAACCAGCTGACATTCTTCGAGGTGCAGCTGATGAGGTTCTTGCTGTTTTGAAGGACGACAGTTTGCAGGGTCCAAACAAGAAGAAGGCCTGTGAATCACTGTTGAACTCCATGACGGATGAACGTTTCTCTGAATTATTCCAGATTGGAAGCAGAATTACTGATTTCTACCTGGATGACGAAGGTGCTGCTGGTGAAGCTATGGATGAGAACCTTGGTGTTTCCGTCGTTTTCGATGAGGATGAGGAGGAGGAAGACGATGATGTCGATGAGCTTCGTGATGAAGATGATGATGAGGATGATGGCATCGGAGACGAAGAGATAAAGAAGACTGTCATTGGGCTTCGTGATGACGACGATGACATGCCAGAGGAGAATCAGAAAGATGATTATATCGACCCACTTTCTCTTGACGCTTATTGGCTGCAAAGGCAAATGAAAGAGAAATGCGGTATTGATGACGATAACGATGCAGTTAAAATGGCAAAGGAAGTACTCAGTATCATGCAGGAGGCTGATGAGAGAGAGATCGAGAATCGTTTGGTGATTTTGTTGGATTATGACAAATTCGATTTCATCAAGATGCTTTTGGCCAATCGACACACCGTTGTTTTTTGCACACTTCTGGGTCAAGCTCAGGACGAGGCTGAAAAGGAGGCCATAAGAGAGAAGATGCAAGCATCGGCTGAGGGCAAGGCACTGCTGCATGCATTGAATTTTGCGCACAAGACAGAGGGAGAGAGAAAGCGAGAGATGGAGATGAGGCTCCGTAAGGAGATTCGTGGACTCCGTGAACGTGAAGCAGACCAAAATGGCGAAATGGTAACCGAGAGAATCATGTCTGAGGGCGACAGCATGTTGCAGAGTCGCAATATCCTGGATCTTGAGTCTCTTGCGTTTACCCAGGGTGGTCACCTCATGGCGAACAAGAGATGTGAACTTCCTCCTGGCTCGCAGAGAATTTCTCACAAGGGATATGAAGAAGTACTTGTTCCTGCTGTGAGAAACATGGATGAAGATGCTGTGCTCAAGAAAATTGCTGAATTGCCTGCTTGGGCACAACCTGCTTTTGCAGGAGTTGATTCTCTCAACAGGATCCAATCCAAAGTCTGCGAAACTGCTTTATATTCGCCTGAGAATATGTTGGTTTGTGCTCCGACTGGTGCAGGAAAGACGAATGTTGCCCTTTTAACTATGCTGCATGAGATTGGTTTGCATCTGAACACAGATGGCACCTTTAAATTGGATGAATTCAAGATTGTGTATCTTGCTCCAATGAAGGCCTTGGTTGCAGAAATCGTACTGAATTTCCAAAATCGTTTGGAGGCATTTGGTATTAAGGTCAAGGAATTCACTGGTGATGTTCATTTGAATAAGCAGCAACTTGCAGAGGCGAATATCATTGTCATGACACCAGAAAAGTTCGATGTGATCACCCGAAAGGGAGATGCTAGGCCGTTCACTCGTTTGGTGCGATTGATTGTTATCGATGAAATTCATCTCCTCCATGACAGTCGTGGTCCTGTGATTGAAACACTTGTTACTAGAACTATTCGACAGATCGAGGCCACACAGGAACTTGTTCGTATCGTTGGCCTTTCTGCAACTTTGCCGAATTACCACGATGTTGCTGCTATGCTTCGTGTAAACACTGAAAAAGGCCTCTTCTATTTTGATAACAGTTTCCGTCCTGTTCCGTTGGAGCAAATGTACATCGGAATTACTGAGAAGAAAGCTTTGAAACGATTCCAGCTCATGAATGAAATTACGTACGAGAAAGTTGTGGAACAGGCTGGCAAGAATCAAGTTCTCGTCTTTGTTCATTCGCGCAAAGAAACAGCCAAGACTGCACGAGCCATTCGAAGCATGGCGGAGGAGAACGATACTTTGGGTAGGTTCATGGTAGAGGACAGTGCTTCTCAAGAAATTTGCAGAGAAATGGCAGAAACTGCCAAGAGCGCTGATCTTAAGGAGTTGCTACCCTTTGGATTCGGAATTCATCATGCGGGTCTTGCTCGCTCAGACCGTGAGCTTGTGGAAAGTCTATTCGCGGATGGTCATCTGCAAATTTTGGTATCCACCGCTACGCTGGCATGGGGTGTCAATTTACCTGCGCACACTGTGATCATCAAAGGAACTCAAATTTACAACCCAGAAGCAGGCAGATGGGTTGAGTTGAGTGCTCTCGATGTAATGCAGATGATGGGTCGTGCAGGTCGTCCTCAGTATGATACCAGCGGAACAGGTATCATCATTACGACATACAACGAATTGCAGTACTACCTCTCTCTGCTAAATCAGCAACTTCCGATCGAGAGTCAGATGATCACACCGTTGCCAGACATTCTGAATTCAGAGATTGTCCTCGGAAGTATCCAGAATGTTCGTGATGCAGTCAACTGGTTGGGCTACACATATTTGTACATTCGTATGCTGAAAAATCCATCGCTGTACGGAATAACGGCAGAGGAGCTGGCTGAAGATCCGATCCTTGAACAGCGGCGAGTTGATCTTATTCATACTGCTGCTTCAGCTTTGTTCAAGGCCAATCTTATCAAGTATGATCGAAAGTCTGGAAATTTGCAGTGCACCGACCTCGGACGCGTCGCGTCGTATTTTTATGTCTCATACAATTCCATTGCGACATTCAACGATCACTTGAAGCCGACTGTTAGTGACATTGAAATCTTGCGAATTTTCTCACTGGCTGGAGAATTCAAGAACATGGTTGTCAGAGAAGAAGAGAAAATTGAGTTGCTCAAACTTGCTGATCGCGTGCCTATTCCAATTAAGGAAAGCGTGGAGGAGCCAACAGCAAAAGTGAATGTTCTTCTTCAATCTTACATTTCTCAGCTCAAGCTGGATGGATTTGCTCTGCTGGCTGACATGGTGTACATTACGCAAAGTGCAGGTCGATTGTTTAGGGCACTCTACGAAATTGTGGTTCGACGCGGTTGGGCTTCTCTGGCATTGAAATGTCTGAACCTCTGCAAGATGATTGATCACCGCATGTGGGGCAGTATGATCCCGCTTCGTCAGTTCAAAGCCATCCCTGAGGAAGTTCTCAAGAAGCTTGAGAAGAAGGATGTCATTCAATGGGAGAGATTTTTGGACATGTCACCGCAGGAGATTGGAGAGTTGATTCGATTCCCAAAGATGGGCAAAACAATCCATAAGTTGATCCATCAGTTCCCCAAGCTTGATCTCAGCGCACATGTGCAACCCATCACCAGGAATGTAATGAAGGTGGAATTGATTATCACCCCTGACTTTCAGTGGGATGATAAAGTACATGGGTCTGCAGAACTCTTTCATGTCTTCGTTGAAGATGTTGATCAAGAAACGATCCTGCACACCGAACTGTTCATCTTGAAGGGGCGCTACATCGATGAAGAGCACATCATTTCGCTCACTGTCCCTATGATGGAACCAGTTCCACCACAGTACTTTGTTCGTGTTGTTTCAGATCGATGGTTGGCTGCTGAAACAGTGCTTCCAATTTCCTTCAGACATCTGATTTTGCCAGAGAAATTTCCTCCTCGAACTGAGCTGCTGGATTTGCAGCCCCTGCCAGTAAGCGCCCTTCGCAATCCAGTCTACGAAGCCATATATTCGAAGAAATTCAAAACCTTCAATGCTATTCAGACTCAAGTGCACAATACTCTCTATAACACAAATGACAACACTCTGATTGCCGCCCCGACTGGAAGTGGAAAAACTATTTGTGCAGAATTTGCTTTGCTTAGGGCACTTTCGGAGAAGCCTGATGGGAAGATTGTATATGTCGCCCCGTTGGACGCCATTGTCCTTCAACGATACAAGGAGTGGTCAGAGAAGTTTTCTCATCTTGAAGCTGTAATGGGCATTGGAATGTTGACAGGTGAGTCAACGACCGATCTGAAGGTTTTGGACAAGTGTACCATTGTGCTCAGTGCTCCTGAACCATGGGATATGCTTTCAAGAAGGTGGAAGCAGAGGAAAAATGTGCAGAATGTATCCCTGTTTATCGTGGATGAAATTCACTTGATCGGCGGTGACAAAGGACCGGTTTTGGAAGTTATTACTTCAAGAATGAGGTACATTGGTTCACAGACGGAGCAGAAAACTCGTATTGTGGCTCTTTCTGCATCTGTTGCGAATGCCAAGGATCTTGGAGAGTGGATTGGAGCCTCGTCACACTCGTTGTACAGCTTTCATCCGAATGTCCGTCCGATTCCGCTTGAGATTCACATCCAGGGCTTTGATATCCCACATTATGCGTCGCGCATTCTGGCGATGAGCAAGCCGATGTACAACGCCATCTGCTCGCATTCGCCTGGCAAGCCTGCAATGGTGGTGGTAGCAGACAGGAAGCAGGTAAACCGATGCCCGCAAGATGAAATGGCACTGACTGACTTCTTTGTAGGCTCGGATTACTGCCCTCGATATTATTGCGTATGCCGGTGTCGATGAGGATACGCATCGCTTTTTGAATTGTTCTCCGGAGGTCTTGTTTGCATTTGCGGATGTGTCTGTTCTGAGTTTATAACGACAGGATTTGGAACCATTCCTCTCGAAAGTGAAAGATAAAACTCTCAAGGAGACTCTGCCGTACGGGTAAGCGGTTCTCGTGAAGAAGGGTGTCTCGACTGTGACTTTGTTCTCAGGGTTGGGTTGATCCATGATGGTCTGAGCGATGCGGACTTGGGGCTCGTAGAGACTCTGATTTCGTCCGGAGCGTTGCTGGTCGTAGTGGTTGCACGAGAAAAGTGCTGGGGCCTTGCAATCAATGTGCATCTTGTGGTTATCATGGGCACTGAAAGCTTTGATGGAAGGGAACATCGATACTTGAATTACCCGATCACCGATGTTCTTCAAATCATGGGCTGTGCTGGTCGTCATGGGCAAGATCCAGTTGGCAAAGCTGTCATTCTATGCCATACCCCAAAGAAGGAATATTACAAGAAGTTCCTTTATGAACCGGTTCCTGTCGAAAGTCACCTTGATCACTTCCTTCATGACCACATCAGCGCCGAGGTGGTGACGAAGGTATGCACTCCTTGCCGTTAACGACATGTTGCCTGACTGGTTTCGCAGGTTATCGAGAACAAGCAAGAAGCGGTCGATTACTTGACATGGACATTTTACTATCGACGGCTTACTCTCAATCCAAACTACTATAACATGACTGGAACGACGCATCGCCATATCTCAGATCATTTGTCCGAGCTTGTTGAGAACATTATCACGGATTTGGAGCAGAGCAAGTGCTTGACGGTGGAAGATGATGGAAACGATGTTTCGTCCTTGAACCTTGGAATGATCGCTGCGTACTACTACATCCGCTATACAACCATTGAGCTTTTCAATTCGTCGCTCAATGAAAAAACGAAAATCAAGGGAATTCTGGAGATCTTGACAGCGGCTTCCGAGTTTGACAACTTGCCGATACGTCATGGAGAAGAAAGGGCCCTGAAGCAACTGGCAGCTCATGTTCCCCTGAGTGTCGAGAAGATGAAGTTCACGGATCCGCACACGAAGGCATTCCTGCTGCTCCAGGCCCATCTCTCCCGTATGCCACTGGCTGGCGATCTTGCTATGGATCAGAAGCAAGTTCTCAGGGACGTGCTCAGACTTGTGCAGGCCATGGTGGACGTGATGAGCTCGAGTGGTTGGTTGAAGCCCGCCCTTGCCGCCATGGAGGTGTCGCAGATGGTCGTGCAGGCACTGTGGGACTCATCCTCAAATCTCATGCAGCTTCCGAACTTCACGAACGATCTTGCCAAAAAGTGCACGGATGCTGGAATTGAGAATGTCTTCGATCTCATGGATATGGAGGACGACGATCGTATCAAACTGCTTGAGATGCCTCAGAGCAAGTTGGGTCAGATTGCCGCTGTTTGCAACCGCTTCCCCAACATCAACCTAGAATACGAAGTCGTCGATGCTGACAGCATCAGCGCGGGTGAACAGGTTGTGGTCACGATTCGCCTGGAGAGGGATCAAGATTCCGAGGTCGGCAAGGTTCATGCGCCTTACTATCCCAAGGAGAAAGACGAAGCTTGGTGGGTCCTCGTTGGCGACCCTTCTGCAAGCTTCTTGCATGCCATCAAGCGCATCCCTCCGTTCCAGCGCAAGGCAAATGTGAAGCTCGACTTCACGGCCCCCGAGACTCCAGGGACAAGCAAGCTGACTCTCTTCCTCATGTGCGACGCATGGTCAGGATGCGATCAGGAGTACGAGTTCGATATGGACGTGAAAGAGGCCATGGAGGAAGACTGAAGGAGGGAGTTGTCGCCCTGCTAGAAGCAAACTGCTGGCTGATGTCAATAAATTCTTGAAACTTTTTAGATTGCGAGTCGCTTCCGTTGCGTGAGGACGCTGAAAGGCATTCACAAAGAGGTAGAGGATGCAGTGAAGAGTAGACCGTTCTTCCTCAAGCGTGCGACAGGCTGGCTTCGCGTTCAGAGTCGCCTTAGGGTCCCTGAGCTTGTTTCGCTTTCATTCTCTAGCTCGCCCAATCGTGCTGTTATGGTGCAGAGAATCGTCTGCTGACTTCAAGCATCAACAAGAGCCCCTCCCTGTAGCTTTTCTTCCCTTCCGTGATGGAATCAAAGACGCCAAAAGGCGAGAGAACAAGAAATGCAGGCAGCTGGCTGGCTGGCTGGCTGGCTGGCTGGTACATGAAAAACAATTTATTCCATGTGTGGATGTGTAGAGAAGAAATTGTGGGTTGCGAAGCTAGTGGAGATGGAAATGAAAGGGGTTTCATTGTTATTCAGCCATCTCAAATATGTTACAAGGCCACATCAAGGCATGCCTGCATGCCACGAAAGTTTCACTGCTTTCGGGATTTTTTCTTGCCTCCCTTGTCTTTCTCTGTCGCGCCCCCATGCCTCTTGCTGCCGCTCTGCTGAACCTCCGGAGCCAACTTGCTCTGGATCAAGCTCTGATCGGCCTCACTCAGTTCTCCCCATCCGCTGACGTCCTCGAGACGAAACTCCTGATCTGCTTCTGTTGACTGTCAGAAGCCATGCAAGACGACAATTGCGGACAGTACCTAGGATTTCAGGGAGAAACTTCGCAGCGCCATCAATGCAAGCGTATCCGTACGATTCCATGCCATTGCGATAGCCCAGTCTCAGCTGCCCTTTGATGAAATCAGACTTGGTGACTTTGCACTTGCCTCTTCCACTCTGCTCAATTTTGTCAGACCCTCCCGCGACTGTCAGATGGTCTCGTACCTTGTTGTAGTCGAAGAGAGTGTTCTTGAGGAAGCACGACGGGTGAAGCCATGACACCACGAAGCGACCTCCTCGGAACGTGTCGACCCCAACGCGCTTGTCCCCTGTCGGGATTTTTTCCTGGCACGCAGGGCATTTCGCTCTGAGATTGAGCAGACAGCCCTCAGCATTGAGCCTACATTTGAGGTTGGAAGGATAGGAACTCACCTTCCACTCTTGGCGTCTTCTAGAAACACTCCTTTAAACAAGCTATCCTCCTCCAGCTCCTGTCTTGCTCCCTTCTTTTCCTCCTGCTCTTTCTCTGCTTCTGTTCGCAACACCGGCATTCCCTTATATCCCCGACGGTGTAGATGAGGCGGGCCGCTTGGGGCCGGGGCCAGGCCCGCCGGGGTCACCGGGTGATGGAGCGTATGCCAGCCGTGCCAGTCAGATAGCGCCGAGTTAACAAAAACTCTCCTGTAAACCAAGACGACTTACGTGTTTCAAGGCGGCATGTAGCGTGTGGGACAAAGAGGGGGCTTTCCTAGCCGTCTTGTTAAGGTCCTCTCATGTCTGGATGCTTGGGTTTCACATCATCCTAGCATACAGTCTATCTCTCATGTGCTCCTCAATTCTGGTTTTGTGTGCATTAAACTCGGTCTTGAGCAAAAACTGTCTTGTTACAACTAAGGTCGATGTGATGTCTGCGTGACTTTGGACTAGTACAAGTCTAACATACTTGTATTCCGTCACCGGGCCGGGCCGGGGTCTCGGTGCTGCATATTCATGGGCCAGTCGGGCCGGCACTTACCCCGGCGGCACGACTCCGGGGCGCGGCTGCCACGGTGTCACGGTCACGAATCATCTGATGATCGCGTCAAGGCGCATCTGGCGTCACGCTTGGGGATAGCAGCAACACCAAACAAATTCCGACGGTTGTGTTGATTCCATCCCGTGTTTGAAGTCAGGCTGGATGACAAACAGTACCTGTACGGGACCGGAGGCTTGAAACGGCAAAGCAATGGCATACTGATTTACTATTCACAGTGACTGGCAAACATCCTGAGGTTTGACCGTCACGTAAATTATTTCTACTTAGCCCTCGTTCAGGAAACAATGATGTCTAGCTGCAGGAAACTTCGATCTCAAACACTGGCCAACGGGTGGAGCCGAGGTATGCCGGGTAGGACTGATTGAGGATGGACGCTGCATCCCCTTGGCCGAAGCTGAAGAAGAGAAGGCGATAGGTCGCACTCGTGGCGTTCTCTATGCGTAGATCCGTAAAGGCAGCGAAGCCAGCAAAGGGGTCGACCCTTGCAGTCAAGTTGCCGGTAAGGTTTCCTTGATGTCTGCCGACAAGTCAGTTACCCGCTGTTAACAAACAAATTCACTCACCCAAGGCACCTCCACGGCTTGTCGATGTCAACACAGGACGAAGCGAGCACGACGGCGATGCTCGCGTTTGCAGTGAGATCTACCTCTGCTGGTAAGTCGCCGAAGGTAGCAGAGGGCAGGTGACGGAGCAGCCTGATCCTGATAGGCGACAGCTCGCCAGCTTCACAGGAGGTAGCGTTGAGGAGCTGAAGGCTTCGGTTCCAACAGTCCTGGTAGCACCTCACCCCACAGCAAGATGATCTCAAGTCCTTGGTGTTGGAGCTGACCTCGCCAGCTGACGCGTTGCAGTACCTGAGGCACTCAGCGATCTTGGATCCAGCGTCCTGGTCATACGAACAGGAGTGCAAGGCACGATTCATGTCGCAGATGTTGGCGGAGGTCAAGCAGAACTGCTCGGTAGCGACCCCGGCACTTGCTGTGGTCTCTGTGTGGACCGTAGACAGGAAGGAATGATGGACACGGACCTGTGGGAGGTATACACTCGTCGTGACATTGACATCGTCGAACTTCGCCTCGCCGACCGGGTTCACCAGTGTGAAGTTCACAGTGTACAGTCGCTCACGCCTCACTCCCTGACCGATTAACCGGAGGACCACTCGGCCATGTTCTCTCTCGAAGACGCAGTAAGGGTGAAAGGCACCCTCGGGGTAAGAGTCGCACTTGAGTCTGTTGCTGCTCCTAGTCTGCATGTTGCGAAGCCCCGAGAGCGTTATGTTGGTGAAGGACGCGGGTAAGTCCGAGTTCCACATGAGCTGGACTTGAAACACATTGGATAGTCCTGGGTAAGGAGAAAGATAGATCAGCCTCGGGTCGATCGCCTTCATAGCCAGTGCGTAAAGAGGAGCCCCGGCTCTCGGAACCCCGAGGATGGAAGAATTCGATTGTACCATGACCGTTGCGGTGAGGTACGAGTCGAAGTTGCCGCACTCGATCATGACGTCCATACTCAGGTTCTTGGGGAATACAGCAGCCTCATCGGGCTGTATCAGGCTGAACCAAAAGATGTTCAACTGATGTGATAGTGTTCCCTCCAATCCAACCGAGACAGACAATTTCCCGTCTCCAACGTTCCATGCAGATACGGTCTGATGCGAGAAATTCCCGTAGACATCAATGTGGTTTACATTGCTGCCCGTTCCAACTAGACCCAAGACACGGATTGTTGAAAGATGTGTTATGTTGCAGTTGGAACTGAAGTAAACTCTGAGGGTGTTGTTTTTGTCGGGGAGGAAGGACAACTGCCTAATGAAAGCGATCTCTAGTACAGGTATGATCACATAAAGAGGAAGTGAGCCATTGACCACACCATAACGTGATTCAAACACATTCGACATGAGCGAGGTGTTTAGAATTCCGCTCCTCTTCTCAGAAATGTTCAGGTGGGTCTCGATTGTTGCATTAATGCTTACGTAGACATGATCTTGCGCTCTGTCATTATTGCGAAGTTCCACCTCTACTGTGTAATTTTCATCCTTTTTCAAGCCGTCATTGGTGACATGCAACACTAACATGCCATCCTCCTGAAGCCATGTAGACAAGTTCCTAATGCTATCAATTGGTTTGTAATTGCTGGTACGGACCACAGGCAATGCAGCATCTGCTGTCAGACTGCGGACCAAACCACTTATCGTAATGTTCGAATCCTGAACCAGGTCGAAGTTCATTTGGAGAACAACTTTAAGGATATTAGAAGCTTGATACAGGGGATTGTTTTGAGAAACTTCTTGAATGTTGAATGAGACGTCAAATACAAGAAGTGGTCGCTTGCCTTGATGTATCCCGAATACAGATTCATTCGATGTATTGATGAGCTTTGATTCAACAGGGGAAAAATCCTGAAATACAGAAGCCACCTCTGCTTCAATAGAAATGTTCGGAGGGGGTTGCGATGATCGGGTGTTGTCAATGTAAAACCAGAATGTATACACATACCATTTCGAGAAGCTCACATTCCCCACTGTGAAAGTCAGAGTGTGGTTTTCTTGAGTCCAATCTGTTGTGATGTGCGATATTGCGCTCAGCGTATCATCCGTTGAAGAATAAAGGGATATTTTCCTTGGCGCGTACATGCCAAGCATGCTCTTCAGAGTAATTGTAGTGTAAGGCGTGAATTCACAGCTCGTTTGCAAAGCTATCAGCAAAGAATTGGAAGAACCAGGGAAAGGGTGTGACTGTTCGAGCTTGGTGAAAGTCAAGTAGGGAACGTGTATTAGCAATGGATGGGAGCCATTGACAATTTCGTAAATATCATATGTGACTTTGTTCATCTCATTGAAATACATAACAGATAGCTCCTTGTATTCGTTTCTAACCGACAATCCAATACTTATTGTAGGAGACGCATGATTGTTCTTTGGATTTGTCAAATTGAAACGAACTTCAATATCACGCTGCACCAAAAGATTGACATTCGAAACCTTTGTGCTGTTCATCAACTGTGCAAATCCACATGATGAAGACGAACAGAACCGATCGAACGACTTTACAGAAACTATTGAAAGAATTCCTTGCGACCAGTTTCCTGAAGTCCCAAAAACGTCATCAGTGGAAACAACAGGAATTCCTTCTTGAAACTCAATGGCAGACCCCGTCAGACCAATCAAGCTAACGCTGGAACCTTCCGAGATGTCACAATTTGGTCGGAGACGAAGTGAAATCTCATTGACAACTGAATGAAGAGGAGTACTCTGCCAAATGTCCCGGACATGAAAAAGCGGGACAATAATCTCCAAGGGGTTCGACCCGTTGTACACGCCCCGCCAGTAGATACCCTCCTTCTCTGCCTCCGCCTCGTAGATCCGCGACAGGTCCCCGTACGGCCCTACTACCGTCCCGTTGATCGTCACCGCCGGCGATGCCTGCGCCGTAGCCGGGTTGGTCAGGTTGAACGTGATCACTACCTCCGTCGCCTCGTTGGAGGTCGATAAGTCGAAGCGAAGCCAGTCCGCCGCCGCCGTCAGCTCTAGTACCCCGTCCCCTGACGTCCACGCCCCCGTCGTCCCCAGTAGCCCTCCCGTCGTGCTCACGCTCAGCGCCGTCTCGTCTATGGTCTGCGACCCCGTCAGCCCGCGCAGCGTTATCTTCGACCCCTTGCTGATGTCGCACGTCGCCCTCAGCGTCACCGTGATGAGGTTGAGCACCCCCGCCAGCGGCGTGTCCTGCCTGATACTCACGTCCAGCTCCGGTACGATCACCTGCAAGGGGTTCGACCCGTTGTACACGCCCCGCCAGTAGATACCCTCCTTCGCTGCCTCCGCCTCGTAGATCCGCGACAGGTCCCCGTACGGCCCTACTACCGTCCCGTTGATCGTCACCGCCGGCGATGCCTGCGCCGTAGCCGGGTTGGTCAGGTTGAACGTGATCACTACCTCCGTCGCCTCGTTGGAGGTCGATAAGTCGAAGCGAAGCCAGTCCGCCGCCGCCGTCAGCTCTAGTACCCCGTCCCCTGACGTCCACGCCCCCGTCGTCCCCAGTAGCCCTCCCGTCGTGCTCACGCTCAGCGCCGTCTCGTCTATGGTCTGCGACCCCGTCAGCCCGCGCAGCGTTATCTTCGACCCCTTGCTGATGTCACAGTTTGCCGTTAAGGTTATTGTTATCTTATTTTTTGTTTGCACAAAAGGGTTGTCCTGTGATATTAATGTTTTAGTGAATGTAGGTACGATTGTCTTCAGTGGTTCGCTTCCGTTTATCACGCTGAGCAGGGAGGTTTTTTCTTTTTCAACAAGTGTTTTTTGTGTAAAGGAATCATATTGTCCAGATTCGATTCGAACTTGTATTGTTATCAATGGAGAGCTTTGAGTATTTGTTGGATTGCTTAGATTAAAGAATATCTCGTAAGATGAATTGTTCAACGAGTTCCTCGTTGTCACAATCATTGTGCCATTGCTCAACCATTGACCCACGGAAGCACCGCTTTGCTCAAATACAATGGGAAGATTTTGATCATCTCCGCTTGTGCTTCCTGTCAAACCTTCGATCAGGATGACTGACTCAGCAGTCAATTCACAATTCAGGGCAAATTTGAAATAAATGGTGTTCAATGCTGAAGCTAAAGGTGTTGTCTGTCCGGAGAGGGTGTAAGATATGGACGGTTGAACAACATACAAAATTTTCCCACCCGACGGAATTCCGAACGAATCTAAAGCATCAGATGTCATCTCTGTCAACGGAAACGAGCAATTTGGAGTGTTGACACTGATATTAACATTTGATCCGATGAAGCCTTCGGATGGATTTCTCACATCCAAATAAAATGAGAATGAATCACCCGAATAAATGTCAAAAGGCAATAATAGTTCAAAAGTTCCATTCGCAAACATGCCTTCAATACTCTGTCCACTCGTGAGATGGACACTGACTGTACTTTCAATGACGTAATGATCAATTCCAAAGATTCGGATTGTCGTAGGGGTCAACAGATCAATATTGCTTGTTATTTGAACATCTAAGCGATTCGATGCACTTGTCAACGGGTTGGATTGCTGTACTTTGCTCACATCTAAGGTGGGTTTGACAATGCGCATTGGGCTGCTTCCATTAACAACGCCCAAAACTTTTATAGAGGAAACTTCCATTTGAATCTGATCAAGTTGCGCGATGAGGACATAATCTGTAGCTAAAATGTCACCTTGAATAAAGATACTTTGTGAAGGTTGCTCAATCCAAGAATTCTCCAGGGAAACCTCAAAGTTGATCAGAGTTTGAGATGGCACGGTGCCCTCAAAAGTCAACAGCAACCTTCCAGAATCTTGAGCCCAAGATGCATTTATTGAGGTCTGAGGAGTAATGATCTGAACAGGGAAAGATTGCGCAGTCAAAGTGCTACTTCCGATTAAGCCTGAAATGGTGAAAGCAGAACCAGGAGACAACTCATAATTTATCGCGACATCGAATGTAATCCGATTAAGTCCCAAGGCGATGGGATTACTTTGTTCTGCATAACGTGTTAGGAAAATAGGCAGCCGTACAGTCAAGGGATCTGTGCCATTCGTGATCCCAAAAAGCGTCTCGTGTGGTTTTAACATCAGTGAAAGGGGAATTAAAGAGTCATGGATTCCACTTTCTATCGTCATGCCTATTGAAATAGATGGAGAGTCCGAATCTATTGAAGGATTCTGAACAACAAATTGTAAGGATACTACTTCCGAAGCTTGAATGGTTTGAAGAGACTGGACGATCAAAGTTCCGTTTCCTTGATACCACTCCGGGTTCTCTTGAAACACGCCCTTGGTCGATTGTAAAACTATCTGGCCAAAGCTTTGTGTTCCCGTCAAACCAATGATGGTCAAAAATGAATTCGGTGTAATGTCGCAGGAAAAACTTATCGTCACGTTGATAAGATTCGCAGAGTTGGGAACGGTTGTGTTTTGCAAAATAAGTTTGGCCGTGAACTCCGGCTGCACAATTAGAAGAGCATTTGCTCCGTTGTCAACTCCCAACAAAGAACTATTGGGTGAGTTTAGCAAGGCGGGTCCGATGACTTCAGAATCGTTGCATGAAATGTATATGGCAGGGTTGAGCTGCGCAGAAGAAGGGTTTTGGATGAGGAAATAGAAAGAATACTGAGTGTTAGCTGTCAAGGCTTCTGTTGAAAAGAATTGCATCGTCCAGGAATTATATTCCCATACAGCAGTAGCGGCTGTGTTCAGATCCCAGAACAAAGAAGCATCTTGCCCCAACAACTGGACAGTTGATGTGACAATCGCATTTGTCAATCCTGACAATTCGAACGAAGCTCCTGCTGAAATGTTCTGATCCAAAGAGAATGTCAGGTTGAGGTAGTTTGAGGCGTCTGTCAGAGGGTTGGTCTGACTGATCCTCTTCACGACGAAGCTCCCCCCTGCGCTGGTTGCAACATTCGAGAGAACCAAGATTACCGTCAAAAACAAGTGCACCCCACGTTTACTTCCAGGGACCATCTTCAGGGCAGCCAGTCGGATCCTCAAGAATCAGGATGCAGCATGAAGAAGCAAGGAAGCGAGCGCACTCCTCTCCTCCTCCATCCCGCCGCCCCTCTCATCCCTGCGCTCCCCTAACCCCATCGCTCAGATTGTGCGCCATCGTGACTCGAAGCGACAGCGCTCCGTAGCTCCAGTCGGTCCAGGCCTGCCGATGACCCACTGCCGATGACCGATGACCATCGGACTCTTGCCGACTCTGTGACCGGGCCCGGCCGGTTGAGGCCAGCGGGCCCCACCGGCGTCACGGTCCGGTCGTACTTAAGTCTTGATTGTCCTCGTACTGATTTGAATTTCGAGGTAGGAATAGTCGGCGACTCGCCTCCCCGCCGGGTGACACTGTCGCACAGGCCCGGCCATCACCCCCTTACTACTACAGTCATCATTTGAGTGTCAAGCGGCTGAGAGGAAGCGGCCTGCCCTGACCGGGGGCCGGGCGCCGGCCGGGCCGGGCCGTGGCGTCATGAACCGCCCGGCTGCCGACCGGCGGCGGGCCGCCGGCCCGGCCCGGACGGTGTCCGATCCCGGCGGCCGCCCCCGCGGCCGGCTAGATGATTAGCCTCGGATCACCCGGCGATGTGATCTACCCGGGGGGGGCCGCGTACTCGCACAGGCCATACGGCAAGAACTTCAGTGGAGCCTACACTGTGAGACTCGGCCTCAGTGAGAACAAACCGGGCCGGCCGGGGCCCGAACTTCGGAACCCAAAACTCCGAAGCCTTATTTTTTATTTTGGTGTAAAACGTGAAAAAAACTTTGACGTGGGGCCTGACACGCTCCTTTCACAGAAGAGTTGCATGGCAGGGCGATAATGCGGGGAATGGCAGGAGGAGAAGCGGCGGCAGCACTGCTGGTGCCACTGCTAGGCGTCATGCTTCATTCCTGCCTGGCCCAAGACATCCAGCCGACTTGCTGCCCGGACCTCATCTACACCAATGGGCAAAGAACGTGCTGCCGGTGAGGCAACGAAAAACAACCTGGCCATTGACATCTTGTGGTTTGATCAGTGCGGAGGATTGTTCTTCATGCAGACAAATAACAGGATTTCTTTCAGATATGTCTTAGAAAACTAATTGACATTAGATCTTCAGGGAGGGAGGTGTTGAACAACGTCACTGTTCAAAAAGATATCAGCATCACCTTGGAAGCGGTTCCTTTTGGTACTTTGTGTCCCTCTCCAGACCTATCGAATCCTGAAGGAATCATCCTCTTTTTCTGTTTCCTGCCTGTTTATTTTTGATATCGACAGGAGTGTTATGCAAGAGGATCTGTTCAACTACTACAACTCAGCATGATTTTGTTTTCCATCGTGTGGTACTGAACATGCGCACAAGCGTGTACACGAGGAGGCATGACCTATCGTTTCAATCAGGCTGCATCCAATTTGATGTATGATACCGAACAATGTCCAGATTGTTGCTTGCCAAACTTCGCCAGCGAAGTAATGCCATGCTCTAGGTCAAACTTCTTTTGGTCACCATGAACACCTGACTGTAAGAGCAGAGATTGCAACCTAGGAGATGTGAAGTGTTTCGTTTGTAGCAGCGATTCTCCTGATTCCACCAGAGGAAAGCAATGCACTGGGTATCTGGACTCTTCCTGCAGCGTACTTCTCTCTCTCATTTAACTATAGCTAACAGGATAATGCTTACCAGGTACAGAACACTGCAGGAATATTTCAGGGTAAATGCGTTGGTCATACTTGTACCCGCTACAAATTTTTGCTTTCATGGAATTTATTCGAAAGGTGTCAGACTTGATTGTCTATCGTTTCTATCTACTGTTTGCAACAGTATTGAATTAATACTGAATCGTATTTCACAGCTTTCAAATCAGGATATTTGCACCTGCTAAGTACATGTATACCTGGAAGCCCACGAAATCGGGCATCTTAATCTTGCACTATCGGGTTGACACCAGATGCTGCTGATTTGTGCTTCAGTCATTTGTTTGAGTACCAGGTTCGCTTGGGGCCTGATAGGTATGCCTGCTGTCCATATGCAACGGAAACATGCTGTCTATCGAGCGCTGGCGCAAGTCTGGGCTATGTGAGCACGAGGCTCTGTAATGGACCTTCGTCATGCAGCGACGGAAGTACTTGCTCTGGTGAGACAATGCTCAGAACTTGTCCTATCGAAGTTACACGCGTCTTCGTAGCAAAGTGTAGCTGCCCTTCATTTGTTTCTCAATCTCGTCTTGGTTCTGTACAAGGGCAGATTCCGTCGGGAGATCAGTCATGTTGGGTTGCTGCAGGTAAGCAGACGTGAAGGAGCGTGGTATTCCAATCTTACTCTTTAATTCTCTGCAATGCCACAGGGCAAACTGACGGAGATTTCTGCTTGATGTACAACATACTCTACCAGATCAACATAGACATGGTTAAATTTCATTCAGTGACAGGTGAATTTACTTCAGATTCCTTTCAAGCTTTGTAACATCAAGTCAGACAAATTGACGGTTGTTCTTTTCTAGGGTTTGGACAGGGGTTAAAAATGTTAAGCGATATTCAAAAGGTCAATCAGAACATTAGACCCGATGCTCCCGGTCTCCATGAAGTCAAGGTAAACCTTGAATTGTTCAAACCAGGCCTGACGGGGTTTCAGCTTACTAGTGAGGGATTGGTTCTAGATGTAGAATTTGCCTCTCCTGTATCAGCTGGGCTATCTTACTCGTTGGAAGGAGTCACTTTCGACGTATAATCCTTTTTGATCTTACATCATATAAGAAAAGCACAGATCTTTGGGCCAGCTACTTCGAAGATGTCCTTAGTATGCTCAGGATCCTATGAAGCACTTTTGAACCCAACATCTATGACGATGCGATCGTACATTCTACCAAGTACAGCAGGTCAGGGTGATTTGCTGTTTCAAAGATGTCGGAGGGATCTCCTTCACGTAATCTTTGTGATTGTTAAATTCAGGCTCAAATGAGCAGAGCACGATGTCGTTGAGCCCATCTTGCATGGTTGCTTCTCGGAGGTTGCTACAGGGGAAAACTCACATTTCTGTAGGCACAAACATCCTGCGAAACTTGCCTTGCCTTCACATTTAACGGACTTTTATGTGAATGGAACCCAATGATCCGACAGTGTGTTCAGCAAGGAACTTCTTCGATCGTCATCAAGTTGAACCAGTGCGTGGCCAGCCCTCCTCCATTGACAGGGAGCAAAGGTGAGGGATGTTCGATTCTGAAATGACCAGACTCCTGACCATGTTGTTTTCAACCCCAGAGCTTGCAAAAAGCTTTGGTCCCATCATTGCAACCTTTTTCATCATAGGGACTGTGGTGCTGGCTTACGTGTACAACACAAGGTACTAGGAACGTGTGTAGGAGGATGGGTCCACTAAATCTCAGCTGTTCTGTCGGATCAGATACGCAAACAATCAAGCCCCCATGATAGAGCGAGAAAGTAATTTGATCCGACATTCAGACAAGTACGAACAGAAGAGGTATGTTCTACCTTTTCTCTCGGTCGGGACGGGTTGTCACATTTCAAAGGCATTGGGATCCTCGACTGGTTCATCCAAGACCGATTGAAAGGGGACCCAAGGGTGAAGTGGACTACCAGAGGTAACAAGAGGGCATGTTGACGTGCAATGTTAGTTTAACGAGAAAGCTTCTGTATTCTGTGTGATACCAAGTATTTCGTAACACGAAAACTGATTGTTTTAATTGCAGTGAGGTCATGCAGAAACGGCTCGAGGACCCCAAGACTCCTTACCATTTGATGGATGAGGAGACGGTTGCAAGACATCATGAGAAGCATGGATATGTCACGGAAACACAAATATTATCCTGAGGGTCACAAATATGTACCCCTCTTGTGCCTTATTTGAAATCGAGATGGTTCTCAATGCGTGAGACAGTAAAAGTTGTTGTAATCCATTCAAAAGACAAGAAATTTACACGTTATTCTTCGAAGCCAGCTTTTTCTGCATACAAGTAAGACGATGAAGAATTCTGTGTACTGAAAGTACCGCATCATCTTCTGCTTGTTTCTCTTTCAAAACTTGAGCGTTAGTTTCCTTTTCCATGGCCTTGGGAGGCAGCGATTACAGCCCCGAACTCTGCCTCCACTTCACCTCACCTGATCTCTTGCCTTGTACTTCTCCTGCATGTTGTGCAATGTCCTCTTGGCCTGATGGTAACCATTCAGCATGCGACAGGACACGTTCAACGGATTGCCTCTTGTAAGCTCTTGTGCCTGCGGCTCTTTACGACCAACTCAGTTGACAAGGTTTCCCTCTCAGAATCAACCTTGTCGAAACAACAGTCAACATCCAAGCAAAGACAAACATTTTGTCATGTGCACCATATCCTTGTCGTCGATCGATTTTAGCAGCTCCTGATGCGACTTCTTCTGAGTTGTAGCAATCTTATTCTGGAGGCTCCTGATTCGCATCTTGATCTTCAAAGCCTTTTCTTTGAGTGCAGTAATCTGCACGGGAGGTCGGCAAGTCATGAGATTTCTCCTTCATATCAAGATGTCGTACCTTCAAAGACGATTTCTGAACATCTTTGAGGTCCCGTGCAAACCCAGACTTGGCACCGAGGGCCTCCTTCTTAATACGAACTAAGTTCTTCTCAAGATCAGCAACTCGATCCAGGTCAGATCTAAAATTGTCATCATGCTATCAGTTCGAACTGAACGATGGAAACGACAGAGCTCAACTGCTCACCGAGCAATTGAAATGTCATCTGCAGCCCTCATACGAAGCAGGTGGGCTCTTGTTCGCTCTAATTTCGATCTGTAGTTTAAGCTGTCTTCCTTAATCCGAAGTCTTCGCATACCCTGTCAGTTCGAATTCCAACATCAGCACAGCTCCACCTAAACCGTTGAGGGAGTTTTCACTCACCTTCCCCCCAAGTTTGACTTGACTGTTACCAACTCTAGACGAACTAGCCAGGTCTTCGTTTGCTTGCAGAGACAAACTGCTCTCTTGAGCATTCCACATCTCTCCGCGGCTCATGAGAGCAGTTCTCTTCCTGTTCTCACCCGATGCGACTAATAAGACGATCCCTATCGCTATTGTCGCTCCCACCATAGCCGCGTAGCGCCAAGCCATTTTTGCCAAGAGACGCCAATCCGTTACAGGGAATAGAATTCGTTACTGCCATCTTTCTGAGTCCGGAAAGCCTCTTCGACGGACTCCCGGAGCGGCGAGCCGCAGCCGCGGGCCCGGCCGCGGCCGCCCCGCCGGGCCCGGGGCGGCACAGGGCGGCGCCGGGCCTGGACTCCCGGCGTAGGCCGCTGCCCGGCACTCGGTGCCGTTCACCCGAATGATAGCCCTGAACTTATCGGAAGAGCGCAGTGACCCGGTCCGGCACAGCGGAACTTCGCCGAACTTCGGATCCGAGGGCATCCGCCGATCATCGAATGCATAGGCCCCCCGGCTTTCTTCCCATCAGCTTTCCGAGCCTGTCACAGTGGTGGGCAGGCTGGCCGGGATCATCGCTCGGCGAACAACTTGGCAAAGGAGATCCGGGATGCCACCGTCCCCCGCCGCTGACAGTGAGCGCTGGATGCCGGGCCTCCGAGGCTCGGCCCAGGCTATGCCTGTGAGTCAGCCCGTAACCGTGATTTGCCATCCGGAGCCGATCCGACTCAGCGGGACCGCGACCGCCGGACCATCAAAACCCGGAGTCAAGTTCAACGGCGGCTAAGGCTTACGGTAACGCGGCGGGCCGCCGCCGGCCGCCGGCGGCCCGCCAGTGTCGGACCGGGCCGGCCCGGGCCTTACCGGTGGATTGGAGATGCCAGGGTGGGGGTGGGGAATGCTGGCGTGGGGGGTGGGTATCCAATATGGCTTGAAGGCTGGTAGCTCTGTGACCACAGGGTTGAGACAACGTCGCCTTTATGAGGCGCAAACTAAAAGGGGGGGTGGTCTGAATCCAAGGCGAGTGCCGTGTGTACATCTAGGGGTACTCTTGTGGCTTATGAGTGGGTAGGGGTAGTAGAGTTTTCATCATGAGGTGGGGTGGGAATGTCCTTCTGGAAATCGGCGACATGAGAGCGCAACTGTGGCATGCAGGAGAGAACCGAAGGAGAAGGATAAGTGTGTGACAGAATGGCTGAGGAGGAACGTTGTGAACAGTCAAGATGAAACGTATGCATCAGAGTTTGCAGAAGAAACAGGCGATATCAGCAGCAAACAGACAGAGAAGGGGTGAAGAAAGTGAGGGGTGTAGACTAATTGTCTGTTGGGTGTTTTGAGGTATGTTGGCCCATCCGTGTGTTTGTTTATGGTAAGACAATCAGAAGATAGAAATCAATTTGAACGGCTTCTGTCTCAACCTCTCGTGTCAGCCTCTGGTTGGGTGGCTCACAATTGAATCAGGTTGCACTATGTTCAGGCAAGGAAACAAACTCAGGTGTTTCATCATTCTCTTCTAATCACATCGAGCTCATCCTATCATAGCACAAGCATCTCCCGCTTGTCGACTCTCGCTTCGCGAGCAGCAGGCGTCAGGGCCAAGTCAACCCTCCCATCTTTGCCATACGATTTCGGTGCCCTCGAGCCAGTCGTCAACTCTGAGATCATGACGCTGCACCATGGAAAGGTTTTTGCGCTGACTCGTGCCGATCCGTCATCGTGACATGCTTTCAGCACCATGCTACATACGTCAACAACCTCAACGCCGCCTTGGAGAAAATGTCGGATGCCATGGTGGGCTAGTTGAGGTAGAGCGCTGGTTGATGACCGCGCGATGCAGGCCAAGCAGGACTATGCTACCATGATTGCGTTGCAAGGAGCCATCCAGTTCAATGGAGGTGGTCACCTCAACCACTCCATCTTCTGGCAGAACTTGTGTCCGGTCAAGGACGTCGTCGCTCCCTCTGAGGCCAATCCCGAGTTGGCAAAGGCCATCGAGGGCCAGTGGGGCTCCCTCGACAACTTTAAGACAGAGTTCAATACCAAGACAGCGGCCATTCAAGGATCCGGCTGGGGTTGGCTGGGATACAACAAGCAGTCCAAGAAGCTCGAGATCGCCACGTGCGCGAACCAGGACCCTCTGGTCATGAAGGGACTGGTAGAGGATCAGCAATGCCGTGGGCTGGCCTGACGCCTCTTCCTCAGGTTCCCCTCCTCGGTATCGACGTGTGGGAGCACGCGTATTACTTGCAGTACAAGAACGCAAGACCTGAGTACTTGAAGCAGATCTGGCAGGTGGAGTTGTGTGATGTGCGCACTGCGTGCTCGGCCTGACCTCACGGCAGGTGGTGAACTGGAAGGATGTAGCTGCCCGCTATGAAGCGGCCAAGAAGGCTTAGAGGAGGAGGAGGGACGAGAGCTTCGATAGCAACACGTTCTATAAACCTGAATGTGCAAGACTACATCGAGACATCCACAGAGGACAACCCCCCCGATCTGAAACTCGGCAGGAGGTTTCTCATGCGTTCTAGTCTCTGGTGCAGCTCGAAAGAGAGCGCAGCCTTGAACTCTGCGAACTGATCGTTGAGCTCGGAGACCTGGTGGAGGAGAGTCAGTGACCGGAGAGATGAATGTAGGCATCGGATACAGCATCGTTGACGTTGCTTCGATCCCTTCCCTTCCGATACTCGTCCTCCTAGTTTGAAGCTTGTGAGTGGAGGGGATGGGAGGGATGTTGGGAGGCAAGACAACACAGATGTTTGCTGGTGCAGCACGGGGAGGAGGGGAGGAGGGCAAGGAAGGGAAGGAGGAACGTTGCAGAGTTGTTCTACCAGCATCATCATCTCCGTGTCAAGGTCCTCAACCTCTTCCTCTGCCGATCTGCTTGCGCCTGCACCTGCGTCACGAACGAGAAGCAGCAGAGGGCGGGGAAGGAGCGTCAGGGGACTAGATTACCTTTTCGTCCAGCTTTGGTTGAGATCTTCTTTCCACGCTTGAGAACGTTCCCAAACCAGGAGGAATCAAGGCTGACCTCCTCCTCCTCTTCCACGATCTCGCTGATGTCTGTGACAACAGCAGCCGCGCACACGGCAGCAGCAACATCATCTGACGATTTGGTGGACGGCATGAAGTGCGGAGAGCAAGGGGCAGAGGCATCAGTCCTCTTGAGCTCCCAGGCTTGCACAGCAGCCATGAAGGCGGAGCAGAAGGAAGCAAACTTGGCACAGAACTGCATCTGCGAGACCTTGGAGCTCTCACCATACAGCTTCCTGGTCTCGAGAAAGAGAGAGTTCACTGCCTCCACATCCCCCACGATCGTTTGCAGCTTCTCCTTGGCTGCTTCGACGAACTCGGGAAGCCTGACTGATAGAGGGTCGTCAGGAGCCGCCAGGGAGATCTCGTGCTCCATGGACGCCAGGCCTTGCCGGAGATGCGCCACGTGCTCGAGGACGAGGGGGAGGGACACCTTGGTGCTGGGCTCCAGGTGTTTGAGCTCCGCCGCAAAGCTAAGGATGCTCTCTTGCCCGGAGGAAGCGAGCTGGGCCACCAGGTAGTCCAACAGGGTGCAGACTGTACCATCCTTGTCCACGTTGGACCGCATGTTCGAGACCTGCTCTAGAGCATCCAGGCGGAAGCCTCCGGCATTGCCCATGCTCGTCCCGAAGTTCATGAAGTTGCCGATGGCCAGCAGGTTCTCCAGCACCTGGTGCAGCCCCTTGCAGTCCTTGAGCTCGAGCAGGGCGAGGCGGAGGGTCGAGATGCCCGACGTTGCCTCCTGCCAACGATCCTCGAAGCTCTTGACGAACTCAAACACGCTCAGCCTCTCCCTGTACCTCGGGACTGAAAGGATCTCGAGGAAGAAGCGCTCGGCTATCCCGAGGTCTCGCGCATCTCCATCGAAGGCCCTCAGCATCTCCATCTCCTCGTCCGTCGGCACGTACTGCTTCAGTGACGCCACGTCATCAAGGGTGAGCACGTCGGCATCGAGCTCGACCACAGCCTCGCGGATCTTGCGGAGGGAGCAGCGGAACTTGGAGAGCATGATGCCGATGTTCTGAGCTCGACGGAGATCGAGGAGGGAATATCGCTGCCTGCTCTTCTTCCCATCCCCGTGCCCATTCCTCGCTGCCTCCGATGGCTCACCGTCAACCCCCGTCCTACTGGCTCGATGGAGGGACTTGTGCCGTTTCTTGATGCAGAAGAGAGTCTGGAGCCTGTCGGCATCGATGGCAGCAGAGGCGCTCGCTCGATACATCTCCTTGCTCTTCCTCCATACCGACTGCTCGCACTCGTGCAGCGGCAGCTTGCTCCAGTGGAAGGGTTTCATCGTCACGCTGGGCGCGGGTCCCTCATACTCTCGGGATGCTTGTAGATGCTTCCCCATGTTCGCAGCATGCGGGTCGGACATAGGGGGAGGGGGAGGGGGAGGAGGAAGACTTGACGGAGCACCTGGTAGTGGAGGGGGAGGGAGGGGGAGGAGGAGGAGCACCGAGAAGAGGGGGAGGAGGTGGTGGCGGTGGTGGAGGGGGAGGAATATTGTTCAGCGAGCCAGGAGGAGGAGGAGGAGGGGGAGGAGGAGGAGGTGGTGGTGGTGCATCCGATGGCGGCAAACCAGCAGAATCTTGCGGGGGCTCCTCGCCTGCCACATTGCTCTTTTGATTGATGTCGCTGCAATCTGTGCCTGGGCGTGAGAACCACAAAGAGCTCAGCGGCAACTTCACCTGCTCCCTCCTGCTCCCAACCCTGAGCAGCCCCAGGCTCTCCCTCCTGCTCGCCTCTCGATCCTCTGTAACAGAACTCCTCTGCAAAGCAGATCTTGTCAAGGGATGCCTTCTCGGGGCTCAAGGAATCAACAGCTGGAGGAAAAGAAGCAGAAGGGGGGGAGGGGGAGGGGGGGGGGGGGAAGGCGCCACAGTACGTCAGGATGAGGGAGGAGGTCGTGGTACGGACATCTCGTGAACTTCACCTTCCAGCGCTCTCCGAGGACCGACGAGGGCGGATGCTGGCACTGTGCTCGACTGCGAAAGAATCTCGTCGCCCTCCCCACTCGCTGCGTCCATTCCGGCAGCATGCGACGAGCTCCCTTCTTCCTCGATCCTCAGGCAGCCAACAGAGTCAGGAGAAGCGCCAAGCTGGCCCTCATAGTCCGCCATCTTCTGCTGGAGCTGCAGCCAGCTGACAGGCTCCAGGTTGGAGGAGGAAGGTATTGGCCGAGCGGAGGCAGAGGAAGAGCTGCCAAAGGTCGAGGAGTGGGTATGGCCCAGGGGCAGAGCAAGAGACTCGATCGTCGACTCGATCCTCTGGAATATGCTCCCCATGGATGCTGTCGCGCTGCCCAACAGATCTTGCGGATCGAACCGCACTCGAGAAAGCTCCTCGTCCTCCTCCTCTTCGACCTCAGCCCGCACAGAGCCGCCGTCCCGCTCCGCACTATGATCCTCGCCAGCGGTCTCCGTGCCTCCCTTGTCTCTCGGGGATTCACAGGTCACTTTCTTCCTCCGAATCAACAAGTTGGCCTTGTTGAGGATGGAAAGAAGGTTGTAGCGCTCATCCCTCCTGATCTCCTTCATGACCAGGCTCCTCCAGTGCAGCAGCTTGCTGCTCGTCTCCTCCCCTTCCCCGTCCCCGAGGCTCTTGGGCTCGTCCCCTTGAGAGGCTCTCCTCCTGGAACGACGCTTCCTCCTCGACCTCTCTGCCTTCAGTCGCTCCGCAACCGCAACCAGCTCCTCCATCTCCCGCGTCGTTGAGCTCAAGAAGCTAATCAGCTCCTGCAACCGTTCACGTCACATCTTTTCCCGTCTACCCCTCCTCTCATCCAGTATACGACCCCTCCACTCATGTCTCTCCTCCGAATCCCTCCCGCTCTAAAAACAAGGTGGTCCTCTTACCTCTTGTCTCGCCTCTGCCCTCGTGCGCGGAGCTCCTGTCTCCTGCTCATTCAGCTTCGTCCAGAGGACTACCTGAGGAAGGGGCCTCGACAACGTGGGAGCAGGGCAAGAAGGGAGTGTCGGGCGGATTGTAGCGGACGGGTGCTTCACAGTCTTGTGCGGAGAGCTGGAGGCAGACAATACGACTTTTGCTCCACATCTTCTTTCCGTCTCCCCTTCCCCTTCATCCTGCCCTTCGTGCAGCATCCTGCTGACGTCAGCGTGCCGAGCGGCAGGAAGAATGCGATGAATGGCGAGAGGAGGCACGAAAGGATGTCCGTTGGCCTGAAATTACCGTCATGACATGCTGCATGCCTCCTCCCCAATGACAGACATTCCCCATATGGGACAAGAACTTATGAAAGCTTACCGCTTTCATAAGTTCTTCAGTGGCATGTTGCGTATCGAGAAACGTGTCTTGCTGGTCGGACTCCACCGGGCCTCCGGCTTCTACGCTAAAATCGCGTCCGTCGCCCTGCCGGTCCAGCTCAGCAGGGGTGAGGCGGGAGCGACTCCTCCACCTCTTGCGGCAAGGGGGCGCGACATCGTTCGCCTCGATCAACAGCTTTGTAGGATGGAGCAGGTTCGTCATCCAGCTCGTGCGAGGAGAACTTGGCGCTGAACCAGCCGCGTCATTCACCCCCGACCAGTCACAAGGAAGGCAACGGCACCTGACAAACGACTGCAGCTTCTGGAAGACTTCGCACTCAGTGACCCACCTGAAGTCACAAGCTCAGTTCATCCTCGTTCGACCTGACTTGCCTCGGGTACATGAGTTTGCTATCCGTGTAGGCGACAAGAGACAGACTGTACTGACTCGCCGACCTTCAATTCTGTCATTCCGTCCCTCCAACCATCATCGTCGTCACCTCGCCCGCGGGGACGCCAGGATGGTTTGAACCCGAGGGTCCTGATCGTACTTTGAATTCTCAAGGCGACTACGAACCACCCACCTGAGCTCTTTCGCACACCCATGAAGTAATCTTGTACAGCGTCTTGCCTCCCCTTCCTCCACGAGCCCATTCAAAGGTTTTGCCTGTATCACACAGGTCAGCCAGCGGCAGCAGATTGTCAGACAAAGTACCTCCCAAGACGATGAGAGCATCGATTGTTATCTTCAGCGGCCCCTGCTACTATCTTTCAGACTTTCAAAGTCATACCATTCTCTCAGACATACAGCAAGATCTTGCTCTCTGCAGGAATGTTGAATTTCATCGTCATCGTCTTCTGTGTTCTTATGTCAAACAACCCAGATGCTCTCCCGACAGAGACATTCACCTGAGTCGATGGACATTTTGCTTTTCTTCTCTAACAATCAAGTGGTTCAGTCAGTTGCACCAATAAGGGACGAACCATCTGCGCCGAACATTCACTTGTTATTACAACGTGAAAGTATTGAAATTCCAACAAACAGATCAAGAGGTGAGGGCCAGCATACAAAAGTCGAAAATGGACTCGTCTATACAAGAACTCATCGGTCTGAAGATCTAAAGAGCTACCAGACATCCCCCACCCCTTCAGTGACCAAATCTGCGACGAAGAATCTGACGAAACCGATCCAACACAACATAAATGAGAGGCCAGTCACCCAGGGTAAAAAGAGGATAAAATTTGATTGAAGCATGTTGATGATGGATCTAAAATCAGACACGTTTCATCGTAGAAAAAATGGTTGTCAAAAATTGGTGCGCAGTGGCCTACAATGTATTGCGTCACAGTGATTATGACGGAGATGCGTTGGTGATACTGATACAGAAAGGGATATGGTACAATAGTGCATGGTGTTGGGCTCAGCGTCGAGAAGGATGATGGAAGGATGGGTAGAGTCAGAAGATGGTGTGAAGAGAAGTGAGGGAGATGGTGTGTTCATCGTTCGCCGTCTCTCCTTCATGGCTGCCGGCGCTGCAGCCAGTTCTCCCCTGCCATGAAGGTTCAAAATGATACGGTGAGAGTTGAGTAAAAAAAAGGGGACCCGATCTTGTATTTTTAATTTTACACGGATAAAAAGAATACGGAATTGTGACGTGAGTGACCCCTCCCGAGCACTTCATTAGTACCGGTACCACTGGTGGGAATCTTTTGTTTTTTTTACGGATTCGCTCGAGTTCCCCTTCTGACTCTTTTTTTGTTCCACCCGGCCCTCATTTCTTTTTTTCTTTTACAGGTTGTCATGACAGCAGCCTGATGATCTGAAAAGCGCAGCGATCAACATGCCGGAGGGAGCGCCGGCAATGAGCGTTACCTGCTGCCTCTTCTCGCTCTGCGGGAACAAGGAGACCACGAGAGCCTCGACCTCGACGTTCCTTTGCGACATGCTAACTCAAAGATACTGCCTGCAACAGTCGAGAAAGGCTACCTGAACATAGTCAAGGCCTCGGATTCCACCAGGTTGAGAAATTCTTCCACAGTCATCCCTTGGTGAAGTCAGTCAAGTTCATCAGTCGAAGGACATCGAGAGTACCGAGCAGGTCCAACAGCATCGAGAACTTGGGCTGGGAGGGAACAAACGCCCTGTGAGAGTGATCAGCAGCACAATCAGACGAGGGGCTCGAGGACAGCACTTCAAAGCGGATCTTGAAAGACTGGTAGCGCCAATCTGTATGCGGTGTCATGCAGGAAATGCCTCCATGTACCTCCTGACCTTGAGGAGATGATCGACCTTCGCAGCAGTCAAGACCTCCTGCAGCTCCTGCACCTGCAATTTGTCAAAGGAGGAGGAAAGAGGCGAGCGGCTTACCTTGTCCTGCGCGATGTCTTGAATGGAGAGGACGAAGCGAAGGAGGGCGTTGTAATAGTGGTTCAAGATGCAGCCAACGACCCGCCTGTAGAGTCCGACGGGTAGAGCTGGCTGAGCATCTGCTAGCATTCAGTGAAGTTCCTAGAGCAAGAAACAAGGACCGGGAGATCCTGGCCACAGTACGGACAGAGACAAGGACGATATCTGAAAACCTGTAAGCAAAGGAAACGATGAAACACGTTGACCTGGTGCTTGATCCGCTCGCAGGACGTTTGCAGGTGTTGCAGAACTTCATCATCCAGGCTGGACAGCAATAAATCATCGGTCCCAACAGTAGTCGCCCACCTACCTTCGGAACAGCTTCTCTGTTTCAAAGAGTTCGCATTCAATCATCTTGAATTGCTTTGTAGCAATCTTATCAAGATATCTGCAGCTCAAATCACCCTATCGGTTACATATTCTGCCAGGATCTACTTCGCAGCTTGTGCTCGTATCTTCCATATCAGATCAAAGAAAGAGAGGTCGGCGACTTGACAGCCGTTTCCAGTCTTGGACAAGACCGTCCTCCACGATGGCTGTGGAATATTTTCGTTAGAAAAGTTTCTGTTACCAACGTCGCGATCACTTGTAGCAAGGCGATGGCGTTTGCGATGTACATGGCTGTTCGGGAAGTGTCAGTTGTGACCAGGTTGAGCCCCTTCAACCTACCATCGTTATGGAAACCGACTGCTAGGATGTCCAGTTGCTCCACCTAGTCTAATCTGAGCAACTCATCTCTGAATCGGACGAGCTTCACCTTCTCCGAGAAGAGTTGCTCAGTTATAGCGAGATAAAGCTCGACTACGTCCCTGCTGGTCTAGCATGGCACGTGATTCAGTCCATGAATCATGCTGCCAAGCTTGACCTGAAGCAGCGCTTGTGCAAGGCCTGGAACATACTCCCCGCCCTCTTGATTCTTGGTGACCTCAGAACTGCAGGCCTCGTGAGCTTCTCTCAGAATTTCCTGCGAGGAAAGTGAGCGACGAAGTCAAAGGTTATTGACAGGGAACATGTAGGACAGCGAGGACATCGATAGAGCTGGACGTGACTTGACACGCGGGGAAACCACAGTCAGCAGCCTCCAACTCTTTTATGCTGCCGTCAGTCAGAGCTGGATCCTTTGACGTCACAGCTTTCTTCTTCGACGCCTCCAGATCCTCCTTGCAAGGCTGTCCAAGCACTCTCATGCTCGCAACGAGATCATGCGTCTGGCAGAGACGATTTTTGAGGTTGGCGCGGGTCTGATGAGAAAGAATGAGGTGAAGAAATTAGCATCACAGAGGATTTAGCCGGGAAAAGGAAGGAGTTAACGAATAAAGGAGAAGTCGGACCGACTCAAACCATTACCTGCTCCACATGTGCAAGTTGACGCTTCTTGATGAACAACTCAGGGACGGATGAGATTGTTCTGTCAAAGACTGAAGGGTCGATGCTATCTAACCCTTGAATGCTCCCTTTCTTGTTTGCTTTGACATGCTGCATGAAGTCGCGACTGCAAGACTGGACAAGTTCAAAGTGTTTCTGCAGTCAGACATCATTCCATGAGATCCCAGTGACACGATCAACATCACGATCAACCTTGAAGTTTCCAGACTCAACGGGAAATCCGAACATCAAGTTTGAAGAGAGCTTGCTTTCAAAAAGCATCCACATCCTTTCGGCTGCGAGCTTTTGCCAGTCTTGCTTGAATGCTTGTTTCGAATCCAGCAACCCGACGTCGAAGACCTCAAAAAAATAAGTCACACTCTTTCAGCCAGGACAAAGCAAATTCAATTACAAACGTCAGAGCGAACTGCAGTGCCATTTCAGACTCCACAAACTTCGAGCGGACGTCTTTGACTTCCTCTTCGCTCGTGCTATGAGTGAGAATCAGCCTAGTCGTCCTCCTACCAGAACCCTCTCCCTTCCCTCCAGACTCCTTCATGATCTCTGACTCTACTGAGATCGCACCCTTGCCTTCAAATACCGGGGAGAAGAAGTTCTCGAGACCCTGAAGAACGAGCTCGAACTGCTCCCTACCACCTCCCACCTTGGTTACCCTTCCTCCGGACTCGTCCTCATACGCATCCAGCATCTCCAACGCATCGATAGCGAAGCAGATGCCACTGCCGGCTTTCAAGAGGATCGGGACTAGTTCTTTCTTCTTCAGGGAGAGTAAAGCTTCGTTGGGCAAGCCTCCATGGCACATCCTCATCTCCGACTTGTCAAAAACAACGTTGTTGGCAATGTACGCCCGCAAAACAGCCCGGAGTTTCTTGGCTATTTCCCTCAGCACAGGATTCACCACCTTCACTACATTCGGTGTCTTGCCTTGCAGTCTTGGCAGCCCATCAAGATATGTCTTAACACCGAGAAGTTCAACGGCGAGTGAACGCAAAGACTTGGCATCGTCTCGTCCTTCCTCCAGTTCAGCTTGAAACGTCTCACAAAACGTGTATATAGAAAGAATCCTCTCAAGCCACTTGTGCTTTTCCTCCTCTTTCTTGAGCTCTTCAGCTATTGCCTGCGCTTCTTGTTTCTTGTTCTCGAGTTCTGTTAGGGCACCTTCTGCAGCTGCAAGGTGCTCGAATGCCAACGTTGAGTTCTCCGCTATGATCCCTGACGCGATCTTCCGGTACTCCATCATCTCTTTGTCATGAGTCTCAACGAATGACTCAAGCGACTCATTGGCCTCCTTCAACTTGCCTTCTATCGCCGCCAGGTCCGCGACGACCACTGACGGGAGCTCGTCAGCCCTGCAGGTCTTGAGCTTGAGATCCAGGCCCAGACCATTGCTCTCCGCCTGCTTTGCAATCTCTCGAGCAGCAGACAGGAGGAGCTCCATCGAGCCATCGACGACCATGGCCGACCGATCTGGATAAGGAACAAACAGGTCAGTGAGCGTCTCGACTGGTGGACTCTGAATGGATCCCGATAAAGAGTTGCAGGAGCAGGGATGACATCAACTAGGCTCTCTTGCACACCCTGCCTGCCTCTTGTCCTCTCCCTCCCGCTCCTTGTCAATCTCTGATCTCTCCCTCTCCAGCAATGTGCATGCTCATCTTTCATGGAAATGACCGCGCATGATGGCTGACCTTGAGGGCCTGGACTCCGAGCCTGAGTCCACGGCATGATTTCAAAACAGGCTGGCCCCGGGCCGGGCGGGCCGTCGCCGCCGCGCCGGGCCGCGGGCCGGGCCCGGCGGACCGCGGCCGGGCGGCATCAAGCCGGCTGGCTTGAGGCCCCAGCAAGTACCGGGCCCTCGCTGACTGGCCGAGCGGCCAGCCTGTGAGTGGGCCAGAGGCTCGGCTCGGATAAGGGTTGCGCCGCCCTATCTTGGATCATCGGAGTCGGATGGTGCCTTAGCCAGTGCGCCGCAACTTGTAACTGGCCTGAGTGACAATTTCGGCGGATCCGCAAAACTTGAAGCTAGGCTTGCTTGCTAGGCTTCAATGTGCTAAGTTGACTCGCCGGAACTCATCTGAAAATTCGGAACTTGAAGCAACCGTACGGTCACGTTCCCGCTGAGAGGCTGCCTGGCACGGTCCGACGGTCCGGTCAGCCCGGGCCGGCCCCCCGGGCCGCCGGGCCCGGAAGTTAAGATCAGCCTGTTACAAAGCGGTTACACCGTAAGGTGTTTGCCGCTCAATTCGTTATCAGATATGCGGGTGCGCCAGGCATGCCGGTCCCCTCGCTCTGCCAGCCATGCAGAATTTCCATCCCACACCTGTATCTCCTCGCTCCACCGGACCTACTCGATCTCGTTCTTGTCCTCTCTGCCCTGCTTCTCCTCCTTCCCCTCATTGATCTTCCTGCTCGCCTGCCTGCGAGAATCCGCAGCAGAGACGGTCAGCTGTACATACTCAACCTCAGCTGGATACTTCAGCGAGAGCTCTTGTCTGAATGGTTCGACGACTGTCCAGTACTTCAAGGTAACAGGAGTCATCCTCGCTGACTTCATGACCGGAACTCGACAGGTTGCGATTCAAGCTCCCGCGCAGCAATCGTACACAACGCTGATCTCACCATGTACCTCTCGCTCTTTGCTGCATCCTCTGACCTTGCTTCGTCTCCAGCGGATGCTACATGCTCAGGTCAAGACTCGCAGTTCGTATGCACCGCTCCAGTGAACAACATTGTGAGGTATCTGACAAGACCTGATGTAAGCATCCTGTGAATTTGGAACCAGCTACCAAGTGTACGTGGGAGAAGGGTGCCTGCCGAACAGCAACAACAACAACTGGGCTGACATGAGCAACAGATTCTCAAAACAGGTTATCTCCTTCAACTTCTCCAATGCCCCATGGTGATGCCGACTGTACAGATCACGATTTGCAAGCCGTGTCGCAGAAACAACTACTGGATAGGAATCAAGGTAGGATAAGATTGGAGTGTGCTTCTGTTTCAGTCAGTGACGAGTGGCTTGGAAGCTCTTGGATCCAACAATGAATTGCAACTTTAAGCTTTATGTGCCGAAGCTAGTGTGAGTGCGGTTCTTTACTTTGAAAGCGCCTTTGACTGCAGGAGAAGGAAAGACGCAGGTTCTAGTACCACGTGCTCCTTTTTATCCTCAACCACAGATCAAGAAATGTATCCCTCTTATGGCATCTCAATTCCAACCAGCGTGATCATTGTCAACAGCAAAACTCAGCCTGTCTGCAACGCCGGACTTCTACGAGGTTGTCACGTTTCGCTCAAGCCGAGAGGCATTAATCTGTGGCTAGGCCCCGAGAATGGGTGTCCAGTGCCTCCGGCAGGCTTCATGTGCCTGTTTGGCGTCTGCCGCCCATGGCTCTGGCCCGTGATGATCTTGATATGCATGTGCATTGCTGGACTGATTGGCCTCAGGTTATTGCGCTGCTCATAGGGTTAGTTCCATGCCTCGCGGAGACTTGCGTCATCGTCTACTTCCATCGCAAGTGAGAGCAGGGAGCTGCTGCCAGACATGGTGAGGGTGGTGAGACAGGTTGCGGGCTCGGATCGACGCCGAGAAGTCCGGCTACGAGGACCTCCCGTCCAACTACAGCAACGAAGTGCGTTGAACTGCCGGCCGGTGTTGATGACATCACAGTCATTGCACAGGTCGTTGTGGACGAGAACAAGATGGATGTCGATTCAGACGATGACAATGTTCCTTGACTTCGCTCGTGTGATGATGGTGACTGTTGCGCAGTTGCCTGACGCCCTGCCACCGACATTTTTCGTCACGGGCGCAGACGATTGAAGGGCTGTTGTCAGGACGAGCGTGTACACGTACTGTAAGATTGTACATCACATTTACTTCAAATTGTATATTATTCAATTACATTGTCCAATTTTTTGTTGATTCCTTGGAGATCTCGCTGATGAGTTTTGTTTGCCCCTGGTAGACGCAACAAATGTTTCCCTGTTGACTCAGTTCTATCGATGCTGATAGAATGTGTACGTGCTACTGAGCTGGTTCGATCGATGCTGATAGAATGTGTACGTGCTACTGAGCTGGTTCGATCGATGCTGATAGAATGTGTACGTGCTACTGAGCTGGTTCGATCGATACTGATAGAACGTGTACGTGCTACTGAGCTGGTTCGATCGATACTGATAGAATGTGTACGCGCCACTGAGCTGGTCCGATCGATACTGATAGAATGTGTACGTGCTACTGAGCTGGTCCGATCGATGCTGATAGAATGTGTACGCGCCACTGAGCTGGTTCGATCGATACTGATAGAATGTGTACGTGCTACTGAGCTGGTTCGATCGATACTGATAGAATGTGTACGCGCCACTGAGCTGGTCCGATCGATACTGATAGAATGTGTACGTGCTACTGAGCTGGTCCGATTGATACTGATAGAATGTGTACTGCCGACAACTCCATGGCTTGAACCCCTTATGGACGAGCGTCTTGAAGGGAAGGAAGACCTGGAGGCAGCGCAAGGTGACTGAGGGCAGATACAACGACACACGAGCAAAGGTCACCCTTCAAAGTTCTCCACGTTGAGAACACGGTTGAGCTTCCAAGGCAGCGAGTGCTTAGGGAAGGCACGCGGAGGATCGTTGAGAGGCTCTAGCAGGGGGTCGTAGGAGGAAGGGGCTGGTTGCTTCGTCCGTTTGAACGAGCCCCTCCTGTCAAACGTGCGGTCGGTCTGTGAGCCTGAAAGATAACCTGCCATGGCGTGAGGGAGGGGCGACGAGGACAGTGAGGTCGCACCCGAGGGTTTGAGGGACTCAGAGAGGGAGAGGGGATGCACAGCGAGATGCCGGAAGTCGTGAGTCATCCACCTCGACGTCGCCAGCGGCACGGCATCGAACCTGCCCGATGAGCTGACCTTGAGCAGAGACAGCTTCGGCAGGGACGGCAGCAAGGGCTTTCTCAGTATCCCATCAATTTTGTCCGCGATGGTGTCTTGCCTTGGCATCGAGAGTTCCGATGCGACGGGCACGAAGGTCACGCTGATGTTGAGCTGCAGCTTCTTGTGCTTGTACGCATTGTGCAGTGGTACGAGCTGCATGCTGACAGGAGATAAGGCTGACATCGACAGCAACATGCTCAGGCTCTGCTTGATATGCCCCACAACCATGCTCGTGTCCTTGTCTTCCACAAGGAGGGAGAACTCTACAACCTGGTCGAGACTCTCCACGAAGAACAACAACTTCTCGTTGATGAAAAACTCCGAGGAGCCCATCAGCTTCTTCGTCTCTCGTTCTGTCGTGTCTCCGATCTTCACCGCGACACTCACTTCCCTTCTCTTGTTGGCTGTATGCTCTTCCAGATGGACACTCGCTAGGTCAACTGTTACCTGCCCTCGGCCTGTTTGCGTCCTCACCTCCTCTTTTTTCTCTCCATGGCGCGACTCAACTCGTGACGACAATCTTGTTGCCATGGCAGCAAGTTCCCTTCCGTCTGCTGCAGAAGTACTCAGATTGTTGTTGCAAGGCTCCGACTGCTCGGCAGGAGCGACGCTAGGGGTCGCCTCGATGTCTTCGAGTGCCCATCGGTCCATGCCGAAGTGACCGACTCTCCTCCCGTCTAAAGTCCACAGGACGAGACTCTTCTTGTCGTGCTCAGCGCTAGAGACCAGGAGCTTCGTGGTCGAGACGTAGGCGAGGTTGTTCACGCTGCCGATATTTGCTTGCCAGCAGTACAGTTGGATGCAGGAATGATTGGATAGGGAGCGATCGTGCAGCAACACCTGGCTGATGTCCCAGACATACACTTGTCCGTGTTCGGTAGCGGTGAAGAGGAAGCTGTCAGTGGGGTCAACCTGCATGGCGAGCACTCCAGATCCTTGTTTGCTGGCTCGAAATGTGACATGTAGAGGATCTTTGAGCTGAGGATCCAACACGTGGACGTTCCCAGCAGAATCTCCCAGCAGACACAGGTTGTTGCTCTTGTTCAGCTTCTGCGAAGAGATAAACTTGAGGTCGTAAGAGAAGCACCTGTCACTCTCTGGCTCCAAGAAAATTGACTCCCTTGACGGGTCCCAGATGACAACCTGTCCGTCCCTTCGAGCAGCGACCTGCATGCCGCCATCAACAGTGATGCAACTTGACCAGATTTTTTCTCTGCTCACCACACTCAGATGTTCATCACTGCCGACCACCGCTAGACAAGTTTGAGGAGATGTGGAGAAATTTATTCCGAGCAACCTCGGCATGTCGATGATTCTTGTCTGGAAGAGAAGCGTCAGGAGAGCAGCAGGAGCCCCGCAAGGCTCTCACAGGCTTCACGTCTCGCTCGTAGGGTGATGGCATCCATTGAACGAAGTAACCCCCCCCGAAGCACGCGATCACTGACCGGAACCGCTTGTGCCGTCTGGTGATCTCCATGTCATGGATGGAGTTGACGCAGGTGCAGGAGTCTGAGATCAAGTTGTTCACGAGCGACCCGTTGCTGAAGTTGTAGAGCTGAACTGAGCCCTGCGACCATCCGACCATGAGGCGGCGGGAGGAGATGTCGAACGATCCGAACGCAACGGAAGGTTCTTCTATAGTCTCTTGAACAGACTCGCACATGAACTTAAAAGACTGCAGGCCTGTATCACAGTGCCATATGCTGACAAACCCTGTCTTGTCTACGGTCAAGAGGAGATCAAAGTGATCGTTGTACAGAAGCACCACCACATCTGCCTCGTGCGCTATCACTTTCTCTGATTCGCGCCGCAAATCCAGCGGCTTCACCCCATGAACTTTGATGTGATTGGTCGCGGTCACGAGGTGCATCTGCCCGGGGGGAACAAGGATACGACCGACCTTGTGGTTGATATCTGCGGGACTCTGATGGAGAGGATCGACCCGCGTGACTGGCGTCCTGCTGGCGATGTCCCATGCCACTATCAACCCCGAGCTGTCGAGGGAGAAGAGCACGTCTCGCACCTCGTGGAAGGCAAGGTCCACCAACCCGGCATTGTGGCCGAGCAGCTCCCCGCACAGCAGGTGCTTGCCGTCTCCGCTCACGTTGGGTCGCCACAGGTGGATGGTTCTCTCCAGACCTGCGCTAGCAAGCACGTTGTTGTGTCTCCCGCACCATTCCAGGCACTTGACGGCCGAGGGATGCCGCTGGTACGGCGACAAGAGCGTCATCGAGTCAAGAGAAGCCACTGCTATGGCGCCAGAGGAACCGGCGACAAGACAGACGCCCATGATACCCACGTCAGGCACAAACTTGACGGTGTTGCACCAAACTTCTCGTTCCCTCTCACTAGACGGGAAAACTTTGAGGCTCCTGTAGTTCACCAGCGAGTCAGAGAAGACATGAACAATATCCTGCTGGGATCTGTACGCCATGATATCATCTTCCGCTACCACATGAATGCTTCCATTGCTGTCTCCCCACACAAACCATCCTTCATGCTGCTTCTTCCCCTCGGCATTGACGTTGTCTGACCCTTCTCTTGACGGCAACAAGAAGGAAGTCAGCGCTGTCGGCCACTTGTTCTCGCACTCGAAGGTCAGAAAGTGCTTGAGCGTCGACGCGTCGTAGAGGCGAATCCTGAAGTCATCCAAGCCGATGGCGATGACGGGATGCTTCGAGAACGCCTGCCGACTGTCACATGCGGCAACGGAACCACGAGGCTGACCGTCATCGACAAGATCGTGTTGGTGCCAGAGATGCTGTCGGTCTGTCGAGAAAGCTTGGAAGACAAGGCGCTGTGGTTGAAGTTTGATGTCCGGACCTGCAGCACTCCGGCCTTGCACACAGACGCGAACATGGACAGTTGTTGTATGAACATGAGACCAATCACTTCATCGGGATGATGAAACGCGAGGTCAAGATCCTTGAAGCATGAGCATCATGACAATCACAGGAAAGCTCTCAGCACCTCTTCGACGCTTCCATCGAAGACAGCATCGCCCTTGGCTGGGGCACTCTCTTTCATTTGCATGTCCAAGACGAAATCAGCAAATTCATCCCTGCCATGTATCGTATCACCAAGAAGCATTCCAGATCAACACACAACCATGTCATCACTTCATCGCAATTGATGTCAATCTTGTTGAATAACAATTCAAGCTCCTTGAGAGGAAGCCTCAACACAGGAGCAAAAATCTGTAATCGTTTCAACTCTACCACCTTAGCTCAGTTGTACATACGATACCTTGACAAACTGATCTTTGTTGATGCCGGCCTGCGCTTTCGTGTTGAAGAGTGAAACTTCTCTGAACGTCTGCTGGAAAGGTAAAGAGACAACACTGACATCCCTCCCTGAGACTGACAGACCTCACTGAGAACCTTCATGTCTTCAACCGACAACTCAGTTAGGCTTCTTGCATCAGCGACTACTGAGTTTCTCTTTTTCCGGCGCATGTCTGAACGTCTTTTGGAGAGCGACGGGGAAGCAACGCCGAAGACAAACTCTGAGGACAGACATCAGAGAAATCTTATCGCACTCCCGTCTCGTACCGTTCAAGCTCATTCCTCCTGCCTTCATGATGATCATTTCGATTGCGCTGGCGAATTCATATTGTGAAAGTTCCTGCACATTCACAAGAAAGCATCACTGAATGGAATCATGACAGCAGTTGACTGACCTTAGAATCAAAGTCTGAAACAGCAGAATCATTGTTGACATACTTGAACACCTTGATCGCAGTCCTTTTGTCCAACGTGGAAGGGAGCAGCTTTGAATCGTCGAGGACATTGAGAAATTCTCTTTGGTTCATGCTTCTACGGGACTTTGACCTGTGAGATTTCTCAGTCTCACTGCTATTCAACAATCTATTCTCGTCTTGTTGCCATCTGAACTCGAAAGCATTCTCACCCGCTGTCTGCTTTTTGTGAGGAATATGCAGCATAAATCTTGTTGATGACTTCATGTGCAAACGCCTCATCCAATGAAGCAACGCTGTTGGAACCAGCATTCTTGCTTTGAGAGAGAATTTCCTGCCGTGAGGATATGTCAGATGCCGAGTCTCCAGCAAGGAGTGAGGTCAACCTGAGAAAGATAGTTGTAGTCTTCCACTGCCTGCTTCGCAAACAGTTGGAAATTGGAGATGACTTGACCTAGTTCAGGTCTTCCGAGTCTTGCGATTGAGATTTCCATCCTTATCTCGTCAGTTCGTCATCTCATGGCCTGCAGATATCGGCTGTCGGCTCATCGTTCATACTGTGGACGAGGCTGCGAGCCCAGTGGGCGGGAGGAGAGGTCAGAGCAAACAGACTCTCTCGCATCTCTTTGCTTGTTCTCAGTCACTGTTACTTGTCGATCTTTGTTTGCAGCATGACTGACCATGCTCCTGCTAGCCGCCATGCCCCCCCGCGGCTGTCGCTCCATCGGTCACGCATGCCCATGTAAGTACCTGATGTTCATGGAACCCATTTTACACTACCACCCCTACTTTTCCCCTTATAATAACCCACCCCTGGTCTCCCCCCAACCAACTGCCCAGAGGACTCCGATGGTCAAACGTGATCGCCGGAGATCGACGCGGGATGAGAGACTGGTGTTGTTCTCCACGACAGCAGTCGACTGTTGTCAGACAGTTCAGGTAACGTCTAAGGATGTGAATTGAAATGCTGTCGAGGCACTGACGATCTTCGTGACGATACAGAGTGACATCGTCCTCCACCTCTCGTAGCAGCCGCAGTGCTCACAATCAGGAAATTTGAGGTTGTCACATTTACTTTCATAAAAGAGCTAAGTCAAAGGAGCTGGTGGGATTGTGATGAGTTATGGAAGTAGAAGCGATCAAAGGAGCGACACTCTGATCCAGCAGGGCTAACAACAACCGAGTTCTCTGTTTGCTGCGACATATCCTGTGGGCAGGCAAGGCTGTCCTCCTTGTCACACCATACCTCTCATCTCTTCTGAATCCCTCTCGCCCCGCATGTCCATAACTCAGGCCTGCTGTTTCTTTGCCTGCTCATCTTGTCAGATCCACATCAACTTCCTGCCGGACAACCAACCCTGATCATGCCGTAGGTCATCAAGCCGCTGTCAAAGGCTCTGTGCATTCTCTCTATAACAAAAACCAATCACGGATCTTATCTCAGCAGTCATGTTGCTTTCATACCAAGAGTCACGATCTCACGGATCACCTTCCACCAGATCCAGGGCCCAACTTTGCTGGTGAAACCTGTTTCAACGTCAGGGCGGCCGGTACGGACTTGGCCTCCTACCCTTCCAGATGACAATCCAGGGGTCCCAGATGCCAACCCAGATTGAGTGCCGCCAAGCATGGATGGTCTCCTACAAGCTCATCTGTCAGACCTCCCCAGTAGAAATCTGAAGCTGCGTACCTTGACCCAGTTTGCGCCGCTGATGGCCTCAAGCTTGCCGGTCTTCTTGCAGTGCCTCTCGTACTCCTCGATAGAGATGAAGTATGGATGCGCCCACTCCTCATACAGGAATTTCAACTTGTCCTTTTCACTCTCAGTGAACTCTGGAGGAGTTTCACGTTGGCACCAGGTCGCTATCACAAGAGTCCCGCCGGGCTTCAGCACCCTCGTCATCTCCTCGACGTACTTGTACCTGACACGCACGAGTCATACCATTGAATGCTTTCACATGATGGCTCTACTTGTCCGGCATGTGTTCACCAGATTCACATCCCCACACAAGGTCGAAAGTGTTGTCAGGAAACTCCATCTTGAGAGCATCCATCACTTTGAACTCAACGTTGTCAAGGCCCTTCTCCTTGGCAAGCTCGGTAGCTCGTTGAACCTGATTGGGGGACAGAGTGATTCCCGTGACTTTGGTGTCTCCTCCCAGTTTCTTTGCGAGATATCTTGAGGTTCCTCCGATGCCGCACCCAACGTCGAGCACCTTCAAGGGCTTGTTGCCACCAGCTTCAGCTCCACTCCACTTGTACATCTCATCTATGAACTTGTACTTGGTCTCCTTAAACACAGCCGAGCTCTTGATAGGGTTTTTGATGTTCTGAATGTCTGATTTGTTGTAAAAGCCGAGATGAATGTGCTCACCCCAGTAGTACTCCAAGATCCCCTCCTCGGTCCAAGCATCGTACTCCTTCCCGACGGTATTCTCTCCAGCTTGATACGCCCTACTCGGTTTGTTCAAAAGAAAAGCAGCAACAGACATTGCCAAGATGCAAGCTCCAGCCAAGACGACCACAGGGTTCACAGGCATTGACAGTGCGCCGACACTCGCAAGGCTTGTAAGAGCGTTGCTCGCCAAGCCCATCTTCACCGATACATGTTCCTTTCTTGCACTCGCAGTCTGGAGGGGAAGGCGATGAATACCATGAGGCTGCACAGTGCTAGACCTCTGCACTATTGGACCGGTTCCTCTCAGTGGGAGAGACGACAAGGTGAAGCCATTCCCAGGCACAACGACTCCGCTGAACATGGCAGAGAAGCACAGGTATGCTACACACGATCGCGGCATCTCCAGGATCTTGAGGAACTTTGTTTCTATAACTGACCAGGCAGCCTTCTTCTCAATCACAAGTTTCTCTTCCCTCTACTCGTCGCTCCTGCGCATGTCGCTCCCCTCGCGCGTTTAGCTCTTTCCCTCACTGCCCGCTTATATGTACAGGGTCTCTCGAGGGTTTTGAAGAAATAACAAGCTCGCCTCAGGTGATTTATTAGGGAACGAGAAGAGACAGAAGTGAAGTCCGGAAGTTCAGGTGCCGCACCGGTTTCCGGGTTCACCTCAGGCTAGTTTTGATACCACCCAGCTGTCTACGGTCATGAGGACCGGTGGAGGAGCTTACATCAGTAAAATTCTGATGGGGTAGTCGGTATTGTCCAAAGGGGGTACTCAATTCTACTTGGGGAAATGAATGGAATATAAGGGGGTGAAGCAACGGAAAATATTGGGTAGCCCACCCCACCCCACCCTTCAATTACCTCCCTGTGCGTTTCCCACCCCCTCCCGGCTCCCCCGATCCTTTGAGTGTATTGGGAAAGTTTGCAGTCTACAGAGAGGGTCAGGGTACTTGATTTTATTGGACAACCCCCCTATATCATATGAATTTACACGGGTGTTTGTTAGAGGTGAGGGGTCATTGAAGAGCCCCGCTGTCCAGGGTGGGTGGAGTCGTAAAACCATGGAGGCTGGCCCTCAGTGGAAGTGAACGAGGAAGAGCAGAGAGAGAGAGATAGAGAGGGGGGCAGAGGAGAAGCAGATGCAAGAGAATACGAGGGAGAGACAAGGCAAGACAAGGCGAGACACGACGAGACCAATGCGGTGTAAGGAGGCCAGGAGCCAGTAAGTGGTGAATGCCGCGTGCGGGACCCTAAGAAAATTAAGGATCAGAAGCAGGTCCAGGGCGGCCTCTACGGATCAACCCAGCATCCAAGCCATCAGTCGCGAATAGCGACATATTCATTAGTCGCGAATACCCGGGCAGAATCTACTCTCACATTGAATACCCAGTTCTAGAGGAAAGAGGTGGTTGCCAGCTATGTTATTTTTTCAGGGGAGCGAGTGTTTTCTCGTCTTCCTGGTGCTGATGGGATTATTGAAATATGTCTCGCCATTCTCTGGAAATGGATGTTTGATGAGCATGTGGAGTGGTTCAGAGCATAGAATCCCAGCTCATCTCCTTCAGCCAAAGGGCAGAGGTTCAATGTCTAACTGTGCCCACCCTTCGAGGGGCACTCGATCTAGTGTACGGATGAACAACGAGGAACATCAGCCAAGACGCAACGAGATAAAGTTCGATGCAGCGGCAAGATACAGGAAGGCCTTTCCTCTTGGGGTAAACAATGTTCTGGACCAGGTCCGAGAATCATTAAACCTGGCTCTCGACGACGGCCTTTTCCGGCTCAGAGTCCAACTAAATATCCATCAGTTCGATCAAAGGCTGCAATCATTTTCTGACGGCAAGATGCCAGAGCTGGTTGCGATGATCGGGGAGCTGTTGGTTGAGAGGGGAATGAGACCGAGCATTATGTTCAACACGATCATGGATGCATCGATCGCACGAACAGTCCTCCCAGATCATCTGCGAGAAAAGGTTTCGATCAACGTGCTGGGGCTGGGAGAGTTTGGGGAAGAATACGATGCAGCGGTGTTGGTTGCCCCAAGTAACGAGGGCAATGAGAACCTCCAGAGGATCGAGGCAGTGGAGAAACTGATATATTCAGGTCCTCCTAGGGGACTGGTATCCCGGTCAGCAAGGGCAAAGTACATGCAAAGACCGATCATCCTGATCAACCCCGTGCTTGAAGCCATCCACTCCCTGTCTACTCCGCATGTAATGCTGACTTTGTTTGTGTCTCAATTGTTGACTTCGACCATCACCAGAGCAAAGTGCCGCCCATGTTCATGAGTGACTTTGATGTCGTGTACTTCTTGCAGGTTAGTATCCGATGTGATCACGTGTTATGTGATTGAGATTGTATCTACAGTTACAGGCTTCAATGGTCCGCGTTCGCATTGGAAATGCAGGTGAATCAGTGTTCACACCGTGTGGCTCGTGAGCTTTGATGTAATGAGCGAATCACTGTCATCAAGTGTGCACTCGCTGCAAAGATGCATGTTAGTGGGTGTTATATGATGTGACAAGGGGGACTGTGAGCATTCAAGTCAAAATCTAATCTTGTTTCGAAAAAAGCCATTTTCAGAGCGTATCCTTCTCAATGGCAGGTTGAAATTTTTCGGTCTATTCCATCATGTTGAAATTTTGCAGCTCTGGATTGAAGCCAATGATGGACAAGAGCGAGGTGTCAGTCAAAGAAGGCCATGGAGAGGATTCCGCTTGATCTGGTGATTCCCATGGGATGATCCAAGCGTTTCTAACTTGACGCACCACAGGGAGAAGCCAAACTCCTTATCTTCACAAGACGCTGCTTTGTTGGACGATCTAAGGGACTGCCTCCATCAAAGATGGCAACCTTAGGCTGTCTTGATCATGAGCCTGTTTTTATTCTTTTCTAGCGATGTATAGACTTATTTCATGAACCGCGTGAATGGTTCTCCTTCTAATATGTAGCTGGTCGCCCAAATCTGGGCCAAATAACAACAAATTTCTATCAAGCACTGGGGCCTGGTGTCCCAACGACCTTAGGCAGGTAGCTGACTCGCAATTGACATTGCGCGGAAGTACTCCATGCACAGGGAGTGATCCTTGAAATGCAGACAGATGCTGTCGTTGGTCTCCCTTGAGGACAAGACGATGCATCCCTCGTCAGCACTCTTCACACGAACAAACGTCTCGGGCAGATGCAACAAAGCGATTTGCCGGGACATATCCTCTGATTCAAGAAGAAGATCGCTCATAGACTTCATCCTACAGACAACTTGCATCCCTTGTTTGTCATCCACGTGTGCTCTCAAGGTCACCATACATGCTTCAAGGAAATGGCGGTGAGAGGGGCTTTTTGCATGGTGGCTTTCTTTATGCCCCTGCTGAAGTTGATTGCTTGCACCGTGACCAAGCTGTCCATGACGACTTGCGCCATGCATATTCTGGTTGTGATGTTTGTGACTGTTCCTTTCGGAAGAAGAGCGCGGACTTTGAGATGTATCAGGATTGTGTTTGCTGTTGCCGTCGACGACGGAGGTCGGAGACTCAGACTGAAGCTGAAGCGGTCGTTTCTTCTCAGATGACGCAGTTGGAGATTGATAGCTTAGAAAACTATTCTGAAGTTCTGCTTGCAGCGAATTCCGACCTTTTGAAGATGAAAAGTTTGGATTGGATAGGTTTGCTACCTCGACACTGAGGTTTCGATGGTATCCCATATCTTGATGGAGTCAAAGTGGAGCGAGCAAGGGCAAGAAAAAGTCGAGCGGTGGGAGAGAGCAAGGCGGATGGAGTCGAGGGAAGGGACGGACAGGATAAAAAGTGGCAGGGAGGAGGACGACATGGAGCAAACGTGGAGTCGTATGGAGGTCAAGTGAAGAGGACGGGAAGCATGTAGTAAAAACTTCATGGTACCCCAATGAACCAGTTGCAAAGCACGGGTACCCGAAATACTGGGCATATTTCAAACACGTCGTTTCGTCCAATGTGACTGCATCTAAAACTACTTGTAAACTTCTTCAGTACTTCTGCTCTCTTGGCTTTGACTAAAACTTTTAGTCACACGTTTAACACAGACGTTAAGGTTGCGGCCGCCGACTTGCCGGTCACACGGCCGGCCGGCTGATCACTGGCCGGGCGGGCCGAGCCTGATGAGTAAAACTTGGTATGGGCTAGCGCGCGGAGAAAGATGTGCGAGTGGTCGATGAAGGAGGAGAGGAGGAGGAGGAGGAGGAGGAGGAGGAGTATGACGACGAAGAGGAAGAGGAAGAGGAAGAGGAAGAGGAAGAGGAAGAGGAAGAGGAAGAGGAAGAGGAAGAGGAAGAGGGCAGACGAGGAGAGACGGGGTGCGGGGGGATGAAGAAGGGAAGGAGTTGAGGTGGTAGTACAGAGAAAGAAGAACATTATGTGACTAGCTGGATTGAACGCACTTCTACTTCCTGCCATACAGGAGAGGGTTTGATTTCAACCTGAGACTCTGGTCAGAGCCTGAGGTGCTTGTATAAATGGGCAGAAGAGAGGAGGAGTTGCATTGGATGGATTGTACTGGATTGACACACCTCCTCATCAGCCTGAGATGCAATTCCAACGCTGATGCTTCCACAGGATGCTCAACTGGAACAAGATGAACCCTGCCAACGCCGCACAGATTCCTCCCATGCAGTTTACAAGACCTGCTGCAGTGCCGCCAGGGATGCCATCCATGCCTTATACGCCGAACCAAGCTGTTGGGGCCACGATAAATCAGTCAGATCCATCCTTGCAGGACAACAGTCTACCTTACAAGGTGAAAGTTGTCAGAATATCCTGCCTGCTGACTGCCTCTCAGATCAATACGCTGACTCAAGTCGAGGGGATCTTGAAAAGGAAGCTGGAGAGGTAAGGCACTGCCCTCGCAGCCGACTTGTTGAGGCTTGAGGTGGCAGGATGGAGGAGAGGCTTGAAGCAGCAAGGCTGAAGCGTTCAAAGATCTTGGATCATCTCCTCACGTTGGAGGGCTACTGGTCTGGCCCTCCCTCGAGCCACGAGTGCTCGGCTGAGAGCGGAGACGAGCAGCAGGAGGCGGAGGTGCTGCAGAGGAGGAGCGCTCTGAAACTCAAGGGGAAGATAGCTGCGGGAGGGATGATGATGCATGGCAGGCTAGATTTTGCTTCTCCCCCGATTCTCGCGAGCCCAGGGGGCCAGGCGCTCACCCCCAATAAGATACCGGCGATGTCCCTTGGCAGGGTTGGCCCGGGTGCCGTCAGCCCGGCAGGAGCGGGGAGGGCGGCGATGCACCTTGCACCTATAGCAGCGATGCACCGGCCTGCTCCTCCTCCTCAGGAGGGTCCTAGTGGAGGAAGCCAGCAGTTGCTGTCGGAGGATGCGGCTATCATCGCAATGCTGAGCAAGGCGACCCACCCACAAAACTGATGGTGAGGCGACAAGCAGATTGAAGAGGGGGAGGGGGAGAAGCAGGCGAGAGTGAAGAGGAGAAGGAAGCGAAGTGGAAGAAAGCAAGACGAGGAGAATTGAAGAGGGACAAGAGGTTCCTTGTTGTAAATACAAATGCCGAATGCGAAAACTTTGGATCTGAAAAACAGGATGGGAGGGCGAGGAAGGGAGGAAGGAGGAGGACGAAGCTTGCGTCTGAAAGAATAACATGACAAACGCGTCAAGATACGCAGGGACAGAGGCGGGAGGTAGATTGATGCTTCGCCTCGCACCTGCCGCGCGTTAGAGAGGAAGAATGCCGTGGGGGCAAAAGGATGTCAGAGGGGAGGATGAGAGGAGGAGAAGGAGGGGGAGGGGTCAAGTAAAAGCAGAAGTAGAAGGGAGGGGGAGGAGGAAGAGGGGGAGGGGGAGGGGGAGGAGGAAGAGAAGGAGGAGGAAGAGGTGGTGGTGGTGGTGGTGGTGGTGGTGGTGGTGGTGGTTGTGGAGAACGAGGAGGAGGAGGAGGAGGAGGTCACTTCGGGATGACGTCGGTGATCAGGCAGTATCCAAACGTTGGATGTCTGGTATCACTGACAAACACGGGGATGTCCTCCCCTACCTCATACCCGCAGCCTGCATGTCCATGTGAGAGGGGACGGAGGGGAGGGGAGGAGGGAGCGAACCGTGCGGAAAACAGGAGAAGTGAGAGGAGAGCGACTTGCAATTGTTGATGAAGTCGAATTGCTGCATGTCACATATCATCCCTGCGAACAATCCAGTAAGATCCTCCTCCTCCTCCTCCTCCTCCTCCTCCTCCTCCTCCTCCCTATGAATACGACCTCTATCTCAACCTGTAGCAACTCTCCTGCTGCCCCGCTCCTCTCATCCTCTCCTTCCTGCCCGTGCTGCTCTCTGCATTCAAGCTACTTCCACAATATCCTCCTCTCCTGCTCTCCTCCTCTCCTCACCATTCCGCTTGCAGTGATCCAGGCAGCTGACACCCTGTGGGGCAGCTGAGGCCTTGAAGGAGGGAGGAGGCACGAGCTTCTCTTGCTCGGGAGTGAGAGGGCTCAGCCTCCTGTCGTACAAGAAGATCGTCTTGCGATTCCTCTTCACGATGGACACTCGCCTGCCAACATGTCGGAACCTCCCTCTTCCTCCTTCTTCCCTCCCCCTTCTTGCTCCCTCCTCCTCCCGTCTACCAGCTCTCTCCAACCATCGCACCCAGTTGCACCCGTCCCCTGCTCTTCTCCTCCCTCCCGAATGCGAGCAAGTCTCACTTGAAGGAGACGCGCGGCCAGTTAGAAGGATACGCCCCGAGGCCCCGCGCCAACTTGCTCCACTCCTCCCGCACGTAGCCAACACGGAGAGTCTGCTGTGACCCGTCCGGGACGATGGAGAGAATTTGGTGAGGGCCGACGGGTCGAGCAGCAGCGAGCTGAGCCTGAGGAGAACAGCATTAGCATAGCGAAGCGAGAAGGAGGAGAGGAGGCGGGATGGGGGGTGGAGGGATTCGGAGGAGCAGCAAGGGTGGCACGATAGAAAGGGGGCAGGAGATAGTGGAGGGAGGAGCAGGGGTGGTAGGAGGAGATTCCACCGTCATCCAGGCCTGGTATCGATCATGCAAGAGGTAGGAGAGGTCGCCGTAGTCAACGTGCGGGGAGGTGGCGACAGCGATCTTGGACAGCCTCTGCTCGTAGTCATAATTGCTGACCGTCGCCCCCGTCGACCCGATGTTGTGGTTGCGAGGGACCTCGGGGATTATGCAGTCTCGTCCCTTCGCCTGCTCGTCCACTCGCATCCAGTGGTCCCAACTGTCACGAGGACGGTCAGCTCAAGAACCAGCTCCTGCCTCTCCTCCCCCGTCACCGCCCCCCACTCCTCTCCCCTCTTCCTGATACCCTTCCTGTCCATGGTTTCACTTTTCCTCAACTTGCTCTCTCTCTCCTCCTGCTGACCAGCTTCTTTCGCCTCCTGCTTCCTCCATCTCACCTGTGCATGGGCCACTTATGTCGGAGCTCATCCATCCACAGTTCCTTTCGGAGCATCCAACCCAATCCAGGAAAGAAGTCTACATACATCGCATGGTCACCAAATGAAGGGAGGGGGAGGAGGAGGAGGAAGAGGACTATGAAGAAAGCAGAGGAAGAGAATTGAAGGGACAGGAGACCGAGGAGGGAGGGGAGTGGAGGTTGGAAAGGATGAAAGGAAGCAGCACCAGTGCGATGAAGCGTTTTCTCGTCCATGTCCATGTGCATGTATGCGTTATCATTCCAAGAGGAGACGCACATGAGCGTTGCATCTGAGTCGAGCAGGGGAGCAGTAGCCTGCACCCTCGTGACCTTCTCCTCCCTCCTCCCCCTACTTCTCCTCCCTCCTCCCCCCTCCTCCTTCTCCTCCTCCCTCTTCCTACCCGCACCCTCCTCCCTCCTTGTCCTGACCTCGAAGTAGGCGAGCGCGTCTGGCGCCATCACCATGTCCTCCTCGATTAGGATCGCGTGGTTGATGTTCTTCTCTGTCTCAAAGACCGTCTTGAGCACGAACTTGTAGTGATCGGCGATGTAATGCATGGTTGCTTGATCACCCTTTGATCTATGATCCTGTGTCCTCCATTTCTCAGCCAACATGCTTTCTCCTCTTCCCTTTCCTCTTCTACATTTCGTCGCCCCGTGCCCATCCCTCCCAACTCATCCTGCCTGCTCCCCTGCCCTCCTCCCATTCCCCCCTTCATGTCTCGGACTACCTGCCTCAAGTCGTTCACGACGAACTTGATGAATGGCTTTGAAGATTCCAGGTCCTGTCTGCATGTCAACGACGCCTACGGAAACATGCCCACGGCAATCGCCACGAGGGATGAAGAGCAAATCAAGACGTCAAGGAAGAGTGTGGAGGGGATTGGGGAGGGAGAGGAAGAGGAAGAGGAAGAGGAGGGGAGGAGAGAGATTGAATTTCTACCTTAGCATACATCCTGACCTTGGCGTCGCTGCCATCCTGGGAAATGAAAACCTTCGCAGCAAACATGATGAGAGAAGGCGAGGAGGACGAAGCAAGAGCAACACCTTGTACTCTTCGATCCCCTTAAGATTCAGCAGGGAGCCCATCGTCTGCCTCAGATAGTTCTCCCGCTTGCACGCCAGCACAACTATGGCAGTCGTCTCCCTCGAAAACATCTTGGAGTCCCTGCTGACCGGCCAAGGAGTCAGTGGAAGCACGACAGGCGACCCGGAGGAAACAAGGCCAGCACAAACAATCGCTCCTCACCTCAAGATCTTCGAGAGGCTCTCCCGACTGCCTCGCTCCTCGTCCTCCAGCTTCTTTGTACCTCCTCCTCTCTCTGCCGGCTGCGGCAACGGTCGATCCTCCGCTGCTTTCTTCATGCCGCTCAGCAACGAGGCGTTCAGCAGCGAAGAGGAAGGAGAGGAGGAGGAGGAGGAGGAGGAGGAGGAGGAGGAGGAACTGAGATCTCCCTCCACCTTTCTAGGTCCCTCCTGCCTGTTCACATTTCCAGCCAAGACGGGAAGATCAGCCTGAGGAAGCTGGATCTTCACTTGACCTTCCTGCCCACCAGCCGCCCTGCTTCCCTCAAAGGAGCGTTCCAGCTTCGCTTGCGAGTCTTGAGCATGAGCCGCTGCATGTGGCAGAGTCGCACTCGCAGCAGGGCGACCCTGTTCCCAGCATGTTAATTCAATGCCGATGACGTCAAATGAAACGGGAGGCGGCGATGATGGGACGGATCGAATGATAGGTTGAAACGGAGGGAGGCAGGAAGGGGAGAAGAGAGACAAGGGGCTCTAGAGATATGAAATGACGAGCATCAAAGATTGACACGAAGATCGCACACCCGCACCCTTCCTCCAACCCTTGACCCGCAGCGAGTGAACCCGTACTCGCGTGCCCCGGCAGCACAACAAGGAAACACATCACGTCCGTGGGAGTCGAAGTCCAAGACGCAGCAGACAAAGGGGAAGGAGTGGCCCATGTCACGAGACGCAGGAGGAGCTTCAGAAGGGGGGGGGGGAGGGGGTTTGATGAGCGATGAGGACAGCTTGCTACAGCTCCTCCCACCTTCTTGGCGTGGGACCAGTTGGGGGGTCTCTTGAACCCCCAGGCTTCTTCGTCCTCATGTGGAGGCAACGTGAAACTGTAAAGGAGCAGCGACATGGCCCACGCCCCCACCGACAGCCCCACCAGCCATTCCACGCCTAATCGCATCCTTCCATATTCCTTCACCCAGAGCTTTGAGGTGATCTTTACCACTACCCGTACTTCTCAAATTCACCCGTCCATTGAAGCCCTTTACATGGGGAAAAGTGGGGTATTTCACACCTCTTACACACCTCATACCCTACCCTAGATACTCACTACCCCTTTCACTTACCTCGCAATCCGATGATTCCGGGAGTCCCCAAAACAAGCACTACCCCTATTTTCCATATGTAATGTACCCACCCCCTCTCCAGGAGCGTGACTTTACTTCGCACATCCGCTCAGTGAAGTTCCGGCCGGCCCGGCGGCCCGGCGGCCCGACAGGCTGTGAGTGACGGATGAAGCCTTTGTGCCTTTAGAACAAGAATGTGAAGGGGTGGGGGTTATGTGATTACCGGTGTTATGAGCTGAAATAAGTACCGTAGAGGAATATTTTTTACGAAAGGGGGGTAGGGTTATGATTGAAGGGTTGGCCCGCAACGAGCACGAGCGGGGAAATGGCCGAGGTGAGCGTGATATGTGAAGAGAGGAGGAGGAGGAGGAGGAGGAAGAGGAGGAGAGGGAGGATGGTTCAGCATAATTTAGACAAGGAGAAGATCAGACGACGAAGAAGGTCAAGTGCGTAGCGAGTTGTGTGGTATAGGACGAGGGCAAGGAGGCATAGGGTCTCGCATTTTGAGGGGGTGTAGACGCTGAGTTTGTTGAAGACGGTGCAAGACATTTAGGTGAGACGAGTGCCAAGTGTAGAGGGGAGGAGAGGAAGGGAGGGAGAGGGAGGTAGTGATGCACAGCTACATCAGGACAGGAGAAGTGTTTCATCCTACTTCTGACTCGCTCTTCCGTAGACGCTCGGAAAGAATGGACTGGAGGATGTCCCTCAGGACGTTCGATTTCCAGCGGAGGAAGAGAAGATCCTTGCCTACTGGGATCACATTGATGCCTTCCAAACCTCTCTGAAGACTTCACGTGAGGAAGGGCGGCCTGAGTTCACTTTCTACGACGGCCCTCCGTTCGCAACCGGCATGCCCCACTACGGGCACATCCTCGCAGGGACCATCAAGGACTGCATCACTCGCTACTGGCACATGAACGGGTTCCACGTGGAGAGAAAGTGGGGATGGGACACGCACGGGCTCCCGGTGGAGTACGAGATCGATCAGAAGCTGGGGATCAAGTCGCGCGACGACGTTCTGAAGATGACTGTGGCAAAGTATAACGCGGAGTGTAGAAGCGTCGTGATGAGGTACGCCAGCGAGTGGAAGCGAGTCGTGAGGAGGCTGGCGCGCTGGATCGACATGGAGAATGACTACAAGACGCTGGACCCGACCTTCATGGAGACGGTGTGGTGGGTGTGCAAGCAGATGTTCGACAAGGACCTTATCTACCGGGGCTACAAGGTCATGCCCTACTCCACCGCCTGCAGCACTCCCCTCTCCAACTTCGAGGCTGGGCAGAACTACAAGGATGTCTCCGACCCCGAGTGCGTCGTCAGTCTCCCCATCATAGGCTCCGAACCTCCCGCCAGCATGCTCGCATGGACTACCACGCCGTGGACCCTTCCGTCCAACCTTGCCCTCTGCGTCCACCCGACGATGGAGTACGCATACGTAGAGGATGTAAAGACGTCTGCTGTGTACGTGCTTGCGGTTCCTCGCCTCGTGCAGCTGTATAAGAAGGAGTCGGAGTACAAGGTGTTGAAGACAGTCAAGGGCCAGGAGCTGAGGGGTTTGAAGTACGAGCCGCTCTTCAACTTCTTCGTGGAGAGGAAAGGAGACGTCGGATTCCGAGTCCTCTGCGACGAGTACGTGACGGCAGACTCGGGTACGGGGATCGTCCACCAGGCCCCCGCCTTCGGAGAGGATGATTACAGGGTCTGCCTCAAGGAGGGTGTGATCTTCAAGGGAGAGCACGTGCCTTGCCCTGTGGACGCCGACGGACGTTTCACAGAGGAGGTGTCAGACTTCCAGGGACAGCACGTGAAGGAGGCGGACAAGGCCATCCTGGCGTCGCTAAAGGCGAGCGGGAGGTTGGTGAAGTCAGGGGCGATCAAGCATAGCTACCCCTTCTGCTGGAGGTCCGACACGCCGCTGATCTACAAGGCCGTGCCTTCCTGGTTCGTCAAGGTAGAGACGCTCAAGGAGAAGCTGCTGGCGAACAACGACAAGACCTACTGGGTCCCCGACTTCGTCAAGGAGAAGAGGTTCCACAACTGGCTGGCTGGAGCGCGAGACTGGGCCATCTCTCGCAACAGGTTCTGGGGCACCCCCATCCCCATCTGGCACTCGGAGGACTGGGAGGAGGTGATCTGTGTGGGGAGCGTGGACGAACTGGAGCAGCTGTCGGGGGTGAGGGTCAACGATCTTCACAAGGACTCCATCGACCACATCACCATCCCCTCCAAGATGGGCAAGGGAGAGCTGAGGAGGGTGGAGGAGGTGTTCGACTGCTGGTTCGAGAGCGGCTCGATGCCGTACGCGCAGTGCCACTACCCGTTCGAGAACAAGGAGAAGTTCGAGAAGACCTTCCCTGCCGACTTCATCGCCGAGGGGCTGGACCAGACCCGAGGATGGTTCTACACGCTCATGGTGATCGGAACTGCTCTCTTTGACAAGCCCGCGTTCAAGAATGTGATCGTGAACGGGCTTGTGCTTGCGGAGGACGGGAAGAAGATGAGCAAGAGGCTGAAGAACTACCCGGACCCCGAGCTCGTCATTAACTCCCACGGCGCAGACGCGCTCAGGATGTACCTGATAAACTCGCCGGTGGTGAGAGGAGAGGAGCTTCGCTTCAAGGAGCAGGGCGTCAAGGACGTCGTCCGAGATGTCTTCCTCCCCTGGTACAACGCCTACCGCTTCCTTATCCAAGTGGTCCGCCGCCTCCAGAGCGAGGAGGGCGTGACGGTGCAGGGCAGCGGGACCGGCTACATCCAGTCGGACAACACCATGGACCAGTGGATCCAGGCGGCAGCGGCTGGCCTCCTGCAGTTCGTGCAGAAGGAGATGCAGGCCTATCGCCTCTACACCGTCGTGCCCCGCCTGTTGCGCTTCATGGAGGACCTGACCAACTGGTACGTGAAGATGAACCGCAAGCGCCTCAAGGGAGGAGCAGGAGTGGAGGAGGCGACCGTGTCCATCCGTGTCCTGCTGCAGGTCCTCCTGACCCTCGTGCGCTCCATGGCGCCGTTCACCCCGATGTTCTGCGAGCTCCTGTACATGAACCTCCGCAACCTCCTCCCCGAGAGCGAACGCAAGGACAGCGTCCACTACCTCGACTTCCCGCAGGCGAACCTGGAGGCCGTGAACGAGAGGATGGAGCTCAAGGTCCGCAGGATGCAAGTGCTGATCGAGAAGGGGAGAATCGCCCGCGACAAGCGCGGCATCTCCCTCCGCACGCCCATCCGCGCCGTCACCGTGATCTGCCCCAACACCGAGCTCCTCCAGGACATCGAGGACCTCAAGGGCTACGTGCTCGAAGAGCTCAACGTCCGCTCCCTTTCCACGACGACGGAGGAGGGAGACATGGTCACTCGGTCTGCTGCTCCTGACAACACCATCCTCGGCCGACGGCTGGGCAAGGCGTTCAAGGAGGTGTCGGCCAAGATCAAGACGCTGACCAACGCGGAACTGATGGAGTACGAGAGGAAGGGACAGCTGGACGTGTGCGGGAGTGTCCTGTCGGGAGACGACCTAAAGATCACCCGCTCCTTCAACGGGGACACGGAGACGGTGCAGGCGGAGTCGTACGACGAGGTCCTCGCGCTGTTCGACGTCGGGCTGGACGAGTCACTCCGGCAGGAGGGGGCGGCGAGGGAGATCGTGTCCCGTGTACAGCAGATGAGGAAGAAGGCTGGTCTGCTCCCCGAGGACCTGATCGAAGTCTTCTACGAGAGCAGCGACGAGTCGTTTCTCAGCATCCTCGCCAACCACATGGACACCATCAAGTCAGCCATCAGGGTGGAGCTCCTGCCGCGGGGAAGGATGCCTGGATACCTTCAGCCCCTGGTCATCCTCCAGAGCGAGGAGGACGTGAATGGCATGAAGATTAGTCTCACGATCACTCGCGCGTGCCTGCACGTCTCTCAGCAAGCTGCAGATGTTTCTCAGGGAGTTTCTATCGAAGCATTGCAGGTTACCTTCTACCTCATCCTCCTCCCTCTCCAACTTGCCCTCTCCCTGATGTCCCCACTGTTTTCTTCCCTCTTTGCCGCACCTCCCCCTTTTCTACTTGTTGCTGATGAGCGATGCGTCCAGTCGGCCGTTATGAGTCTGCAACTTGCCTCAGCCAAGAAGTCGATGACGTCTGGGGCTATCCAGGTGGTTCTCATCGCGCCTACTGCCCTCCTGTCGATTCCTTGCTCGATACCACTCACGTTTATCCCTCCCGCCCTACCATCTGACTCTCTTTCTCTGCAGGTGGCGGTGGATGGCAAGCAAGTGGAGCTACAGGCGGGCAAGCATGTGTTTCCCAGCGTTGCTGAAATGAATTAGCAATCTGTGTGTTCAGTTCTCTTGTCATAAACTTTACACGCATACAGTCGTTTTGTTTTATTCCCACATGATCCCTCAACCTTGAACCTCAGCGGCCTGGAACGTCTCGTGGGGTTCTATCACTAAGAGCACCGTGCCGTGCCCCTTCTAACTCGCTGAGAAGTATATCCCACGGCCTCCATGAAGGCATGGCGGAGACGCAGCACGTCGGAGTCATCGGATCGTCTGCAGCACCAGCGGCCTCCGCTGAGTGCCATCGCTGCGTTTCAATTGTGTCCAGGTCTGGGCGTCCAGACATGTCGCATCATACATTCTCCTGGCTCGTCGATCCCTTGAGTGGGGTCGTATTATCTTATCGCAACTTCGCTTGCAGGTAGCTGAGCGCACCGTGACCCCCAAGTAGCGCAAAACACTTGACACATGTTTGCATTCGGATCTAATTATGTGCTCCTGAGACACTAGGCTACACAACGCGCCCTGACGGCGCCGACGGGCCCCGGAGTTGCCTGAAGCGAAGACAGCATGCTGGGCCCAGCGATTGAGCCATGATCATCGCCCACTGATCAGCAGCTCAATGTGATCCACTACTCCATAAATTTGACGGGTCCCAGTTTCAGCCATGACATGTTCACCAGAGGATCTTTCCTTCACGAACTTGATCTGTAACTGTCACCGTTACATCAGGAGTCGTAAAGATCCATCCGGGAGTCCCGCGACTTGACTAAAACTTAGCTGTTAATTAACTCTTCGGGATTTCCCGTGACCCTTGTGCCCTCCCCTCCCCCGCCCCCCCTCCCAGACCACCCCCCAGGCCACCCACCCCCACCCCTCATCCCGGAGTTGATTTCCCGAAAAAAAGATTTTGTTGGAAGTGACCGCCAGGTTTGTGAACGTCAAAGGCAAAAAGTCGGAATAATTTCAAATATAAAGACAATAAATGAATCGTGTTTTAAACTTCTCGGCAATGACCGAAGGGCCTTCGGCCCGTTTCCCGCCGGCTCCCAGATTCCAGATTCCAGATTTTTTCATACAAATATAAGTCAAATTCTTTTTTTTCTACTCCAAATGTTTTGGAGAACTCAACTATAAGTCATTTTAATTTGAGAATGAAACGATGCGGTTGACTTTCCCAGATTTTGCTTTTCGAATGGGCAGGCACTATATGGAAATATACTATTAGCTCAATCGAGAAAAATTGTTAGAAGGTAGGGAGGGTACGCTGGGAGCATCAAATATGAACAGGCAGTGGACCCACCCCCTGTCAGTATGTATTGAAAGCACCGGTGAATATTTCGGGGTAAATTTCAAATTAGTTTGAATAAAGTCAAAAATCTGGAATCTGGGAGCCGGCGGGAAACGGGCCTTCTCCTTTCCATGCATTTTTCAAATTTAACCAGCAGGCCCTACACAACCCCTCCCCCCTCTCCTCTCCCGATCACCACCCCCTCATGGGGTGGGGTACCGAAAAGAAAATTACATTTTTTCACAAATCGAGTTGAACGGCCGGACTCGAAATGGCAACGGTTGGTGATACCATCTCATGCAACTTAAGTTGCAAGTCACGTGTCCTAAAAAATTGAAAACTATATATACCCCACCCCACCCCTGAATACTAGGTGTTTGCGTACTACCCCTATCTCCATTGATCTGCACAAAATCATATGCCCCCCTTGGTACCACCCCACCCCTTTGATTTCACTGAAGTCAACTTTTGCTGAACTTGCTTCTCCCGAACGAAAGACCCCTACCTCCTAGTTCGAGGCTGTGCTGTCCCCACAAAATCACCATCATTGCCTGCACGGCCTGCCTTCGAGATTTCTATAGGCAGTCTATATGATATCAGACGCCCATCCTTGCATACTGCCGTACATGCTGCTGATCCCCACACCCTAGATGCCCTTATCCCCTCCTTCTCCCAGGCTGCCACGAGGTCAGCCTCACGGACCTCTTAACGCCTCCCAGCTCTGTTTACTTTGAAAAGTCTTGACCTCAACGTACCCCTTCAAATCTCCTTTTTTCAGACCCCACCCTATTAGACAGAATGTATCTGCCCTTACAAGCAGTTAGGACGGGCAAATCGGAAACGGGCAAACGTGTTCACAAAGTAGCAGGGGTGACTAATGGGTGTATGGAGGTAGGGGTACTCAGTCGGATACGTCAGGGGCAAAAAGCTGGCAGGGGGAGGCGGAAGGGGTTGAGGAAATACAGAGGTAGACATGAGGCTCGGAGGAATCAGCGGGGAATGTTGGGGGAATGAGAGCAGGCAGGCGGATGTACTTTTAAGTGCGAGAGGGAAACAGGGGTGGGTATCGTGAGAAGAGGGTTTCACGTGGGGTGGGGGTAGGGACTGTGACTGGGCCGTGAGCTCTGTTGATGACCAGCTTTTAAATCGATGCGAAAGTGGTACCACACCCCACATCCTGATCAGGACCCCACACTTGAAATTGGGTCCCGTGCTTGACCCAGGTTCCTTGGTGAAAAAGGGGGGTATGAGCGAGTCAAATTCATTCACCACCCGTCTGAAGTAGGGTGCTACCACACAAGTTCATACGGGGGCATAAGAGGTCCTCAAAACCTTAAGTACCTTCTGCGTACCACCCCAATCTGAAGCTTCCTATGCCTCCCCTCGATGGACCCACCCCGTCCCACTCAACCGACAAAAAGCCACCCCGTAACTTCTTTCTATTTCCCTACCCACCCACGGTGCCTTCCGATGCACCTCAATGAAATTCTCTACCCCATCTTCTATCCCTTCAAACTACCCCTAGTCAAGTAAGGATTGACTTCTCCATGTCTTGTGACCCTTTGCAGGTGCTCTGGTCTACCCACCCCTTCTCAAATCAACCCACCCACCCCACCTACGTGTTTGATTGGGGATCATTCGATCCAGTCTCTTTCGGAAGGATTCTTCCATCACGACCCCCGTAGTTCAAACACCCCCGTCAAATTCCACCCCACCTCCTCGTTCCGAAAAAAAATTGTTGAGTTCCGAGGCTACCCCCCTTCCATCGGTGTTCCTCCAACAAACGCATTTCCACCCCTGGCTTTCCCACCTACGTCCTATAACATATCCTATTAAGGTTCCACTACCCCCGTTTGTTCATCAAAATTTTACTTTTGTATCTCTTCATGACCCCACCCTAGGATCCGCCCACTACCCCTACCTCCCTATGAAATTCAATCCAAACCCCCACCACAGTGCAAGACGTTCCCCCCAAGTCAACATTCATTGCTCCTCATCCACGTTTCCCCTGTCCCCATCTTTCTGTTCACGAGACAAGTTTGACGGCAGCCCAACACTATCGAACCTGCTTGCCGCTTCCTTCCCTGCTCTTTCGACTACTTACCGTGAGAGTCGATCCCTTCCTGTCTTTTAAAGCTATACGAGTGACAAAATTTCGCCACTCTTCAATACCGCCCCGATCATGCATACCGGTATCTGGCCATGGCCTACGAACTCCCTCCTGGAAGAAGCTTTGTTGCACGTTGAGCAAAGTCTTGTAAGAACGACAAAGATGAGGAGCTGGTCTTCTGTTTTGAAGCTGTCGACGGAGAACGAGCTGATAAGCTCAGCAAGCATATCTGAAGAAGACGTGGATGCTGATGCAAAACCATTTGCCTTTGCTGAAGCTCCCAAACGGAGGCACGTCTGGACTGAATCTGCTCGAGAGCAGCACAAGCAAGCTTGCAAGGCTAAGGGGAAACTTACCCTCGGACAAAAACTTGAGATTGTGCGTAGGCATGAAGCCAGAGACCCTGAGGATCACAAGACCCAAGCACAACTTGCTGCAATGTTTGGAAAGAGCAGATCAGCAATTTCAAAGATTCTTCGTCCAGAAAATATCTCCAAATTGAAGAAGATTTCGGATACTGGAATTCACCCCGGTGTCAAGAGATTCTCGCCCGCACAGCACCCTGAGCTTGAGAAAAGGATGCATCAATTCGCCCTTGAGGCTGCCAGCAGGGGAGTCTGCAGAAGGGCACAACTCTGCAAATGCGCAGAAACCATTGCGAAGGAAATGGGCATCTCCAACTTTCGGGCAACTCATGGATGGTATTCGAGATTCGTCAGGCGCCATGGTTTGGCAAAATCACCGAGGGAAAGCGCGACATCGCCAGTGCTGACGGCAACTGCCTCGAACGAAATGGATCTGGTCAGGGGGAATAGCTCTTCATCGATATCTACAGTTGGTGATGAGTGAAGACTGGACGGAGATCTCTTCTGTTATGAACGTAACTGCTCTTTCTGTAAAATGATGCCGGAAAGTACTATCGTTTTTCTCTTTGATATATAAAGATTTGTCCTAAATCAGCTATGAGAATGCTTCCCAACATGATGAGCATCAGTAATCTCCTTCCTCCTTCGATCTTCATCCCTTCAGCGCACCATCCGTACGACATGAACTACGTCATCTAGGTAGCAAATTCCGTCACGTCGCAATTTCCCAATTGCTCGTTCTTGTTCGTTACAAAATCTATAACCGTACAATGCAGAGGTGATAGGCGAATGCTGCCTTGGCGGCATCGTAGCAGGGGTCGAGGATGGAGCTTGTCGCACTGGCTTGTGCTCGCCATACTGGCCCTCGTCGCTCAGCTGGTCTTGATCGGTCAAATTTCCTTCGACGTCTCCTCTGCCGTCAAGCTTGAGGGGCTCTTTGAGTTGCAGTCGGGACTCCGAAAGCTCCTCACGCTCCCGCAGCTGCTGAACACGAGCAGCATGTGGACTGAGAGGAAGAGGAGGGCTTCGAACGAGACTTACCAACACCTGCTGCAGCTGCTTGAAGGGTGCGGAGATCTGTGCGATCTGGCAGATCGGCTGCATCAGGATGTCGACAAGGTGGCCATGAACTGTACGATGTTATACACAAAGTCCATCGATCCGCCGAAGCTGTCAAGGAGCAACTCCGTGCACCAGCTCGTGTGGAGATACTTCAGCCACTTCGGCAAAGTCACCATCGACCCCAGACTGATCATCTCTCCTTACATCGGAGGTCTGCGTCAGGTGCACGGTGTGGAGCTGGGGAGAAGGACGAGGAGGTGGAGCTCCGACAAAGTGCAGCGGCTGATCAGCCAGTGTGAGAATACGAATGCTGCCAGCTCCTCCATGGTACTGTGATCATCTCGCTGCTGGCATGACATGACGGCTGCGTTGACATCAGCTAGCGTTCAGGCGGGCGCTGAAGCACATGGGGAACGTAACGGGAAGACACCTGCTGGTTCTGAGCTCAGGGGAGCCTTGGCAGGAAGCGTGTCTGCTCGCAGCTGGAGCCAGGAGCGTCTGGAGGGTCGGGCATGGGCGAGTGGAGAGCATGCATCCCCGACTAGTCGCTCTCACCCACCTGGAGGCCAACGGCCTGTACGCGCAAGGTAACGGGGGGAGCAGGGGTGCAGCTGAGGCTCGAGATGCTCATCCTGCTCCCTTGCACTAGGGAAGCTCGGTCCCTTCGATGGGGTTGTGAGCTACAACGAGCTGCAGCATGAAGGGTTCGGAAAGTGAGTTTTCCTTCTCTTCGCAGCCCCCGTTGAAGGCTGCCTCCAGCTATGGCGAAGTGATCAACCCTATCGCGGACGTCCTCATCATAGGCAGGTGATGTTGAGCCCGAGCCTGCTCGTCTTGGCCGTCACGCACCAGGATGGCAGGTCTTGGTGTGTCAGCAGGCCGTCGGCAGAGCTCTTGCTGTCGGTGCCGACATGCGCCATGGATTGTACTGTCCTTGCCTTTGGGTAGCTCCTTGCTCATTCGGCGCTTTCCTGCAGACATTCACTGGCGGGATCACCGATGCTACGGCAAGAGGATGCTGCAGAGATTAACGGGGTGAGACGCTCGCTGCCCACTTGCTCCGCGTGTGACCCCGACATGCCAAGATACTGGAAGTCCCTGTCGACCAGCAGGAGCACGGTGACTTGTGAAACCTGACTATGCTGCCGTGTGTAACCGATTGTTGTGTGTTCCTTCCATTCAGATGTTCGAAAGGCTTTCTGTACATGTCTTTCGCAAGTAAGCCCGACCAAGTTCGAGTTTGCACTCCACGACCTTGTACATGAGCATCTGTAGATACAGTCTGTCTTTGAACTCTCGTCCCATCAAGGATGAGCAAGCATTCATCTCAGCCTCGTGCTCGCTGTCTCCACCATCACGCCAACCCTTCCCCTCCTGCCTTCAACCTTCCCGGAGTCCATCGGGGCAGACCACCCCATTTCCAATTTCACCCCTCAATTTTATGGAGTCTCACTAATATTAGGGGGTGGGGGTACTATCTTCCGAAAGATGAAACATCTTACATGGCGGCCGATGGCCATAGTGGCCATGGCTGTGCTACTTGGCCACGTACAAGGAGCGCAGAAGCTGGGAAAGGTGCCAGGACTGGATGAAAGCACCAACGACCAGCAGGAGGTCTGTCTCCCTCCTCCCCTGCCGATGCGTTTGACTCGCAACCCTTGCAGCAAGCCTTCAACAGCGCGGACAAGAACGGGGACAGGAAACTCTCGTTGAGCGAGTACAAGGAGATGCTGACGCAGGCCATGAAGAGCTATGGTGAATTCAAGTTCGTGCCCTGCAGGTCTGCTGTGACTTCCTGACAGGAAGCGAGGAGGCTCTGCAGCAGCAAGAGGCGAAGGTCCAGGAGTTGTTCAACAAGCTCGACAAGAACTTGGATGGATCCATCGCTCACGATGAGTGGCTGGTGGCTGTGGCGGAGGGACAGAAGCAGGCACAAGAAGCTGCAGCCATGCAGGCGGCGGCTCAGGAGACGAAGCTGAAGATGGTGTTTGACGCAGCAGACAGCAACAGGGACGAGCATTTGGACCTCAACGAGCTGTGGGAGGGGTTCAAGACCTACGGCTATGGCAAGGAGCAGATCGACGTGTTCTTTACTGTCGGTGACCAGGACAAGAATGGGCTGCTGAACTTTGAGGTCGTCGCCTCCTCAACTTGCTGTCATCCTCTGCCTGTTGTCACGTCGGACTGGTTCTCATCGGTTTGTGGGCTTGCAGGAATTCAAGGTGGGGAGGGAGGGAATGCAAAAGGCCAGGTCAGCCTCCCCGTAGAATCACCGACCCTGCTGACCCTCCTCTTGCAGAGAGGTGGAGGCGATGATGGACAGCCTAGGATCTGAGGAGGACCAGCTCAAGGTCAGGGGAGGAGGAGGGTATTCGCCCACTGACATGCCTGCCAGGCCTTCCATGACGCTGATATCAACAAGGACGGCAGTTTGACTCTCCTCGAGTATCAAAAAGCCTTCGAAGACTTCATGGCGGTGACGGCAGCAGCTGCTCCTCCTCCTCCTTCCCTCATTGCACTCTGTGTAGGCGGTAGCCGGCGATTCTGCTCCTCAGTCGATCGACGTGGGCCAGGTAAGAAGACAGTCACATGTTTCATTCTACCTGACTCGCACAAGATCGCCGAGATGTACAAGGGCTACGACACGGATGGCAACGGAGGTTTCATCCTCCCCTCTCCTCCCCCTTTTCTCAACAGCTTTTCCCGCTCGCTCTCCTCGCCTCCTCCTTTCATTCATGCTTGCCTTACGGTGCTCGGCAGGTGTGTCGCTGGAAGAGTGGAAAGCAGCGGTGAAGACCAACATGGTACAAGAGGAGCAAGACGGACGCGAGGCGACGGAGGACCTGACGGTCTGCACAGGCGAGAACGCAAGCAGAGCGAGAGGCTCTCAAGAGTTCCTCTCAGGGAGCCATCTAACGCCCGGTGACACTAAAAGCTCTCTCCCAGCAGCCTTCACTCGTATCGCTTCATGCACAACCAGAGATGTCCCTGCCCTCAGCTTCTCTTGACCGTTCTCACACGCGGGCTTGACCCTTGGATGTCTCCGATGTAGTTTGTCGTCCTGTACTGTTTGGGGGTGAAGGGAGTAACGCGCTGCCCATCAGTGAGGAGGAGGGAAAAGCAGGCAGCGCTCCTTACCGACGAGAATTTGCCGAGACTTCCTGGCTGAGAGCCTTCAACGTCTAGCTCATCGTCATGTGACGCAACTCGCTCTCCTCCCCTCACCTTCGTTTCTCAGCATGTACTCCCTGTAGGTGATGTCCCCTCGTCGTCCTGGCGTGTCGTGGAAAACAGGACCTGGAGGGCACAGGAAGCGTGAGGTAGAGGCCTGACGGGCTGAGCTCACCCATGTAGAATCGGCTGCTCCTGGCGTTGTCGATCTTGCCGATCGTCCAGTTCTTTCTCATCTCGTCGGTGACGGCAACCCCCTGACTGTGGTTGGCACTGAAATCAGCCTGATGGACTTGCACGTCACAAAACATCGTCGTCAGCCTCGTCACGACTCACCTGGTGGGGGATGTTGTAGCGATACTCGGGCGTCAGAGGATTGGTGCAGCGAGAAGACTTGCTGAAGTCGAAAGGCAGTCGTTTCCTCTCCTCCACAGGCTCCTTGGGCCGTCGACCGCTCCTCTCTGCCCCTCCAGCATGCTTGTGAGCCTGGGGTGAACATGAGCCATACCGAAGGAGAGGAGCAGCAGTCAAGGCACCTGCTCGAGGTCAGATGAGCTCCACTTGACGAACTCCCGCTCGTTTCCTTGTGGACATGCTGTCAACATGACACTTGTGACAACGTCCTGAAGCACCAGGAGAGGCGAAGAGTTGCCTCTTCTTCTCGCCCATGATGTCTTTGCAGAACAGAGGATCTCGGATGAAGCGGGGGGGTACGATCTCAACCTTCCTGAGCAACCATGTATCAGCTCGTATTTTGATCGTGAGGGAAGGATCTTCACCTGCTCTGCGGCCAGTCGTACTCCGGGCAGAGAGGGTTTCTCGGATCGCTCCTCCTGCTTTCTCTGTTCCTCGGCGACGCTCCCTCGATGTCGTTCGTCTGCAAGGACAGAGACTGTACCGCACGTCAACAAGCAGCAGTTCTCCACACATCTCCGCTGCTTCACCAGTCTCGGTTTCCTCATCTTCCCTGCCGAGGTTGAATTCAGAGCGATGAAGCTTTTCTGTTTACAGATCTCAGAGCACGTTCAACTCAGTCGCAATGTCAGTGTCGGGTTTCCCTACTCACATCGGACGAACTTGCAGTGAGTTTCCTCGAAGAATGTCCGCGGTCATCAGCCGTCTCAGCGTCAAGCTTGACGGGTCTACAAGTGATTGTCATGTGGCTGCAGTGAGGCAGTAAGAGCATCACTCGAGCGACGTGCGGTTGCTCGAGCTTCTCTTCGCTTTCACTGCGTTGGGCTGCCCAACAAGAACACGGTGAGAGGGAGCAGCAGGAGAGAAGTAGCTCAGTACAAGGGTAGCAAGAGACATGCTGCGATAGTCTGTCTTCTGCTCTGTTGTTTGACGCTGCTTTTCCACATTTGCAAGGAACTCGTTGGAGATGCACGGGTTCTCCAAAAGGGTGGAGTCCATGGCAGCTGAGAAACAGCTGGGCCCTGCCCGCTCCTTTCAGCTGAGCGCTGTGGTCTCCTTGCGATTGAGCATCATGATACCCTCGATCCTCTCCTGCTGAACCCGATCACTGAGTTGCAATGAGAGAGAGGGAGGGAGGTCAGAACATGACGGCAAAACACGAGTCTAAGCAACCACTACCATGCTAACTCTGCCGTGATAGTAATCCTTAGCAACTGATCAGAGTCTGAGCGGCTTGTCTTTGCACGGCACTGCCGCGGCAGTGACTGAGTAAGCAGCCGGCACTGAGGTGAGAAGTTCCGAAGTTCGACCGCCGCCATGGTGCCCTTAGTATGACAGCTGGGCGCCGGTGCCACGGTCGGATCACTGTCACTGTCACGTGAGTACGACGGTCTTGACTCCCTCGCGTCTCCTTCGCCTCCTCCTCCTCGTCTCTCCTCCTTCCCTTCCTCCCGTCTCACCTGTACGGTAGCAACCGTGACCGTACATTATTTACTCAAAGTTAAGTTAAACATCAGACACTACTCAGTACTGCCGGCCCCGGCGGCCGCCCTGACACAGTGATCATCATGGCAGTTAGACCCGTTATACATACATACATACATCTAACCGTTACTTACGGGCATGTGAGGGGATGTGGATAATTATCTCACCCCGGCGTTTCGCGCAGGTATGGCAGTATGTGAGCGAGAACTGGAAGGAGGCGGGGAGGGGTCGGGAGAGGATGATATCTGGTGGATGACCTGTGATCTGTAGGCGACAGGATGGACCCTGTGTTTCCTCTGTTCGCTCTGACAGCAGCGGCGGGAACAGCTGTCGTCTATCAAGAGGAGGAGAAGAGAAAGCAACCAGCCGCTGAAACCGAAGCTCGGGACCAAGACGACTTCAGCGAGCCAACATACAACTGCGACTACTCGTTTGCAGGTAGATGATTGTTGATCTCTGCTGGCTCCATGGCTGCAACTGATGAGTGCGCAACAGTGACAGGGGGGTGGTGACGATAGGATAGGACGGTAGGCCCAGGAGGTTGTGTTGAACCTGGTGTGTAGAGTTTTGTAATAGAAACACAAAAACCCATTATGAATGAGTCAGGAAAAGAAAGAAGGATGCAGCAAAGGAAACATGTTGGGAAATGATTCCACTCGTCTTCTAGCAAACAAGTTAAGATGATTCCACGTCACTCTTGTCCTGGTCCTGTTCAGGTCGCTCCGTGGTGCAGTTTGCAAGTTCCACAGACAGGACAACACTGCAGATTCCAGGTCAGACTTGTTGCAGAAGAACACGATGCATGATGAACGTACCCCGAGATGTAGAGATCGAACGCGATCGGAGGAACGCTCTCGTTCCAGACTGAAAGGGCAATTTTCAGAGGTGGGCCGGGAATCATGCATATGGACAGCACTCACTCTGTTGTCGCTGCACGGGAGCCTGTAAAGCTTGCAGAAAGATTTCCGGCAGATTTGCCGAGAAGTACTCGCTGCGCCGGCTCATTGTGCTCACAACGCTCAGTCTAGCTCTTATTTGTCGAGCCGCATTGCGCTGATAGCCCCCCCGCATGCAGAACAGATAAACTGCTCCTGCAAACACAGCAACCCCAGGGACAATGTAGAAGAGCAGAGAAGACTTGGAGCCTTCTTTCCTTGCCTGCAAGAAATCAAAAGGTCAACCAGGAAGCACATTGCCTCTTAGGTTGAAACACAGCTTACCTCATCAGTGTAGTCGATACATCCGTCGTACTCCATGGAATTGTTGTTCTCTTTACATTCATTCAACTGAAAAGAGACAGGGCATTCAGTTCAATGCACATCTCCGCTATCCATGCTGCAAAGGAAACCAACCTCTCCGTTGTTCTTGTTTACTTTGCAGACCTTGTTTCCCGTTTTCCATCGACAGGTGCAGCCACCTCTGAAATTGACATCATAAATATGGCGAAATAAACAAACATTCATTCCAAAGCATGAATAGATTGAATTTATGCAGTTCAAACCCTCAAAGAACACCAAGAATGCTTTCGTTACCTGCAGCATTCCCCGTTTGTCCATGCCCAGCAACTTGGAACACCTAGTTTTCTTCGGTCAAAACAGTAACGAAGTGCAATGGAAACAAAACGACATATTCTCTACAGACCTTGGCATTGTTGAAAGGCGTTTGATCTGCATACCGAACCGCAGCAAGAGAACACCTCTTGTGGTAAGGCTGTGTGTAGTAGCCCACATTGCGTCAAAAGAAAAAGAAAAAACCCGGATGGTGTCATTAAAGTCCGCAAGCAACGGTCTAGGCACATGGCAGCTCAAAAGATCTCCGTCCTCTCCTCGAGGTCGCAAGCTCTGCCCTGCCTGGTCAGGCTTGTCTGCATGGAGCCATGGCCTTGGGAATGTTTTGACCACACTGGGTGGGGTACTTTCAACTGGAAACAAGCCTTCGGTAGCATGGTAGGGTGGGTGAGTTGAACAATGCTAAAATGGACGAGGGAGGGGTACTTTTCAAGGTAAATTCAGCGGTACTTTGTGAAGATAGGGTATGTGCATCAGTTGTACCCGGGGAGAAAAAGATGGGTGGGATTGCAGAAGGATGAAGATCAGTAAAAAAGGGTAGGGTACTTGGCTGGAAAATTGAGGGTGGGGGTGTATTTACAGGTATTCGCAATCAGCGTTTGCTGCTGGTGACTTGAGGGGCAGATTGATTTAATTCAAACGATTCAGTCGATTACTTTTGATTCTATTCCATTCAAACCGCGTTGGCCCCAGTCGGGGCGACTGCAATGCGGTCAGCACTCAAGGAGGCGGCAGAGGCGGCGAAGGAGGAGGCGGCACGAAGAGTAGCAGCCGTGTTGAGAGAAGTCGGCTATCAAGCACGGGACGAGGAGGATGAGGATGGCGACGATGCAGAAGACTTTGATCAGGATCTCGAAGAGGAGGACCACGTCGTGGAGTGGAACTACAAAGGATCCCCTCCGTCGCATTGGGACCTGCGAACATGGCTGCATGAGGAAGTCAGGCTGGAGACAGAGATAAACAAATTCTTTGGTAGATTCATACAAGAGAAGAGATACTCGAGTGGGAGCGGAGAGACTGGTCCTGTGAAGAGACTGGAAATGGGTGGGCTGACAGAGCACGACGTGAGGAGGTTGTTTGAATCAGCCTTGCCAGTCCTCGTCTCCAAAGTCTGTGACGCAGTGAGAGACCTGATGGAAGATCCCTCTCCTTCAGACACTACGCCGTCCAGCAAGTGTTTCCTAGACGCGTCGATCTTGACGAGCAAGCGGCGCCACGAGATCAACTTCTGGCAAGGGGACAGCTCACTGCAGCTCGCGGCGATGCAAGCAGAGCACTGCTTCTCGCTGGACTCGGACATGCTGCTGAGGTTCGAGCATGACAACATGCTCCTCTCCTCCACCCCCCGGGAGGAGTGGGAGATCGTCGCTGGCCCGCACGCCCTCAACTTCGATGGAACCTTTGACTTGAGTTCGGTGCCTCCGCAAGAAGGTGGGAGCGGACAAGGGAGGAAGGGGAGGTCAGTGATCTCCATCAAAGACCTCATGGAAACCTCCATCGTCGATCTCTCAGATGGGAGCTCGCTCAGCGAGGAGGAGGTGGTGGCGCTGCGCCTGTGGACTGGCCCCATGCACATCAAGTACAACGCGGCGCTGACAGGGGAGCCGCACGAGGTCGCTGCCTCTCTGCTCGGAAACTCATACAGCACGACCATCCAGATGATCAAGAGCGCGATGTTGAAGCTCGCCGCTCACCGGAAGCTCACGGTGGAGAGATGTTACGTCGTGATGGAGAGTTGCGGAGAACTCCGAAGGATCGACAAGACAGGCGAGGAAGCATTGTAGATGCAAGTGGGGATGATTGTGATGATGGAACTCGTTCGGGATGGTGACGGTGATGGTGACGACAGTGTTGATGTTCCATTGCAAGGAGGAGCAGAGATAGGAACAGAAGAACTAGTTGTTGACTCGGGCATATGCAGGAACGAGGGGGTACACCAGCAAGGGCTTCGTCTCGGCGACCCGGAACAAGCTCTCCGCCATGGCTCTGTCAGCAGCCGGGGTGGGGAAGGGAAACAGGCAGCAGGAGAGAACCCCACGAACCTCCATGGACCTGCTGGGGACAGTTGGAGTCGTCGAGCTGAGACGGTGCAGCTTCGCCGCGGACCTCTCTCTCTTCTCGCAGTTTCCCGACGAGGAGGAGGTCTTCAATCTTTTATACCCTCCTCTTCTCCTTCCTCCCTGTTCCCTCCAACACCGCCTCCTCCTTCTAGTCCTAGTCCTTGTCCTTGTCCTCCGCCTGGTCCTCGTTTTCCTGTACTCATTGCCCTTCTCCTCCTCGTTTTCCTCCTCCTCCTCGTTTTCCTCCTCCTCCTCCTCCTCCTCCTCCACCTGCTACTACTACTACTACCACTCCCACTACTGCTTCTCAGTATCATCACTGACACGGGCTCAGATTCTCCTTCCTCCGGGAACTTTTCTCGAGTTCGGCAAACAAGTCTCCATCCCCGGCAGAATTCGCTTCCTCCCCATCCTCGCGTGCCAACTTCCTGACACTTCGTCCTATGAGGAGGCAAAACCGCCGCTGCTGGTGGCAGGAAAGATGCTAGTGAGTCGAGAGGAGAGGAGAGGAGAGGAGGGGAGGGGTCTTACAAAACCACACAGGAGGAGTCTCTCCGCCAAGAGTTGTACCTCCTGGGAAAGTGTTCTCTTGACCTCAAGGGCAAGTTGGTGGAAGAGGGAGAGAAGAAGTTGGAGGAGGTGATGGCGAATCTGGTTGTGCAGCAGCAGCAGCAGCAGCAGCAGCAGCAGCAGCAGCAGCATTCGCCTGTTACAGGTCGGCAGCCTGTCTCCTTCTTTTCCTCCGTCTTCCATCGCTTCTTCCTCTCCTTTGCCGAGAGCCTTCAGGCAATTCTTGACAACTCAGTCAAGTCCTTGGAGGAGGAGGAAGAGCTCCAGTCCGGGAGGAAGCTGCTGCTCTTCCTCGCGTGCTTGTCTGCTCATGGTTCTCTCCGCCAACTCCAGCGGACGCCGTCGGAGCAGGACCTGCTGCTTCATGCTAAGTTCATTCGATTCGTCGAGTCCAACAACCTGCGTGAGGAGAGGAGGAGGAGACGAGGAGACGAGGACTAGGGCGATGGAGGATTGGGAGCTTGTCGGTTGGGAGTGAGCAAAGATGAGGACGTTGACGAATGAGGACAGAAGAGGGAGAGGGAGAGGGAGAGGGAGAGGGAGAGGGAGAGGGAGAGGGAGAGGGGGAGAGATAGGAGGAGCGAGAGGCAGCTGTTGTCGATACTCCCTTGTTGTTTTCTGACTTTCACGCAGACATCACAACCTTGCAGCTATGCGACCTTTACTCTGAGTTTGCCGTGATGGTCAGAAAAGCGGTTAGTCACCAGGAGGTTGTTGCGAGGGAGGGGGGGGTTAGGGTTTGCACGAGGACGAGGATGGGGGGACCAGGGGGGAGGGGGGGGTAGGGGCGTCGATGCTGTCTGTCACTTGACTTGGTGCTGCAGGGTGACTTGGAGCTTGCCGAGTGGCTGCTGGAGGAGGTGCTGAAGAGGAGGAAGAAAGAGCTCGGGGAGGGCCACATGCTGGCGGTAGCGACGATGAACAACCTCGCAAACGTGTACCAGAGCTGGGGGAAGGAGGACAAGGCGATCGGCATGTACAAGGATGCTCGGGCAGCTCTAGAGCTGCGGTATGGCCCTCGGAATGAGCACCTCCCGGCCATGCTGAACAACATGGCCATGCTCTTCCGCAGGAAGAATCAGATCAAGTGAGACGGGGAGGGGGAGAGGGGGAGGAGATGAGGAGTAGAAGAGAGGGGGGAGAGGAGCATGCGGAGCTCTCACAGTGACAGCAGGAGAGCAGCTGACCTCTACCTAGAGGCTCTTGACATCAGCCTGAGGTGGAAGGGGGTCAACCATGCTGATCTCGCTGACCTCCTTTACAACCTCGCTGCTCTCTACGCCAGCGTTGGGGACAGGTACGATGCCCTTTCCTTCCTTTCTCTCCTGTCCTTGTCTTCTCCCTCTCTCCTTCAGGATCCTGCCTTTGTTCCCTCCCTCTGCACGACTTGCACTTCTCCCCGGTTGATCGATGGAGCAGGGCAACAGCGGGGCCTCTGTTTCAACGTGCAGCACAACTGCATGCATCCAAGTACGGGTGGGAGCACGAGCTTGCTAAGGACGCGAAGATGAAGGCGAGCAAGTGCCTGGGGAGGAAGGAAGAGGAGGAATCCTCTTCCTCGCTGATGCTTCGTTGATCACACCAAGTTGATTTACCATCCCTCGTTACTACCTTCCTCCACCTCCTCTTCCTCCTGTTCTCCTCCTTGTCCTCATCCCCTCCTTGTCTTCTTCTTCCACCGTCTTCCTGGGTTAATCTCACCTCCTTTCAACTTTGCCTTCTCGTCCTTGATCCGCCTCTCACCTACTGTCCCTTCCCTGCCTTCCTCGAGCTCGTCAAGACGTCCATGAGGATGCTAGAGGAGGACGCGAACTGCTCTAGGACTCCTTCGGCGGAGAGGAGGTCGGTCGAGAGGAGGTGCAGCTTCACTCCGTCTGCGTACAACCACAGTGAGCGACAAGACTGAGAGGAGAAGCCATGGAGACGAGGGACACCAGCACCAGCGAGAACAGCAGCGCTAGGAGGGCTACGAGCAAAGCGAGCGGTACCAGGAGAAGCAACAAGAGCAGCAGGTAGAAAATGAGCAGGAGAAAGACTGGTGGGAAAATCACAGGTGGGAGGACAAGGACAAGGACAAGGACAAGGAGGAGCGGCGGCGGCGGCAGAAGCAGCAGGCTCACTTGCAAACTCTCCCACATCCCGGACTGCAAGAGCCTCATCCGCAGTGACGCCTCCTGTTGGCGACAGGTGAGGGCAGCAGGTACGGGCGCCTCCTCTCACCCATGACAAAGATGAACACGGCTTCGCATCCCTCCCCGATGTTCCTCCCGCTGCCCGACGAGCTCACGCTGGACAGGAAGGACGAGCCCAGCTGAAGAGCTCGTCCCAAGGAGGAGGAGCCCTTCCCTCCTCCTCCCCCTCCCCCTTGGGTTTCGTCTCCGCTGCTGTGGACGTACAAGGAGGAGAGTGTGTGTTTGCCCTCGGCGACTTTCCTCGTCACTGCAGCAGGAGATGAGAGGAGAGGAGAGGAGAGGAGAGGAGAGGGGGGCAGAGAGAGGCTCACGGGTCTCCAGGACGGGAAGGTAGGAGGAAGGAACTTCTTCTGTTCCTGCGCTCTCGGCCATCTCGACACAGCACCTCCTGCATGTTCGTCAGCCTGCACGCCAGGGACGCAGTGAGCTCACCAGTGCTTTCTTGCTACCCACACGAGCGTTTGGATCATCTTCCCTGCCTCCTCCTCGCAGTCTTGCTTCGTATGCGAGGACGGGGAAAGCGAAACTTGCTGGCGACCATCCGTCACTGAAGCTGTCTTCTTCCATCTTCCCCTCCTCCTTCTCTTCCTCCTTCCCGTCCTTCCTCTCCTCTCCCTCCCCTCACCTGCCAGAGAGCTTCTGCGATAGCCGACTGGAGGAGGAGGAGGGGCGGCGACTCGTGGACTTCTCCTAGGGCTTCGGACAGACTTCTCTGCCTGCGAGGGGAGCGTGACGGATACAGCAGCTGGTCTCCTCCGCATACCCGAGCAGCCCGAAGGAGAAAAGCAGGAGCTCAACGAGGTCACGGAAGGTGAGGCGATCCTTAGCATCATCGTCGTCGCTGTGGATCAAGACTGATCAGAGGGATCTGCAACCTCGGTTTCATCACAGCAGTTGGCACCTGCTCTCCCGCCGCGTGAAGGAGGTAAAGAGGTCGATGAGCTGCTGCACGACCTGCTCTTCCTCTCAGACACCTCGCAGTTCTCCCCCCTCCTCAACCTCTTCCGCAATCCCATCCGATGCCGCCAGCTCCATGAGTTTCGCTGCGTTTCTCTTCTGGACGAAGGTAGAGAGCTTCCCTTCCTCCCCCGCCCCCCCTGTCTCCTCGCACACGCGAGCGACGACTCGACACATCTGCATACGGTGTCACGTTGGGTCTGCGAAGGACAAGGAAGAGGCTTCGAACCTCAAGGAAGGAATGGTACTTGAGGAGGAAGGATGCTTTATCCTCCCTGCTCGCCGGTATGAGTTGCAACAGGGCATTGAGCCGATCGCTGCTTCTCCCATCCCCTGCCACCATTGGCAATTGTCATTGTCCTGGCTGCGATTGCGCAAGACAGGCACCTGTTGTCTTCAACAGATCGTCGTCAATATGGTGCTCTCTATCAACTCCATGTCAGAAAATAACTTGACCGGCACTGCAGATCATCACCGCAAGATTTCCTCTAGCCTGCCGACAAGGAAGTCAAGGCAATCGGGGATTTCTGTCTGCCATGCTGATCAGCTGCATGGTTGCCGTGGGTGAAAGACATGTGGTAATGGAGACAAGATCTGAAATCATCGCACACCTGAGAGAAAGACCTCAGAATCTGCTTCGACTGCGCGTCATTCATCGACAACAAGTCGTCAACACTCTTGGTGTCCCTCACTGGGCTGAAAGTTAGGACGGGGCACTGGCGTACATCTCCAGCATGACATACCACCATGACGATGCCACAAGATGTGGGACAGCGCCGATCTCTGAAGCAAAGGCGATGAGGCTGCAAGGAGATCCGACTCCCTGTCCAGGATGAGGAGCTGTGCTCGCTTGAAGAGAGCCTCCTCCTGCCACATCTCCTGCTTCGCCTTCTCCTTCACTCTTCCGGATACGGCCTTCATCGCAGAGGCCAGAGCGTTTGGCCGAGCGCCCATTGCAAATACGTCGTATCCTGCCTGGCAGAAAAACTCCAGAAAGCTCGAAACCTGAATGGCTAGCTGACTATACTCAAGGGACTTGGCGCTGCTGCAGAACGGGAGGTCGTCCGCCCCTCTGAAGAGGAAGAGTGGGATAGGTAGGATGTCAACAGTCTGGATGAACACAGGGAGAAGCTTGCTCTTGCTCTCCGGCTCCACGGTTTGAGGAGCACAGCAGTACAATGAAACTCTGAACCCCTCCTGCTCCAGAAGGTCGACCGCGGCATCCACAGCGTCTGTGCGGCATGAGACCAGAAGAGTGCATTCATTGCACTGATCCTTCTCACCCAGCTCTCTGAACCATCCTTCCCCGTGTAGCCGACTGACTTCGCTCAGGGCTATAGCTCCCAGTGCTCCCCTGTAGAGGACGTTACTGAGAAGAGCTGGGTCCGACCGGAACACGCTTGCTACATGGTCATCGAGCAGCACGAGCGACCTCTCAACCTTGACACGTCCGACGTTCACTGACTGCAGGCCCTTCACAACAGCCACTGCCGCCGACATGCCCGCCCGACCTCGTCTAGGCTGCTTCAAGCTCGCATTGCACAAGCAGGCAGGTCCGAGTTCTTTCCCCCCAATCAAGTCCTTGCTGTCCTTGCTATCTTCCTTCATGACCTGAGGTGGGCTCGGCTGACCCTCAGCAGGCTGGGCCCCCGGGCCGCCGCGCCGGGCGGCCGCGGCCCGGGCTCGGACTCCCGGAGTCCGACCACTCAGCCCAGCCTACTCTGACTGCCGGCAGGCCCGTGCCGCTCGGTCCTATCGATCGGATCCGCCCCCGGACCGTCGTCGGCGCCCGCGGGGTTTATGGATGCAGTTCCACTGAGAGTTGCCAGCCGCTGAGCCGGCCTGTAGGGGTCCGACCCTGACCCTAGTAGCGGCGCCCGATCTACCACCGGTCATACCGTAGGCTACCCCGCCCCGCGGCCTGCCGGGAACCCTTCGGTCCAATAGTAAAATGATGGGGTGGGGTACTCAGGAGCCGCACAATTGTGACCCACCCCTACCGTGACTAGTACCGAGGTCCATTGACCACCCTCCTCTTCTGAATAGAGTAGAGTCACAAAGGCACTAGCGCGGCCCACATCTCCCTACTAGCCCGCCGATGCGTAAGGTACGTACCCCACCCCACCCTATTGGGATACTCACCCTCACCCCTACACGGTACCGGTGTCATTTACTTTCTACCCACCCCTAGTACTGTCACTGATTCAAACCTGAAGTCACCCTACCCCTGGCTACTCGAATTTCAAAACTTCGGTTCCAGCCGCGGCCCATGCTGGATGTACGGTGCAGCATCACTGTGGATGCAGTGGCTGTATGATGATGAAGATCACGTGCATGAGCGTGCCGAAGAAGCGCATCTTCTGACGCGATAAAGAGACTTCGTATTATTCATCTAAATCTGACTTGATCTAGAGTACACAACCGTGTTTCACGTCATTAGATAAGGATGAGAAGAGTTTGATAGGCGTTCTTCTGTTTGTTCAATACGATAGAATAGGTGCAAGTGTCACATATACTGTCATAGTTTCATATAATTTCGTTCGAACTCCAAAATGACATCCAGAAATACTATCGTCAACAAAATACGTGCTGATCTTGTCTTTTTCCAGGTGAAGAATGCAGCAATATTATGTCAGGACTGTTCCTGCAGGGCAGCAAATGCAAGCTCCCATGATGATGCCCTCACCACAGAAAACCTACATATATCAGCAGCAAGCTCCTGAAATGAGGACATTTTCCCATCCCACCGGGATGAATATGAATCAGAATCAGATAAATCAGGTTCTGTATCGATCTTCCATGGATAACCAGGATCGGCAAAGCAATTTCATTCCCATGCAAGCTGGCAGTCGGATGCAACAGCCGAGCCGTTCTCCACAGTATCCGAGTTATGCTAGGATGCCAAACTCGCAGACTGTGAATCAATATTCTGTCCCCCAAGGTGGAATGATGCCTCAAGGAGGTATGGACGCAGTTTGTTTTGAAATGGATCTTTGCTTTGCCCAGAGTGTTGAGTCGTGATTGACTGCAGGATCCATGCCGATCAATCGGACGGTGGTGTCGAACTCACCCCGACAAGGCCCCAGGACTAGTCAGGTGTCTGAGATGCGAAAGCAAGGAGTGCTGTTCACTCACGCCACGTGTCCAGCAGGTTCCATACAATCAAATGAATCAGAGCCCTGCTGGCCCGAAACCGAATGCCCCACAGGGTCCCAGAGGCTTCCGCACCGTCCAGGTCCCGAATATGCTAAAGCCTCCGCAACAGCCAAACATGAATGTAAGTGATTGAAGGAATGGATGAGCATTTCCTACCCTTGACCTGGCTTAGGATGGAAACTATCAAGGAGTCATCAACTCCGGACAACAGATGCCCAATTCTTGGAGGTCTTTGAAATCAGCTGCGTGTTGTGGAATACTTCTGACGTGAGTTTCCAGACCTCAAGAAGCCAAAGACGCAGAGATTGCAAAACTACGATCAGAATTAGATCAAGCGCTTGGTCGGGAAAGGCAGCTTTTGTCTCTTGTTGAAGAACTGCGTGATCAATTGAACCAATTGAAATCTTCCCTTTCTTCAAGACCTAAGCCAGAGGCACCTCCAATGCAGGTCTGCTGTGTTATCATGGACTGAGAGTCATTTAATGCATTCATTACAGCAACCATTACCCAACGTAAAGGAAGAGCTTGTCTCACAAAGATCCACCAGCCCAGCCCCAATCTCGAAGGGGCAGTGTGGCAATTGCATCCATCAAGTGAGAACTTGCGTTGATGCGTGCATAAGATTCATTTCCTTACCACTGGCGAAGGTGTGGAGTGACGAGGAACGCGTGAAGAGTGAAGATGGTGTTTACTTCCACAAGCAATGCTATGAACGTGCGATGTCAGAAAAATCCAAAGCACCAACGAATCAGACAGAAGATTACAGCAAGAGCTCGATGTTGTCACCCAATCAACCATTTTCACTTGCAGGCCAAGTTCCCATGTACGATGAGACGTTGAAAAATACAGCACCTCATACAGTCAAAGTATGTCCTCAGCAATGATCATCATGACAAAGTAACGAAAGTTGTTCTTTAGTTGATCAAAAATTCGGACGGATTCAAGCCAATGGTCGTGGACAAGAAGCCAATGAATTCTGTTCCAACCATCCGAACATCACGAGGCAAGTGTGGAAGCTGCAAACTTGAGGTCAACATTTCTCCAGCATGATGATCACGTGATGAAAACTTACACTTTTACAGGTGTACAATGATGAGGAGAGATGCTCTCACGAAGGCGTGTACTATCATAAGACTTGTTTTGAAATCACCCATGGACAAGCAATAATTGAGGTTTTGTTTGATTCCTTTGTATCGTTCCTGTTTAACGATGGAAAAAGGAAAACTTCTCAAGCGACGCTGTCCAGATGTAAGGACAGAAATCAAGCCATTCACCATGCTGGCTCGATACATTTATTCTTCGAGGTCGAAAGAGGATATTGGTATTCATCAACTTCTGGATGTTATAAATCTACAAAAGGCATTCAAGAGCGATTGCCCTTGATATTGTCATCATCATTAGCTTTGATTGGAAGCTTCGATGTTGAATTGTCTCGAAGCAAACTCCTGAGATGCAATGGGACTGCCTCCAAACATTTATCAGAGCTGCCATTTGTTATCAGAATCGATCAGAGCATTCCAAGGAGTGAACTCACCTGGGCAAAAAGCCTCCATTCTCAATAAGATTTTCCAACATCATGCCAAGATTGTTTCTCTGCGAGACGATGAGAAGTGTCCAACATTCCAAATGTCATCCAAGAATACAGTACGTTATCATCAAAATCATCCAAGAATACAGTACGATATCATCAAAATCATCCAAGAATACAGTACGATATCATCAAAATCTTGATTTCTCTTTGTTGGCTTGATTCTCCTATCTATGCTCATGATCGCCTAGAGATGATAAGAACAAATAACGCGTTTGAAAGAGTTTTGTTTTGCACCTTGGCACAGTAGTGCAAGGGGTTTTGCGAGTAGACGTTCATAGCGTTTGGATCAGCTTTTCTTCGCAGTAGCTCCTCAACCTGCTCCATGCTCAGGTCTAGTTGCAAGGCAACCAAGCGCAACCACAGAGATGTTCCTCGACGTCACGGCAGCGTACAAGGGCGTCTCTCCCATGCTGTTCTTAGCTTCGATGCTGGCACGGAAGCGAAGGAGTAAGATGATCACATTGCGGTCAGCCTGAAGCAGCGTCAGTGGAGGAGAGGAACGTCCATTCCAAGCATTCCTTGGCTGCCGCATGATGCAATGCTGTGTTCCCCGAGCCATCGGGAGTATCGACTTTTGCCTGCACCTGCGACAGGGGGAATGACTCGCTCCTTCATCAACCGCCTGTGCCTTTCCTTGGTCTCATCAACTTGCCGCCCTTGAAGGAGAAGCTGAATGACCTCCACGCTTCCTCGCGATACTGCAGCATGCAGCGGGGTCCTGCCCTCCCCCTTGAGTTGTTGGGTCGCATCTTGCATCAAAGAACGCGCGTTGACGTCTGCCCTGTGCGCTATCAGGTACTCCACCGTCTCGACGCTTCCACTCTCGCACGCAAAGTGTAAAGGCGTGTAGCCTGCCGGTCAGAGCGAGTGAGGGCGGGGCAGGATCTTGCTCAAGAACTGACCAGTGTTGAGCTTTTGAATGTCGACGAGCGCCTTTTTCTCTATCAAAGCCTCGCAGGCTTCACGTTGCCCGTTGGAAGCAGCGTAATGCAGGGGAACCATGCCTGCAGCAAGTGAGCGGCAGCTATACCAACAGGTGGCCTTAGACCTGAATCATCGGAGGCGTTGACGTCCAGCTCCGGCATCACAGCCTTGGGCAGTCTGAGGGCCAGCAGCTCATGCACCTGCAGACGAGCTGGTGATGAGACGGACAGACGCTGGAGGTTGCCTGCGCTGATCCGTGGAGAGCAAGACGATGCAACATCCCTGCTCCAGGCGCTTCCACGAAATTCATGCTCGTCATTGCTGGCATACAGGATGTCACTCGTAAAGACGCAGCTGATCGCAGACCTTGCTTGCGGACAGTGTTGGATGCCATACGGCTTTCTTGCGGGAGAAAGACTCTCTCTTCCTCTCTGTCTTCATCCCGCTGTCTCGTTTCCCTGGTGGTCGAGCCGATGGTCTTGGCTGCGGTCTAATGCTTCACATGAGGAGCAGGAGGGAGCAGCGACTCACCCTGCCTGCTTGTGCTGGTCGTGCTCATCCTCCAACAGCTCCTGCTTGCCCGCGTTCGCGCAGCCTCTCCACCATGCGCGTCACTCCGACGTCAGGTCACTCATGGTGAAGGAAATGTGCGGGCCTACCACGCCGCCGAGAAAATGGCGAGGGGGAAGGCGGTGGAGCAGAGTGAACGAGAGCTTGAGGAAGAAGAGAGGAGGAGGGAAGTTGAGGGAGAGGCAGAGGAGGAGGTCAAGGTTGCTTTATTCGTAGACCATCAGGTGTAACAAGTCCTCACAGATGATTCCATGTAGCCTATCCAAGAATCAGAGCAGGAGAACAAGTCATCAACTCACTGTTGACTCCATTGTGACGTGCGACAGGCACAGCTGCCTTGTCTGGATCGAGTGTTGCAGGAAAGCTTGGAGAAGTCACATGAGGAACATGCAGTACTTCGGAGCTTCGCTGCAACTCTGCGATCTTTACCTTGACCTCCTCGTTTTTGATTCCGCTAGGTTCCCATCACGTTTGAGCAAACCTACCCTGTTGCAATCAACTCATACCTGCTTGTAACCACCTCGTCGAGAATCGTTGAGATCTTGAATAAACCAAGTATAAGAAGCTAACAAAAAGTGGAACTCAGATACCCTCTTGATGTCTTGTTTTCTCTGTTCTGCAACCTGACATTTCACAAGATCACTGTTTTCAAAAGCAAAAATCGTAGTGATTGTATGCTTACTGTCCTATTCAAAGCATCCAATTGTGCTCGAAAGGAATTCTCTTGCTGAAACAGCTGCTGCTCTCGGGATCTTACAGCTTCCCTTAAGGTCTCATTGCTCAGCTCCACACGTTTCAAACTCTCTCTAATCTTGAGCATTTCTGTATAAAATGTTTGAGAGTCTCATCAGCACAGCATGAACAGTACCAACCTTGTTCGAGCGCATCTCTGTGTTGACCCATGGCAGCCTGTCAAAACATGCATATGACTTCTTGTCATGTCGTTGTTGGTGATCGCAGGCTTCTTACCGGGCCCCTGGGCAAGTCGCTGTGAGAGGCTTCATGGACCTGCGGTTGTTCTTGCTGAGCTGGAAAGCGCGAAAAGGATCGGGAGAGTCCCGCAGCCTGCAAGCCTGAGGATGAGGAGAAACAGGAGGAGGAGGAGAAAGAGGAGGAAGAGGAGGAGAAAGAAGAAGAAAGTGTTGAACAAAGAGAAGAAGAGGAGGAAGAGGACGAGGAAGTGGACGAAGCTTGACCTCAACGACTGAAGGTTGTAAGTTGTGACGGATGGTGGCCGGAACTCGACTTGAGGAGCTGAAGATCGCCGGACAAACAGGCTCAGGGGGTGGGGTGGGGGGACAACGGGGGTGGCGATGGTGGTGATGGCAAGAGGGGGTGGGGGGGATGTGGGGAGGGAAGAAGAGGCTGTGAGCACCTCGAGCCGCTCGACGTCTGTTCTTGCTGCTCATGTTGATATCATCGACACATGAGCAAGACACTTGGCGATCAGTCGCACCGGCGAGATCTCGTCGAGCGCGATCGCTGAAGCATTGCCCGAGAGAAACCTTGAGTAGGTAGATTGAGAGGTTGGCCTGATCAACGAGGATGAGCAAGGGAGAGAGGGCGAGAGAGGGGAGGGAGAGGGAGGGAGGGAGAGGGAGGGAGGGAGGGAGGGAGGGAGGGAGGGAGGGAGGGAGGAGGGAGGGAGGGAGGGAGGGAGGGAGGGAGGTGCTCGTAACTTTCCAAGACGCAGGGGAGGTTGACCAGGAAGATGAATCGCTGGAAGGGGGGAGGCTCGAGACTCTGAAGTTCCACCGACCATCACATCAGCTCGTCAGGTTCAGATTGCGTCTTACCAGGAGAGTTGGTCGTTTTCTGGTCGTTGATGATGATGGTAGCAGATCCTTGTTGTCGTTCATTCTCCTCCTCCTCCTCCTCCTCCTCCTCCTCCTCCTCTCTTCCTCCTCCTCCTCCTCCCTCACCTTTGAAATACTTGTCTGGAAGTCTCAGGGCCTTCGATCATCACATCCTCGTCATTGTTTCTTCTGGCATCACAGTTTCTCCCACCTTGTCGGCTCGACGAATCGTGTCCTCGTAGCTCTCCATCCTCCCCTGTCAGCTATCAGTCTTCACTTGGCAACCTCATTTTGTGCATTACTTGAGTAGTTCGACGTCTTGTCGCTTCAAGCAGGTCTGCTTTTCCTAGCCTCCTCTTCCCTTCCAGCAGCTGCAGTTGAGACCTGCTAGCTACATTCAGTACACTGTGACTCATGGATTCGTCGTTTCAAGCTCCACATCAGACAAGTCGCTTCAAGCATGAAGACGCTGATGCTTGATAACAATAACTGATTGAAGCCCCGGCTGCTAAGCACCATAGCGGCTGCGTAAGAGTTTCGATCCGATCTCAGTTAGAAGTCTAAGAGTCTAAGGGCTGGTGGGATCCTGCTCCTGCTCCTGCTCCTGCTCCTGCTCCTGCTCCTGCTCCTGCTCCTGCTCCTGCTCCTGCTAGTCGGTAGGCCCTCACACACCTCGCCTGCTAGCTAGCTTGCCGGCATGTCGTCCGTTACTCTCATTACCAGCTGCCCGTTACAGCCTCTCCAATGACCCCACCATGACCTACCCACTTTCAGGTCAGCTTTCATCAGACTACCCTATCTTCTGACTTCAGAAAAGGCTATAGATCACCCCTTGTCCTCACTACCCCCCATGCTCGTTCTCCGTGTTTCCTCTTCATGGGCGCTCTTCTCATGAGGGTGCTACGAAGTACGAGCGTTCCGTCTCAACCGAGCATGCACGAGCATCAGAGGAGACGCTACGAAGAAGAGAGACGAAGAGAGATGTAGGATGAGAGAGGAGAGAGGAGAGCGGAGAGAAGAAAGACAGAGGAATAGGGGCCATGAAGGAACAAGAGCGAGGAAAACAAGGTGGAGAAGTGGTGAGCAAACCAACACACGTTTGATGAAACTCATTTAGATTTCCTATGAAGAGAGCAAAGACTTGCTGTGTCTGGCTGTGTCTGCCGTTTGAGACAGAGATTGATGCGAACCTTTGCATGCCAAAGAGCAAAGGTTCTCAAACAATGGACGATCTCTAGGAGATCTATGCAGCATGAGTTTTGAGGACTGCAAAGACCGTTAAGGTAGCGGAGACTGAAGCTCATAGTTAGAGACGCAGATATGTGAGGCCAGAGAGCTTGTTCGTAAATCGCCCGCAACGATAATGTCTTTATTTTCCATGCCGACGATCATGGCACTGCCTGCATCCTATAGATCGTGTAACATTTCCTGCAGGTTTGATGGTTAGCGTCAACGGATTCTGAGACCATGATTCTCATTGCCGGGACCACAGGGGTTTTGACCCTCTGGGATGAAGAGACTCGAGTTCAAGTGGGTGAGAGTTGGGCTGGGCATCGCGGGAACATCAACTGCTTCAAGTTTTCCCCAGACTGCCAGCAAGTTGCATCTGGTGGTGAGGACAAGTCGTTGAGGGTCTGGGATGTCAAAGAGGGAACTGAATTGGCTTCGCACAAGCCTGGCAAGGCAGCGCCCATCCATGCTCTCAGCTACAGCCCGTGCGGGAAGAACATTTTTGTTGCGAGAGACGACCGCACTGTCAGCGTTCACTGCTCGTCAACATGCAAGCAGCTAGGCATGCCATGGCTCGGGCACACTGGCCCCGTTTACACTGTAGCATGCAGCCCGTTCGGTGACATCGTGGTGTCCGGAGGATCTGACTTCAGGTGAAGCAAGTTGAGGTTCTTCAGTTGGATGTCTTGCTTGACCTTGTCGATGTTGTTTTGGCAGCCTCAGGATCTGGGACGCTGAGAGTGGTAAGACTCGAGGAGCTTGGGAGGGCCACACGGGTGCCATTCGCATCGCTGAATTCAGCCCGAGTGGGAACATCATCGCGACGGGAGGTTATGACCGCATGATACGCTTGTGGGACGTTCGGTCAGCAAAACAGATAGAAAATATCTGGGCCCCGATGAAAGGGCACACGGCAGCAGTGAGGACACTCGCGTTCAGCCCTTGCGGGACGAAGCTGTCGAGTGGAGGGGCTGATACGACAGTGCGTGTGTGGGAGCTGGGCTCAGGAAAGCAGATCGGAGGAGGTTCCTGGAGGGCGCATGCATACTCTGTGTACGGAGTCTGTTTTGACAAGACCGGCAAGTTTTTGGCGGTGCGGTGCGCATGGATTTCTATCTGAGCTGCACTCTGACCCGGTCTGATCTGTTTTCTCGTGAATGGCAGAGTGCCAGCTACGACAAGACTGTCAAGATTTGGGATCTTTCTACTGCTCGACTTGTTGGTGATCCCATCGTTCCCGGCTTTCAGGTCTCCTGCGTCAGTTTTGTGCCGACGCAGGGAGAGAGCAATGCGATGGGCCAGAGGGGCCGAGCAGCTGGGGCCCAGGGCTCAATTTTTGAGTCGTCGGAGCTGATGACAGAGGGCAATGAGACGGTGGGTGATGCTTTGAACAAAACACGTGAAGCTGATGCTGCTTGTAGAGTGATTCCGGTCCTTCCAACGTGAGGACCGCTGAAGACATCAGGCTGTCGCAGGCATACCTGCACTGGAGGATCCTTGCTGACTTCTTGATTGGCCCGCAGCAGGTTGACTTGTGAAGTGTGCCTGCGGCATGGCTGACTTGAATTCGTTCCCTGCTGCTCCCCTGTGTGCAACAGAAGACCAGGGGAGGAGGAGGGCGAAGCAGACGAGCAGCGGAAGCCTTGACTTTCCTAGATGGAGATGGCGGACCGGGCTACTGGGAAAGAGACCAGCGCGGAAATCGAGTGTGGGTATCGTACGGGAGAGGCAAAACCAACGACCAAGCCCAGGGAGGGGACGAGAACATGCAGGGTGACAATGGACAGGCACTAGACTCCGCGCCTCGCGATCAGGAAGTGCCTGCTGCTGGTTCTTCGCGGCAAGTGAGAGGCAACGAGAAGAGTTTTGAGGTCGGACAGAAGGTGATGTGCTCACAGCCGAAATCATGGTCGGAGATGACTGAGTGGTTCTCCTGCTCGCAGGTTCTTGCATTGTACAAGAATGGCGATTGGTATGAAGCTGAGGTACAGCAAATCTTTGATGGCAAGATCATCCTCAGGTTTCGACTCTCTTTGTTTCCGCCTGCACCAACTTACCCTGGTCGACTTGTTCTTCATCTTCCGTTGTCGCAGCTGGGATGATGGAGATACTTCTGACACGGTCAAGAACCCTGAACATGTGCGTCCCCGTGAGGGAAAAGAGCGCACGAAGCAAACGCGGGCAAGAGCGGTCGAGGAGCAGGAGCAGGAGGCGGACATGGAAGCGACGCGCGTTACGAGGAGGAGGTCGAAACTCAAGGCTCACACGTCGACCAAGGAGGGTGGAGGAGAAGCATCGGACAAGCAGGTCGAGGCCGACATGTCTCCATTTGCGATAGGGATGAAGGTGGCCAGAGAGGAGGAGGATGTGATGGGGGTTTGTTGACAGTGCGGGCAGGTGATGGGGCTGTACAAGAACGGCGACTGGTACGAAGCAGAGATCAAGGGGAAAGTAGGAGAAAAGTTCGAGCTGATGTGCTGCTAGTGATCCTCCTCTGCTCCCGATGCTCACCAGACGTGCAGATGGGCGGACGGCGACAAGTCAGACACTCTCAAGCTGTCGAGAGAGATCCGAGTGCCCAACGAGGAAGATCTGAAGGAGATAGAGGAGAACAGACTGCGAGGGAAGAAGAGGGAGCGGAACCAGGCAGGGTTCAAGAGCCGGAAGGAAACAAGGAGCATGCAGAGGGGGGACAAGAAGAAGAAGCACGAGGACGAGGACGAGGACGAGGACGAGGACGAGGACGAGGACGAGGACGAGGACGAGGACGGGGACGAGGGCGAAGAGGAGGACGAGGACGAGGACGAGGACGAGGACGAGGACGAGGACGAGGAGAAGGGGAGGAAGGAGAAAGAGAGGAAGGAGAAAGAGAGGAAGGAGAAAGAGAGGAAGGAGAAAGAGAGGAAGGAGAAAGAGAGGAAGGAGGAGAAGGAGAGGCAGGAGAAGGAGAGGCAGGAGGAGAAGGAGAAGGAGAAGGAGAGGAAGGAGAAGGAGGAGAGCGAAGAGCAGAGCAAGGGAAGGAAGAGCGAGGAGGAGGAAGAGGAGGAAGAGGAGCGTCAAGTGAGGGAGCCTGAGAAGGAGAGCCAAAAGGAGGAGGACAACGACATTACAGGAGTTGCGGCCAAGAGAATGAAGCTTGCCAGAGAGAAGCCAAGGGCGGAGCGAGTTGTGAATTTACCCGAGGAGCAGGCAGCGAAGGAGAAGGGCAGCGAAGGAGAGAAGACGACAAGCTTGCCGCGAACTGCTCAGATCCCCAGGAAGAAGAGGAAAGCGCCCATCATCACCAAGCCCAAGTAGTGGAAGAGTAGAAGAGGAGGGGACAGCAGCCCGCGGGTTCTCTTCTTTATAATCTGACATACGACAAGTTTAAGCTGTGACCGCTTCCTCCTCGTTCTTGCTTGGCTCGACCCATCGGCCGTTCTCCTTGATGAGCTCGATGAGCTCGTCGCAGGCCTTCTCGGAGGGGATGGCCTTCCTCACCAGCTCCTTCCCCACATACAAGTCGATCTTCCCCGGGGCTCCGCCCACGTAGCCGAAGTCAGCGTCCGCCATCTCTCCAGGCCCGTTGACGATGCAGCCCATGACGGCGATGGTGACGCCTGGCAGGTGCCCGGTGGCCTTGGAGATCTGGTCCGTCACAGTCTGGAGGTCGAAGAGGGTGCGGCCGCAGGAGGGGCAAGAGACGTACTCGGTCTTGGTGTTGCGCATGCGGCAGCCCTGCAGGAGGCCGAAGGAGCTCAGGCGGAGGAAGTCGAGGGGGAGTGGGGCCTGCATGAGCACGCCATCTCCGTTGCCATCGACGAGGGAGCAGCCGACCTCGGAGCCAGTGAGGAGGACGACGTAGTCGCGGGACTTGTCGGCACCGAAGACGATGTGGTGGATGACGGGAGTGTCGATGCTGTTCTCCTTGAGGAAGTTGAAGACTCTCCTCGACGCGTGGACCCTGCTCACCTCGTCCGGCACTCGCAGCAGCAGCATCACCGCCTCCGAGCTCTTGAGCTTCGCCAGCTCCTCGTCCGACTCGTCGCCCCTCACTGTGAGCGCGTAGCGGATCGCTCCGTCAGGAAGCTTCGCGCCCTTGCTGGGCATCTGCTTGAGGTCGTAGACGGCGATGGCGTTGGGGATAGGCCTTGCCTGAAGCTCCTGGGCCGGGCACAGCACGCCAACTCCCACCTCCTGCAGGCGGCGAAGAGCCGTGCGCTCCTTGCTGGCGTCCATGGCGGGGCTCTGCTGGAGAAGGATGGAGTCGCTGGTGGCGAGGTCCTTGAAGGGCATGCCGACGGCAGTCTTGCAGCCCAAGTTGTAGTAGAGCTTGTCCGGGCTCGCGAGATCCTCCAGCGAGACAGCAGAGATAACGCTCCCGTCCCTTCACAAGTTTCAAGAGGGAGAGGAGAGGGAGAGAGAGCAAGGAGGCGGGGAAGAGGAGAGAGCAGCGAGAAGGAGGAGGAGCAAGGGGAGGGTAGGCTGTTTTACCTGTGGAGGACGTTGCGGATGTCGATGGGGTCACTTTCGTGCTGGAGGGGGAGCTGACCCTGACGCTGCGAGAATGACATGAAGTTCCTGTTATGAGAATGAGAGGATGTGATTGGAACGAAACGCGAGGAGGACACGGGGGAGAGGAGGAGAAGGAGGTGAAGAGAAGGCGGAGGGGAAGAAAAGGAGGAGTTGGTGGCGGTAGACCTTGTCGTCTCCTTCCAGGTGGGGACAGGGGTCCAGATCTTGTCCTTCTGGTTCATGGCGATGTCTCGCAGCTTCGTGCAGGGCTCAAGCTCGAACCTGTAAAACTTCTCAGCTGCTGAAGCAGGAGGAGCGAAAGCAGGTGTAGGAAAGAGAAAATGAGGCGAGGAAGGAAGAAGGGGAGGTTGAGTGAGCAAGCGGGAGCTACCATGGATCCTCGGTCAGAGAGACACGGATCGTGTCGCCAAGTCCATCCTGCAGCAGAGACCCGATGCCGATGGCGGACTGGCTGCAAATTGAGCGGCTCCTCTCGAGCTATTGCTCTTCCTCCTCACCTTCATCCTGCCGTCCTCGCCCTCTCCCGCTTCCGTCACACCCAAGTGCATGGGGTAGTCCCACCCCTGCCAGTCTCCTCACACGCAGCCACCAGGAGCCAACCAGACTCACGAGGTCGTACATCTCAGCTGCTAGGAGGCGGTAGGCTTGAACCATAACCTTGGGGTTCGAAGCCTGTCGGGGTGATCAGCTGATACTCCTCCTCCCCTTCACTTCTCCACTTCCTCTCCTCCCTCGCTCATCGAGTCTATCCTGCTGCTAGACGTCTTTGGTCACCTTCATAGAGAAGAGGAAGTTGTGATAGTCGTGCTTCCTGCAGATGCGCGCAAACTCGAATGCAGACTCAACCTGAAGCAGGGACGTGAGCCATCCAAACGCCTTCCCTCCTCCTCCTCTCCTCCTCTGCCTCCTCCTCCTCTTGTTTTTCCTCGTGTCTCACCATCCCAGCGGGAGTGTCGCCATAGTAGCTCAGGGTACGAGCAGAGAGGGATCCATGGTTTGTTCCGATTCTCATTGCGCGCCTGTTCCAACCACAGCATTACATTACCTTCTCCTCCTCCTCCTCCTCTTCCTCATCGTACCCGAGCTCCTTGCACTTGAGCACGAGGGGAGTGAAGACTTCCTCGATGTAATCCAGCTCAGCCTGTTCTCGCATCAGCATCGCAGCAGCAGGAAACAGAAACGAGGGGGGGAAAGGTGAAAATCCGTGATCAAGACGGAGAGGAAACAGAAAGGCAAGGGAGAAGCCGGGGAGAGGTGGGAGCTAGAGTAGACCTTGTAGTCCTCAGGGTTTTCGTAAGTGATCTCCTCAAAGCTCTGAGAGGGAAGGAAAGATGTTAAACTCTACAACAGTTGGTCCTACCGCCGCCATCTCCTCTTCGTCCTTCACCTCCCTCTTCCTCTGTCACCCCCTCCTCTACGTACCTTCCTGCCATCCGCAAAGTTTCCTGGATTGATGCGAATCTTGTCAAACGCATCTGCAACCTTGAGGAAGAAGTAAGCTCAAGGAACAAAGACAACTGCAAAGACAGCACGCCCTCTATCTTCTCACCTGCAGCGCAATCTTGGGAGCAAAGTGAATGTCCGCCACCAAAGGGGTTGTGTATCCTGCAAACAGCACGTCGGTGAGCCTTACAAGTCTCCAAGTTGCTTTCGTGCACCTTTCTTCAACAATCCCTCCTTGATCTTGCTGCATGCATCTGGTGAAACAGGCCCTCAGTCCTGCCCTCCTCCCCCTCCCCCTCCTCCGTGTCTTCGTCTGCTCGTCCAAGTCTCCCTTAGCCACCTCATGAGTTGTGCGTACCGGCTTCACGTTGCCCTTGCACGGTCAAGCGGACAAGTTGGGCTCCTGCAAACCCATTGAGAAGACAATGAAAAGAAAATCTCGTGGAACGAAGAGCGTCAGGAGGAGGATGAGAATCAGCAGCAAGAGAACGACCATGATTAGGGGGAGGAATGAGAATCAGGATGGGTAGAAGGAGGAGGAGGAGGAGAAGGAGAAAGGGTAGGAGGAAGAGAAAGAAGAGGATGAAGATCAGGAGGAGGAGGATCAGAGCAGAGAAGGCGGTCACCTGCGTCAGCGCATCGCATGACCTGGTCGATACTTCCCTGGGGTCAAGGTCAGAGAGCCCGCAGCTCTTCTCTTCCCGCACCCACCTGAATGTCAGTCGTCATCGCCGTCGTCATCGTCTGCAGGGCGATCGGATGTTCACTGCCGATGGGGACCTATAGAGCCCAACGGCACCAGTCACGCATGCTCAAGACGAAGGCGAGGCGCGTACGTCTCCGCACTGGACGGTTCTTGTCTTGCGCCTGGTGGTCTTGTACACAGAGTCGCAGTAGCTCAGCAGCTCCTTCGTCTTCTGCATCCTCTGCGGGCGGCAAACGTTTCAGCGACTGTAGCCACCAAGGCAGCTCTCTCCACCTCCTCCATGGCATTGGAAGACATGGTCAGGGAGCATTTCTTCTGAGCCCTGCTGCCTCCCACCGAGAATCTGCAGCAAGCATGAATACATCTGCGAAGCCTTGCTGCCAACCAGCATGTTGCACTACTGACCTATTCGTGCAGGGATTCAACGACGGGGAGAATCCGAATGCCATGGCGGGCTGCATGGTGTCAGGGCGATCAAGAGAGCAGGGGATGCAACGACATTGCAATTGAGCACCTGCAAGTAAGCTGCAGCAATGACAAGCAAGCAAACTGTCGATGTGGATGACATCGGGAGCCTGGCAAGCAGATCATCAAAACCGGCACATCCTGTTTGCGCTCTATGAGGATATTATGCGAGCGTAACGAGAAAGTGTGATGACTGGACGGCATGGGCAGGGTGGGCGTGCAACAAGGACAGCATGTTGCATCAGAGCGGCGCCATCTCCCCCCTCCCCTCCCGCCATCTTCCGCCTCTTACCTCCTGCCGCGTCTTGTGGAGGCCATGAGGAGGCCGAGACGCGTCAGTGGGAAAGACGGGCCAACCCCTACATCTGTAGAAAACCGCTTACAGAATCCGTTACGCCGGCCCGGGTACTTGAAATGATACCCGGCCGTCAAGTTAAGTTACGCTGCAAGCCTGAGTGGACTGAGTGAGTCACTCAGTACCGGGCCGGGTGTGACCGTCTGAGTCACCGGCACTCGGCGGACACGGTGACTCGGAGAGTCACGCGGCGCGGCCTGGTGGGGGCCGCGGCAAGCCGCTCGGAGTCGAAGGGCCCCTCAGTCACCGTGTAAAGTAACTTCGGGGCCTGAACTTCAGTTGCCGGCGCCCGGCGGTTGCCGCACTGCACTCAGCCTGGCTGGCGCGGCGGCCCGTGGGACGGCCCGCCCGGGCCAGCCGCGCGGGCCGGCACCGAAGCCCGCCCCTCAGACCCGGCGCCAGTGGCAGCCCGGCGCGCGAGAAACTTAGTTGGTGACTCCGGCGGCGCGGCTACCGGGTCCCTCACTGAGTCCTGCTAAGCTGCCGACCCGCCCGGTGCCGCGGTGCCAGGACTCAGGGCCCCGTCTCCCAAACTTAACTTCAAGTCAGTACTAGAAGTACTGTGACTCTCATGGCATGATCATAGTACTCGGATATTCACTTACTTCGCGCACTGGCAGGCCGTGACAATGATTCCCCGGCCGCCCGGCGCGCGGCCGCCATGCCCCGGCGGCGGACAGTCCGACCGGCGGATCAGCAGTGTACCGTGACCGGCGCGAGTGACGTACGGTCCGAGTCACACCGAGCGGAGTCACACAACACGGTATGCCACTCCGGCGGCGTCAGTAACTGACCATGATGGCTAGTACGGCCATCCTACGAGGGTATTCCCTCGGTCGATTCAGTGGACCAGATAAGAACAGGTTCCTCCCAAGCACACAGGGGAGCATGGAACGACTTCGGTGTGTTTCTACGAGAGCACTGCTGGGTGCAATCCGCCGCTGAGTGCGGAAAGGCGATAGGAGCACAGTGTTGTTACATCGCATGTGTTCTGACTCAAATGTTCATTAATGCACATTCACAGAATATCAAGGATCATCAGCTATTGAGGCCATCTGAACAGTGGTATCCAATGATATTTGCAGACAATTAATAAATGTGTTTTCGGTTCCGGTCATTTATCAATAATTACAAAAGGTTTTCGAGAAAAAATTAACATCAGAAAAGAATCGGTTTACTTCTTGGATGATGCAGAGACCTGGGTGGGGCCCTTGGACATGAGGCCAAGAGTCTCAGCCTTGATCTGCTCAGCGAAGCCAGTGTCGGGCTCGAGCTACACAAGCAAATCAGCGCACGTCCTCAGGACAGAACCAAGCATCCCACCTTTCTCAAGACGACCTTGACAGCCATCTCGTCGTTGTTGTCACCAGCAGGGGATCCCTCGTACTCTCCAGCACCACGTGGGCATCCGCGAGCATCAAAAATGGTGATGATGGGGGTGTAGCTATCGGCGGGCATCTTGGCGGCAGCGGAGGCCTGCTGAACGCCTCCGAGGAAGGGAGCGACGGCACCGGCCAAGGCAGCGCCCTGCACAACCTGTCTCCTATCCATGGACATGGACATGGTAGTTCCAGTGCGGAGGGCAGGCTGAAGAGAAAGTGAGATTGGCTCAATGGCTTCCAGCCAACATGTGCACTGCACAGCAACATAGCAGCATGCATGATGCAATGAAGATGTCTGAAGATTCGAAATACACAATGGCATGGTCTGCTACAACATATCCACTATGATCACCTGGAACGCCGGAGCAAAGGCAGCGGCGGAGGCAACCATGGCAAGAGGAAGAGCAGCGCGGAGCATGACGGTGGTGAAGAGTGAATGACGGTGGTGAAGGTAAATAGAAACAGAGGGAGCGGGAGGTAGGGTCATAAAAATGAAAGATCATGGATAGGGTCCCTACCCCTACCAGATGTCAGTGGGTAGATCGATTCCTTTCCTAGGAAGATGGTGGGCACCCCATCTGGTCGATTCGGCAATATCACAAGAATTTGGCGTCAGGTAGGATGTATATGCAGTTTATTTAGAGGCTCAATTAGAAATCGTGAGAGCCAAGTATACTGGGTGGGAGGAGGTTATGCAGCACCGTTAGGGGTTACATCTCTCTCACACTCGGGTGGGTAGTCGACTGGAGAAGAGTCATTTTTCGAGTCCTGGGGTAGGTTCTGCTATCGTACGGGTATGATGGTCTACTTTTGTCATAATGGGGTGGTATTGAATTTGGTGGGGTAGGGGAGTAGATAAGGACTCTGCAGAGGGGTCAAATATGTGGTCGAATATGTGGTTTATGGATTTTGAAAGGGGTTATGAAGGAGTAGGGTGGGTGAATGTACCTCCATGGATTGAAGGAGCGATCTTACAGGGGTAGTTCGAAATTTTTCAAGGGGTAGGGGTGGGTTCCGCAGGGGTTGGGCAGACGACCGGTCCGTTTACGCGTCACAAATGTGATAACGGAATAACTTGTTATTTATAATAAATTTAGTTTTTGTGTTGTACCCCCAACTCATCTGTAATCATTCTTGTACCATCAAAGATCCCAAGGACCGGTTATCACCCCGTCCCCCATTGGAGGGGTTTAATAATTTTTTTTTAAATAATTAATAGAGCTCAATCAGGATCGGGGGCCGAATGCTTAATATTCAATAATAGTGTAACTAGCAGATATAATTGTTATTTTCATAGAAATTCCGTGAGTAAGTTTGTTGTTAATGAATATATCGCCTATTCTTCCACCGAGGGCTATCAGAAACATGTCAGATCGACCGAATCGAGTCGTTTACTCAAAGTTAAGTTAAAAATCAGTCCACCGGACGGGCGTCCCGGGGGGGCCGGGCCGCCGGGCGGCACCGGGCTACCTTAACTCTCACTGTCACTGAGTCCCCGTGGTCAGTGACTCGACTCGACTCGCCGCTGGATCGCTCAGACTCTCCGGGGCCCGAGGCGGCCGGCTGCTAGCACGGTAAGCAGAGAGTCTCGCCCACTCCAGGTTCAAGAGTCTAGGCTTGGCCACGCCGGGGGCAGCGGCGGCTCCGATCCGAGCGTCGGACCGCCCGGCCGGCACTCCGGCGAAGGCTCTGAATGCCGCGCGGCCAGTCCGGCCGGCGCCCGCCGGGCCCGGCGGTCGCCACTGAACTTGGCAGTGGCGAGTCAAGCGGCCGCCAGTCCGATCTTTCCTTTACTCAAAGCCTGGTAAGTTAGTGTCCTCAGTGGCAAGCGTCAATTTTGAGTAAAAGTTTCCAGGTTTAAAACGGGAGAGTTCTTGCTGACCTGTTGTAATAAAGTGACATGTGTACCAACTCTAATAGAAGTTTCGATCAAACCTGAAATATTTGGATCTATATTGAAAGAATGAGAAAACAAATCTCCAAAACATTTTGCGACTTCCTCGAATGTTCTCAGAGTTTTAATTGTCATCTTTTTAAATTTTGGTTTTGGAGATTTTCAAGTGTTGTGGATACAGCGTTCATTTGTGTACCTGATACCCTACGAAAATCCAGGAAAAGTTGGGATTAAAGAGGGGTGGTGATGATTCAAAAATTGATTTTCAGTTTCGTTCTAATCAATTTTAGGGAAATCTCGGGATCATTTCGACCACCTAGGTGGGGTAGTGTAATCCCCACCAAAGTCCCCACGGTAGGGTTCAGGGGTCAGGTTGACCTGGAGAGTGTGGTCTTGTGGGGGTAGGTCATGGGAGGTTTGGAGGGGTTTCCTTGTAAAATCGAGTGACAGGCGAATTCAAACAAGGGGTGGGTGGATAGACAAGTAGCAGTAGTAGTGGGGGTTTTGGGGGTAGTGGTAGTGGGGTTGCTTTACAACAGTACGTGAAACAAAATCCTCATATCGCACTTTTAGCAGAAGGGCGGGGGTGGGGTCCTGAGAACCTTTGGTGGATGGGTGGGGTCAGCCGGGGGGGTCGTTGTAAAAATCTTGGGGTTCCCAACCACCCCCAACTTCGTCCTGATATGGTACCCCTTAACTGTTTCTTCAGGCTTCTTGGGCAAACCACCGGTAGTTCTCATGATGGGGGTGGGCCATGGTGGAAAGTACAATCAGGTAAGCCGGAGAAAGTGTTGAGGGAGGAGGGAGGAAGGGAGGGGAAGAGAGGGTTGAGCAAGGAAATGAAGTTCCGATGATTGATCAGAAACTTGTGATTCCATCTCAAACGGCGAGTTTCCTTGAAATGAGCCAGATCAATCAAACTCTGGTCATTCCCCGGATTGGGCAAGAAGGCTTTGTGAATGCATGTGCTTGTTTGTGTTGATTTTTTCACGTCAAACTTAGATGAGCATACGATGAAGTAACATGCGTTTTGACAGGGACGTCAAGATGACGATGGCACGATACCACCCGTACTCAGATAGTCCCACTTCGAGATCGGAAAAATCAAGAATGGAAAAGGCAGAACAACGAAAACGAACTCGGCTTTTGATCGAAGCACTTGATCCCCTTGTGCCTGTATTCTCTAGAACCTGTACGGCAGAAAAGGGAAGCTTGAGATCGAAACGAACTCTTTTACAACTGCAGGAGGATACTGTTTTCTTTCTCAAGAGAATTACACGCAAGAAAGCCACCAGGCATGATTATGTAGATTGCGATGTCATGCGCGAAGGCATGTTGTCGAGTAGCTTCATTATATTAGTTGAGTTGGATGTGACAACGGGTGAAATCATACAATGCAGCAATGGGCTTAGCAGGTGGTATCAGCTTCACCCATCAGAAATCATCGGGCAAAACTTTGCTCATTTCCTCGACACCAATGATGTACATAGGTTCAAGAATTTCTTGCGACTCTCTGCAAGCAAAACGACAGCAAAAGGAATCAGAGTCAAGCTTCTGACGTTTGGATCCAAGTGCTACGAGCAGCTCGAATGCACAGTTAAGGCTGTGCAAGACCCTGTCAATGGGCGGTCTGTGTTCCTGCTGAGTTTCGATGAAGAGGCACCCAAGAATCCCGACTGCTTCCCTCTTTGGAGTCCTTGCCTTCTGCGCGGGATGTCGGGGATCTTCAGGTTTGACGAGTCACAGTCGTCAGGTCCTCCTACGGATGTTGACGGACAGATGCGGAAGTTGAGCAGGAAGGGGAATGCGGAGCTGGGTTGGTGTCAGATTGGTGTGAGCTCCCTCCTCAAGACTGAGTCTGCTCGGGCAATGCTAGACAGACTGGGAGGAGAGAACAGGCAAGCGAGCTCGATCAGCTCGGCGTTCATGCGGCTGGTGATGAAAATGGTGGAGATGCACCTTACTTTCGACTTCAACTCCCACGACGTTCCCTTCGTCGCCATGCACGCGCGTCTGAAGCTCCCGAGAGTGCTGGGATCGTTGCGAACTCCATGGTATTCCCCTTCCCCTCCTCACCTCTTTTTCCTCGCCTCCTCTCTGCTGTCATCTTTTACTGCGCTCATGCTCGCTGCTGCCAACCCCTCGTGCCTTCTCTCTTCTCTCACAGTCTGACCTTGTCATTGAAGGGTCGAGGTTCTACACACAAGCCTTGATGGAGCTCCCGTGGAAGGGTTTCTCACGTTAGCTGGGACCCAGCTGCGCTTCTTTGCGCATAGGAATTCTGCTCCTGGCTCGCTGCATGTCACAGGTGCAGACGTTTTCCCCTGCTGCGTGCGGTGGGGAGAGGTTGAGAGGTGACATTGTCGTTGTCGCAGGAGCGCACTATCGGCAGGAAGAAGGCGTCTGGAAGTGCTATCACACGCGAACATGGATCATCACCCCTAACAAGTCACGGATCTACGGGCAGATCTTCCGTGACCTCGATGACAAGCCTTATCAGTTCGAGCAGGTCTGCAGAACCCCCTCCTCCTCCTCGTCTCCTCCTCCTGCCCCGCCCGGTCCTTTCGGTCCCGAAACAGGGTGCACAGTGTCTCACCCTCTTCTCACGTGGCTGCCTGCCCCTCCCCCTCTCCTGCTGTACCAGTTGTCGCTCCTCCTCTCCTCACGTTCACTCGCAGACCTTCGTTCGGGTGGAGGACCCCGATCGCTCTCTGATGTGTAAGTATGTGGTATAGCAGGTAGACGTGTAAATATTCCTCAAACCGTGTGGTCTTGCTGTAGCCCATCCATCCTTCCTCTCGTCTTTATTCCCTTCATGTCCCCGAGTTGTTCTGCTCGCCCTCCTGCTCCTTCATCTTTGAATCGGAGGTCACCCCTCCAAGCTTCTTGCTCCGAAAGATCGTGTAGATGCTCGTGTACTCGTGCAGACTTGCCTGCCCTCCTGCGGGCCCGAACTCACCTGCGGTTGTTCCGTCATCCCCACTCATCTCCGCCCGCCAAACCCCTCCCGCCCACTCTCCCCCGTTCTCCTCCCCACTCTCTCTACCCTCACCATTGTAGAAGCATCCAACCACAGGGACGCCCGTTGCCATGCTTGCCATCCTGGACTCGTAGTTGGGCTCACCGAACAGCGGCCTCCCCCTGCTCCTCATCACTTTGGTGTTCCACCTCAAATCTCCTTCCTCACCGCCCGATGCAAGCAAAGAGGACGAGGCCGGCTGCTGGGGTTGACGAGCTCCCAGTCAGAAGCTCTGTGAGCCTGTACCCCGTAAGAGACATCCTCTACCTCCTCGTCCTCCTTCCCCTTCAACTTTGCCTCTCTTCCCCTCCCTTCCTAATCCTTGCACGCTCCTCCGTCTGTTCCATTCAGCGCCACCATCACCTCTGGCGCTTGTAGGATGACATGAGCGCTTCCACCTCTGCCATCGCAGCTGATCTGTCGGGCACGTGGAGCCTGCGAGACAGTGAGCGCTGGCACAGACCCGACCGCTGCATCCTTGCCTGATCCTCTGACCCGGTCGCAAGACGTCGCCCACGAGCATGGACTTGTCGTTGGCACTGACTAGGATGATCTGTGAGAGCGAATGAGGGGAGGGTGCATGGCGAGGCAAGAAGCAGCACGGGTCTGAGCAGATAGTCCTTTCTTGGGTCCTCCTGCGAGCTCTGGGCCTAGGAAGAGAAGAATGTGAGGAGAAGAACAGGGGGTTCACAGTGCGAGCAGGGAGCAGGGGGGGAGGAGATGATGAATGATGATAGAGGCGAAGGGAGAATGTTAGAAGACGGAGAGGGAAGGGGGGTGTTGGGGGGGGGGGGAAGGAGGAGCAATACCGTTTTAGGCTGCTGCAAGTCACTGAGATTCATCGAGTTGCTCTCGACTCCAACGAACAAGGCTAACAGAGAAAGTCTGATTTCCTCTCCCTTCCCACTCCTCCTCCTCACTTCCTCCTCAACCTCCCCTCCTCCGACTCCCCTTCCGTCCATTCTCCTTCCACTTCCCCCAACCCTCCCTTCCACCACCACCACCACATCCCTCCCTCCCCTTTTCTCACCTCTCTGCGCAAGCTCGAGCTCTGCTGGGGATAGACCCTGCATCCCTGACGTCAGCCTGAGAGACCGGGGGGTGGGGGGAGGGTGACGGCAGACCTCAATCACCTTTGACAAGGCAGCCAGACATGTCACCTACCATCGGCTCGTGAGAGGATGAGCTGGAAGAGGTTGGAAGGTAGTGGAGGAAGGGCGAGAAGAGTAGATGAGTGAAGGAGAAGGGAAAGATCGATGAAGGACAGTTTTAGCCTTTGAGGAGAGAGGGAGGAGGAGGAGAGGGAGAGGGGAGGAGTGGGGAGGAGAGGGGAGGAGAGGGGAGGAGAGAAGAGTTGAGGAGTAGAATGTTACAGGCGCTTCCTTTTTCAGCGGGTCGAAAACCTCGAACACCTTATTGCCCTTCGTTCGGCTGACTTCCCACTCTGGCCCTGCGTAGGAAGCCCACATGGTCACTACAAACATGATGATGGGGAAAGAAAAGCGTTTGGGGTGATTCGAAGACTAGAGTGAGGAGTGAGGAGAAGGCGCCGGAGGGAGGAGTGAGGAGGGAGGAGGGAGGAGGGAGGATGGGGGATGGAGGAGGGAGGAGAGACGAGGAAGGAGGGAGATCATCAGGGCATGCGGAGTCTACACACCAATGGGGCGACACCCTTGAGCCACGAGGGCCTCAGCCTCAATGTCGCCACTGAGGGTGACGACCCAGACGCCAGGAGAAGCAACCTTGTCTCTCGTCAGCTGCACGTCCCCGAAGACCGTGGACAGGAGGTCCACGTCTTGCTTGAAGCGAGCCGTGAGGCCTCCGACCTTGGTGCAGCTGAAGGGCCCAGAAATGAGCGGCGACAAGATGGAGAGAAGGAGGACGAGGGAGGGAGGGAGGGACAAGGAGGGAGGGGGATAAGGGAGAGAAAAGGACGGGGGAGAGAGAGGGGAGGGGACCGACCCAGGATATGCGAAGTCCATCCCCTCAAGGAAGCGATCTAAGTTGCCCCGGCCAGGGAAGTTGTGCTCGCTGAAGAGGAGGAAGACGGGCCGATCTGCCGGATCCGGGCTACCAACCTGCGACAAGGTGAGTGACGGGAAGGGAGGGTGCCGTTCTGACTTACAAGCCTCCTCCACTCCTCCACGGAATCGTTGTTAGGAACCTCCTCAGCAGCGACTCTGACAATCGAGTATGTAAGACCAAGACCGCAAAGTTAATGGGTCTATTCGTGGTGGTGGTGGTGGTGGTGGAGGAGGAAGAGGAGGATGTCATCGTCAACGATGATGGCGATCGAGACGATCTACGAGAGAGGTGAGGAGAAGGAGATGTAGTTGATGTTGATGTTGATGTTGATGTTGATGATGATGATGGTCTGGTCATGGTTAGCATTGTCTCTGACAGAGATGCTTGTGTTGACGACAACAACAACTCGCCTCTGTATCTTGACGTCCACGTTTGGAAGGCACGCGGCTGAGATCGACACAGCCTTCACCTGCTCGTACTCCTCTGGGCTCTCCTCCTCTCCCATACCGATCACGCCGGGGCTCAGGCACCCGATGACGTGCTTGGCGCCGAGCCTCGTCCTCAACAGCTCGGTCACCTTCATCAGGTCCTCCTGCCTGGCCGGCTCTTGCGATCCTCTCATCTCGAAGAACCTGTCGGAGATGTAGCACATGACAAGGTCGATGCTTGTCCCTTCCCCGAGGTTCTCTCTGCACTTGTCCGCTGCCTCCTCTACTGTCTCTATCAAGCCTCCGAAGCCTAGAGAGACCGCTGACGTCCACCTCATCGCGCCATTGGAGCTGCTGTCCTCTGACGACATACTCATCGAAGAAACAAGGTTCTTCTGCTGTCCTCTCCAGTAATCAGCCGATCTTGCAGCGCGAGGAGATCGCACGCCGAACATCCTCGTCTGTGCTCTCGGAACGTCAGAAACCCTTGGAGGCAGCGCGAGCGGCGCTGTAAAGCCGAGCTTGTTCCCACGACACCACCGAGGAGCGGAACTGCGGCTGATCCCGGCCTGAAACATCCGCGAGCATGAAGTATCATCGGCATGCAGGGAAGAAGCATCAGTGATCGCGATGGTAAGGGACGACGCGAGCAGCAGCAGCCTCTTCATCTGCATCCTCCCCATCGTCGACCTCCTTCCCTGTGCCGTACCCATCCTTTGTGCCCACTGGAGCAGTGACTACCCACCCTACTGACTCGAAGACTTGATCCCTGGTTTGATTGCAGTGTACCCCTACCTTCTAGTGATAAAATATGATGTAAGTACCGGTCTTTTGTCCACCCCAGTGCCTGCTCCAGCATCCACCAAGTCTTAAAGGCAAAGTAAAGTATTCGAAGTTTTTATATTTTAGTACCAATAAACTTAATTTTTCAAATCAAATTATACAAATGATGTGTTCTTGTGGCCAAATTAATGAACATTTCAGTTTGTTTTCCTTAAGCACTTTTCGCTATGGCTTGTCGGTTTATGCGACCGGGGCGGCGGGGATGGCGGGGAGAGAGCGAGGGGAGCGGCGAGCTGTAAGGCAGGATGGGGTTCTCCAGGGGAGGCCTCATCGCGGCAGTTCAGAAGAGGAGGAGGAGGCAGTCCCAGGATGAGAGCTCGATCCGGAAGGAGCTCGACAGACTGCGGGAGCCTCATCGGATCTGTCAAGATCGCCTGGATGCGATCGACGATATCCTCGAGGACGTCGGCACCAAGACCTACTTCGGTCCATCTTACACTGACCCAGCGCAGAGCAGAGAGGCTACGGTGGACGGCCTGCTGGAGAAGGTGGAGGAGAGGATTGAGAGGTCCACCGCTTACCGCAAGCTCTTTGGGACCACCGTCTTCTTCATCTCGTTCGTGTGGATGCTGTTCCTGCAACGGAACATCACGGCGCAGTACGAGATCGAGCGGTCGATCCTCAACGGCCTGATAGAGAGCCTCCCGACGACAGGGAGCGGAGGGTACACTAACTCCAACACCGGGGCGGTCGGAGTTTTGCAGGGCTCGAGCGACTTCTACTCGTGGTTCTCGACCTCGGTCATCCAGAAGATCTTCAGCGATCCCGTCTGTGGCGACGGGATCTGCGACGCTCCCGACGAGTACGCGGGGTTCGGGCGGTTCGGTTGCTCGGAAGACTGCGGGCTCTACCTGAATGTGACCACCGTCCAGATCGACCTACAGGACGTGATCCAGGCGAGCGGGTCGGCGATAGGGTGGGACTTTACCACGATCCCGATGATATCGAACGCAAACCAGGGGCAGTTCAAATTCAATGTTTACAGCGAGGGGATGCAGGACTTCTTGTTCGAGGTGGATCAGAATGGCACCAGCGTCTCTACTCCCGTCCCCGACGGCAAGTACACGCTAGTGCTGTATCAGACACAGCGAACAAGCTCACTGGTAGACAAGCAAAGCATAGCAAAGCTTGGACTCGTGCCAAGGTAGGACACTTTATATGGCGATGCGTATGATGTGATACACTCCCTGTTGTGTTTGATTGGAAAAGTCTTGGATGAGATCGCTTTTTTGTATGGAAAGATTGAACGAATCCCTGCAGCACCATACCGCAAGAGAACTCCTTCAACGATTTTGCCTATGGGGTCTCTATGGAGACACTGACATGGAGCATGTTGATCCTGAATGGGATCACCAATTACTGCTTCTCGACTTCAGCATACTACACGGACCCTCACTGTGCAAGCTTGTACATACCAGGTGCTGGTTTGCTGACGACTAAAGACTCAATCTGAGGATACTGACCTGGTCTGACAGACGTGACGCTGAGGCTGATCAGTTCCTATGGCCTGAGTGGGACCGTATCCATCGTGAACAGCGGCACCGCTTTGGTGGAGCAGGCGGTCAAGGTCAGTGTCCTCGATCCGCAGTCGTTGACTTTGACTTGACCTTTCTTGCGTCGCCTGGCAGGTTCAGTTTTGCAGCGCCCTCCCCAACCAGACGGGAGGGACCTACTCCTCGGAGAACATGCAGTTCCTGCAAGAGTGCAAGATGACTTGCCCCACGGCCTCGTCCCGGCGACGTTCGGGGAGTGACAGTCGCCGACATCCCTCGAACGCCCCTGATGGCTCGCTCGCTGATCTGCCGTATGGGAGCGAGTCGGGGACGGGGTGGGACCATCGGTCACCTCCGCTTTCTCCTCACAGCCTGAGGAAGAGTGCTGGACTTCCCCTGGACCTCCGGGATGCTCATCCAACGTCCACGCACTCCTCGGCTCGTTCCTTGAAGAGGAACTCGAAGTCCATGGCAAGAGAGGGAGGAGGCCACGCGGGTACGAGGCAGAAGTCATCTCCGCCCGCATCGAACACGATCCATCAGAGCTCAGGTTTCATCTTCAGCTCCTCCCTCTCAAACGACTCGGCATGGTGGGTTGTCGACACGGGTCTGGAGAACATATCCTTCTCTGTACAGTCGTCTCTCCCCTCCGCCAGCGGCTACCTGCTCCGCTACGGTATCGTCACTTTCTCCGCCTGCTCATGCGTCTCCGTCAAGTATTGCCTCAGTTTCCCTTGCGTCCCTCAGATCCAAGTCTCCGGGCAGTCTCTGGATGCCACGTGGGCGGTCAAGGGAGCCATTGCAAGGCTGCAGCTGAACTTCGCTGAGGGGTCCAACAATGTTTGCATCACATGGGGAGGAGGGAAGTGTCCTCCCCGCCCTGCGATGCCTCGCTGGCTCAAGTCCGAGCCCCCAGCCACGACCGACTGCTCAGCGATGATCGCCTCCTATCTCATCTCATTGACAACTGAAACTCCAGGGGCAACGTGGACTTACGCCATCGCAAATTGTGTGGGAGGAATCTGTGACACAGAGCCGAGCTGCTCACCAGGGAAGTTGCTGGCAAACGGGACACAGGATCTTGCGTACAACCGGCGGGCGAGCAAGTACGGTTCTTCGTCCTACATTGTCGCCGCCTCCTGCCTGAACAACGTCACAAGTGACTTCCTCTTCGTTCCCGTCTGCATCTTCCCTGCTCCGGTCCTCTCCGTCTGGCTCAACGTTTCAACGCCTATCTCTGCGATGATTCTTGTCCGCGACTTGGTCATAAGGGGGCTGGGGTATGTGATAGGGGGGCATGAGTACCTGATGCAACTAGAGCTCTTGTCTGCCATCCCCGTCAATGAAACGATGTTGGTTAGCTCCAAGGTCTCGATGGTCTGCTCGAGCAACACGCAGGCGGTCAGCTTCAGGGACAGCATCGTACAGAAGATCGGGGAGGCGGACGCATACATCAAGAAGGACATCTCTCCCCAGAGCTCCGTCAGGATGGCATACTACAAGATAGACTCAACGTTGCAGTTTGCAGGGCAGAATCAAGTCTGCCACACCCACTACGACTGCTACGACGACTTCTTCTGTAGCAAGGTGGTTGGAATGCAGGCAGGGGGTGTGTGCGACCGGTGCAACTTCTGTATCGTCGACAAGTTGAACTCCTACAACGGGATCTGCCCCATAGACAAGTGCCCAGGGTCAGGCGGATACCCTGAGTGTATCAATGCCACAACCTTCCTGGGGAGGATAACTGACAAGTGCTCTGACAGCTACGACTTCGAGGTCTGGAAGTTCGGGGCCCAGGGCAAATCTCCCACCATCATCCCCGCCTTCACCCCAAAGCTCCGAGAGGTCACGCCCTACAACCGCATGGTGGGGGCAGTCGTTGTCTCGCAGAGGAGGAGGAAGAAGCAGACGTGCATACCCAACTTGATCCGCAACGACATCAAGAGATACACTGAGTCTGTCGCCGCCGGAGTCTCCTGCCCCTCCACTCAAGGCTATGATGGGACCCCCTACGGCTACGACCCGACCTTCATGCCCTTCAGCGGAATCTATAACGGGAAGCTCCGGCCCGAGGAGTTCTACGCTCCCTCTGAGCGCTACACCCTCGTCGACGCTAACGGGCACTCGTCCCTGTCCTACCCCAAGGGCTTCTTCCCCCACCAGTACAACCAGAACCGGCTCGACCTCAACATGGACGGGATGCTTTCTCCTAGCGAATTGCAGGCAGACAAGTTGACGCCTGTCAGCAAGAACAATTCACAGATCGTCTCCTCCAGTGTGAACACGTTCAAGCTCTACTTCGACGAGCGGCTCACGCAGAAGCAGGCGGACGCGATGGTTCAGTTCGCGAAGGACGGCAAGTTCATCGACTCGCAGACGTCGGACGTGACGGTTGAGTTGGTCACCTTCAATGCGGTCCATGGGCTGTTCGCATACGTTCAGATCTTCTTCACGTGGGACTCGTCGGGGAACATCGGCTGGAATTACCAGCTCGACACCTTCGACATTGACGGAATCTTGTATCCAAACGCCTTCACCATCTTTCTCATGATCTTTGTTCTCCTCTGCCTTTGCCTCAACTGCTTCATGGAGATCCAGGACGTCTTGACGCAGGCAAGAAAGTTTTCGCTCAAGGAGTACATCCTTGACCCCTTCAACTGGATCGACTGGCTGCACTTCACCTTCATGTGGGGGTCCATCATCACCTGGGCATTTCTATTTAACGTGGCGAGCCGCTTCTCTATCAACGAGTACTACCCCATCCTCTTCTACGGGCCCAAGTACTCCAACTCCACCAGGAGACAGAGTTTCTTCGAGGCCCCCGTCGCTGCTAACAAGCCGGCTCAGGCCCGGTTCTTCCGCACGCTCAACCAGCCCGAGTACGACTTCCTGGTTTTCATCAATGAGATGCAGGAGCTGGCGTCAGCCGTCAGGATCTACTCGGGGTTTGCTGGAGTCAGCGTCGTCCTCTTCATCTTCCGCCTGCTCAAGTCCCTGCACTTCCAGGAGAGGATGGGGATGGTGACCCGCACGATACACCTCGCGGCAGTCGACCTCTTCCACTTTGTTCTCCTCTTCATCATCGTGCTCATCGGCTACGCCATTGTCGGCTACTTCCTCTTCGGGCAAGAGTACGAGGTGAGTGAGTTCTGGTTGCATGTTTGAGCTCTGATGGGCCGATGCAGGGAATGAAAGACTTCAGCTCCTCCGCTAAGACCCTCGCCATCTTCCTCGTCAGCATCGACACCACTCAGTTCTACGCGTCGGTGAGGACAGAGCTCGTTGAGCGCGAGCTGACGTGTGAGGGCCTGACGTTGATGATCAGATGCAGCACGCGGGAGGAGATGTCTCTCTGCAGATCTTCCTGTGGTCCTACCTCTTCATCGCCTACTTCATCCTCGTCAACATCTTCTTGGCCATTCTGGTAGACGCATACGCCACTGTCAAGGAGGGGACGGACAACGCGTCCGGTCTCCTCACCGAACTATCTTCTATCATCTTCCATGGCATCAAGCGTCAGCTGCCTCTTGGCGCACGTTTCATCTCCGACCAGAGATTCAAGTCGCTCCTCGCCAAGGCCAAGAACCGAGTGGATTCGAAGAATCAGATCAAGCAGAATGTCAACAAACTGATGAGCAACCGGAAGGCCATCCTGGTCCCCGGGAACCTTCAGATCGACAAGCACACGCTGCAGCGCATCTTGCGGAATAACTCCGGTTCTGTGCATCCGGAAGACAACTATCTCAGCTTCCAGGGCTTCGACGACGAGGCCATCTTCGAGCTGATCGAGAGGTACGGCACTGACATCTCAACCTTCCAAGAGCAGAAGAACAGAGACCTCAAGGAGTTCATCTCCCTAGAGAACATGCGGTGAGCGGCGCCGCTCTCCCCATCCACAGCTCTGACTCTCTCGTCGGCAGGAGGCTAGTCGCCATGAACCTCGTGCAGAACGAAATCCACGAGGATCAGAAGGAAATTCTCCAGTACCTTAGGGACCTGGCCAAGACTAAGGTCGTCAGCGAGGCCGAAGGGGGACGTGCCGCAGCCCGGAGGGAATCGGAGTCTCAGGTGGCGATCGGCTCCCTCTCGCTCACCATTCTTAGCGCCTCCAACTTGCCCAAGATGGACGTGATTAGGAAGAGCGACCCCTACTGCGTCGCCTACGTGGACGGGGAGGTGCGGCAGGAAATCTTCATGACCGAGACCGTCTCCTCGTGCCTGGACCCTACTTGGAACGCCAACTTCAAGTGGGCCCTGTACCCAGATGTGACATGCGTCACCATCGCTGTGTGGGATCGAGACAACGTGAGCAGGAGGAAGAGGAAGGGGACAAGGAGAAGGAGAGTGGGGGGGAGGAGGGGGGAGAGAGGCTTCTTGCGCTGAGATACGTTGGGTTCGCAGGTGACAGCAGACGATCTGATTGGAACAGCTTTCATCGACATCCTTGACTTGGCCCCTGATGAGACCAGCCGGGAGCTGGAGCTCTCATTGGAGAACCCACGTCTGAGGAGAAGGCTGATCAAGTCCAGGATCTTAGTGAGGATAGATGTGGTCAGCGACAAGCCGGGGAGGGAGAACCCGTCAGAAGAAATGGGTGATTGAAGGATGGCGGTCACTGGGCCCTAAGTTCACTCCTCAGAACAATGCTGTTATCGCGCTCCGTGATCATTCATCCATCATTATATCTCAGTCCTCTCAAGTCAGCAATCGAAGCAAAAATTTATTATGGAACCATTGAGCGAGGGAAAACATTCACGAGATGAGGAGGAGAGTTACAAGATCGTGTCTCAGTCGGAGTTCACGATTGAATGGATAGAGGCCTTCTCGTTGCAAGGGCCTGCCTGCGCTGCGATGCAAGAAGTCAGAGGCTGGTCGAAAAACCGCTCATTCCTTACATCTGCCAATGAATCCTTGCTGCAGCCTGTTCCTGTTCTTCAACATGAGATCTCTATCATACACATACCTGCACTCGACCAACTCAGTCAAACAGAGCATTCCGGCAACCGCGAATTACCGGTAGGAGTACAGGAAATCTCTCTTGCCAGGGTCCCCTCCCCGCGGCCCTCGAGTCCCTTTCATGGGCTGCAATGAGCAGTGGATCAATCAACAAGAACGACTGAAGAAAGGCCATTACCCTAACTCCGATCTGCCTGAACAACTCATACACCGGTCCTGTAGGCTCCTTGATGCATTTCTTGCCGTTTACCAGCCAGCATTTTTGCGCATCGTCGCAAACCATCTTTCTTATTTCCTGATTGAACGTGCTAAGATCATGCACTAGCATCTCTCTGAACCCCAGTATACAATTTTCAGTGTCCCTGGAAGAGCGATCAAATCTCAGGACGCGTGTGCTTTCTAGTTTGAGCAGGACCAGCATCAATTCTTTGATGCGATTGCGAGCATTCGGTTTCATCTTCACCCCTAGACGCTGATTCCCCAAGGTCTCGAGCAAATGATCAAAATCTTCTGCTTCATGCCCGGGAGCTACACTCGCAGCGCTTTCACTTGCAGTCTGCACTGAGCTTTGCTCCAATTTTTCGCTGGTGGCAACACCTGCAGGTCTGAAATGGGCAGTAAGTTGTGGGTTTCCTAAGATCGATCCCAGAGCTAGCCCATTCAGAACTTGCTGATCCACAGTCAAGGATGTCAGAAAGGGATTCAACCCCATGTTAGGCGCTAGGCTGATGTTCAAAGCCACAGGGATCTGAACCGTGGCTGTGCTGGGCAGACCTGTCCCCGCTTGAAATGGAAAATTGAGAAGAGGAGAAAACTCGAGACGTGTAGATTTAGCTGGTTGCATCGCGATGGAATGCTTCTCGATTTGTTTAGCAGCATGGATCGATGAAAACGCAGAATTATCAGAGTGTTGAAAACTGGTTGCTGCGTTCAGATCCATCGTTGACCCTGAACGCACCTCCCAGTAAGAGCAACGTTGCTGCAAAAACGAATAGTTTCAGCAATGGACATGGAGTGAGTGTCAGGCAGATTTTGGAAATGAATATAAGATAAACCTTTGTCCAGAGAATACTTAGATATGAGTGTGATAAACTAGACATAAGAGACGACTACCTCTTCCCATCTCCCCGCATTCATCATGGATCTGAAGCACTTCATACAATAAACCACCCTGCAATCCAACTGTTTCCTCTATCAATGTTGAATTTCATACCAAAATCATGGTTATTCACTTCCCATCCATCTGACAATCCTCTAGCGCTCATGGCCCAAGATGCTCACAGGAGATCATACCGCATGGCGTAACACACTTAGATCTGATCGCAAGAAAAGAAGCTGCTATCCATCAGAGATGTCACAGATGTGCTCACTGCTTCTGTCACATTGGATCCTCGGCCTCTGCTGTCTCCTCTTTCTTACATGCCTCCATTCTCTCCTACTCACTCTGCCTATCACCATCTCCACCTTTGCCAGCAGGGAGCTACCCTACCCCCTACGTCAGACACCCCCTGTAATTATCCTGGTGCTGGTACTGATTTCACTACAACCCACCCCTCCTTTTAGGCTCACCCAGCTGTGACCGAGGGTCCACCCGATACTACTAAAAAATCCTTTGTTTGAGACACCCTACCAACCACGGTACCCCCGTGTCCCTGAAGTCACTTATGTACCCCTACCCCCTGGATTAATTTCGTGCCGCCGTTCTTCTGCTGTTCGCCGTCGGAGCCGGGCGTCTATCCCACGTTTTCCATTTTTGAAATTAGGTCGTCAAAGATTCCTCTCCAAAATTCAAAAATTAACAGAAATCTTACTTAGTTTCATTCGGGCAGTCGAGGACTGAGCTCGAGCTTCCTTGGGTCTCCAAGCTACGGTAAAAATGAATATCAAATTACATTTGCTATTTGGTGAAATATATTTTAAAAATTTAAAAATGACTTGCTGCACCAGAGCGCTGATCATTTCTGCACCCCTACTACCCATGCTGAGATTTTAGAGGTACCCCCACGGAGAGAACCCCTTTTTACGTACGAAGACTACCCGTATCTTCACCTTCACCCACCCCACCCTAAAGTCATCATCAACGCCCCAAAAAAGAAATTCGTTTGCGTCTTAAAATGTGATTTAACATACCCACCCACGAATACCCATCCGAAAACACCAACTGCCCGTGATCATTTCGAATGAACCCCTCCTGATGTCGATTCGCTGCTGGCAATGTGCCCAATTGGACCCACCCCGTGAGTACACTTTTGACCCCCCACCCCCTTTTTCAAAAACTTCCTTGAGCCCCACAAACTTCGTCCGCGTTTGGAGATGAATGCAGTTTTAGATTTTTAAAAGAAAAAAAAAGATCGACAAGAAAAAGTACCGATTTATGGCATACCGCAAATGATATTGAGTGATTCTTTCAGACGACAAGAGTTGCACTCTTGCATCGTTTCGATTGTAGTACTGGAAAAAATCTCCTACCGAGACTCTCCTACAACTCCTTTTAAACACTTCGCATCCCACGTTTTTAACATGCTGGGCTTGATCACCGGTAGTGTCTCCCATTCATTCACGTTGCATGGGGTAGGGTGTCATGTAAAAAAATTGTTGTCCTCTTTAGATTATTACTCATCGTATGCAATAATGAATGTTGCCGCTGATTCCACGTGATCTATCCTTTTCGTGGTGCAGCGTCAAGGTACCCTACCTACCGTACTGGAACTAACCACGGTCCAATACTTCACTACCCCTACTTGTGACTTCTTGAGAAGTTTCCTTCCGACCGTCAGGGGGCCGTCAGTTGGGCAAGGCGATCTGTACCGATAGAGTTTAACTTAACTTTGAGTAAAAGAGTAGAGGAGTCTACACCTGGCGGGTGCCGCTTCAACTTCGGCCGCGGACGCGGCCGTGACGGGCCGGCCGGGAGATCTCAGTCTACTGGTATGGTTTGAGTAAACGGTACGGTAGCCTGCTACTTTTCGGGCCCTCAGCCTGGGCCGGGCAGCGCGGCAGGCCCGGCGGCAGGCCCGGCGGCAGGCCCGGCGGCAGGCCCGGCGGGCCATTACGGCGTGGGGACGAGGGGGCTTTGCTGGGATCATGCGCTTCACGCGACTAGTGGGGAGGTTGAGTGGCAGGGGGGAGAGGAGCTGCGAAGTGCCGATGCTGGTGTTGAGGACAAGGCTGAGAAGCGAGGTGAAGACTGCGGCCTCTCGTCTCACCCCTCATGCTTCTTATGCAGGATCATATGGACGTTCGCCGGCAAACCCACTGGCAATGGTCGACGAAGCCGCTGGGAACATCTCCTGCCCCGCTGCTACGGAGGGCAATGCCTCCCTTTGGAGCTGTGCAACTCATTTCGAACAGGAGAGATGTAGCGTGCCGCAATGTTCGCTGGAGGTCGGATCAAGCTCATGTGATGAGCAAAGATACGGCTGATGCAAAACCCCACAAATCCCTCCTGATGCACGATCCCAGCAAAGGCTCTTTGATAGACAGACAACTCAACTCATGGGTCAGGAGGATTTACAAGGTGACGGCAAGATTGTCTTGCATCGTCTCCTGACGAGAGGGCAGGATAAGGTGGTGCCGAAGGGGGCTGAGATCATTCAAAACTTGGTTCACTACCTGTGGCCAGAAAATAAACCAGAGATGAGGATGCGAATCTTGGCTTCCATGGTCGAGCAGACAGCAGACATGTGAGAAGAGACAAGAGCCTGACTTGACATGTGTAGGCGTGTCTGGTGGGGGCAAAGCTGGTCAACATTCAGGTTCCTTTCTTCTTCAAGTATGTCATCGACGGCCTCCAAGGTGCTTTCCTCTTCCCCGCCAACCCCACGCCCTTCTCTACTCCCGTCCCCGTTGCTCTTCACTGTATCCCTGCGATGGATGGACCTCTCTCCTGACACTCCAGCAGTTGCAACAACGAGCTCGGCGATCCTGCAGGTTTCCCCTCTTCAACGTCGGGTGTTATCCTGAGCCTTCCCCTGAGTAGCTACCGGTGGTGATGATGCTGGGATATGGAGTAGCAAGGTCAGCACCCGGGTCCTTATTTCTCCTTTGCTCTTCTTCTCCTGTCCTACTCTCCACCCCTCCTCCCCTCCTCCTGTTCTCTCCTCTCTTCCTTTCGTTCTCTTGTCCCCTCTTCCCGCACATTTCTCACCCTCCCTATGAGCAGGATTGGGGCGTCTGCCCTTACTGAACTGCGGACGGCTATCTTCGCCAGCGTCGTCCAGGCAGCTGTCCTTCGAGTCTCCGACAATCTGGTCTGACGGCTTGTGCGGCAACAGCATGCCATCCGGAAGATCTCGTTAAATGTCTGCATCCTCTCACCACTTGCCAGCCCTGACCCCCTTCAGGTGTTCGAGCACGTCCACAAGCTCGACTTGTCCTTCCACCTCAGCCGACAGACTGGGTAGAGGAGCATCGTGCGACATGCGTAACCACTCACGCCTTCTCCTCCCAGCTCTGTCGCGCGGATCATGGAGAGGGGGACGAGGTGAGTTGGGCAGAGGCAGAGCGGAATCGCTGCTTGCTCGTTCTGATTGCGGTGAACCCGCTCACAGGGGAGTGTCGTTTGCCCTCAATGCTCTCCTCTTTCAGATTGTGCCCACCGGTTGCCTTCAAATTTGACATCTCCACTTGAATTGAATGACGAGCTGAGAAGGACTTGAGATCGGACTAGTCGCTGGAATCCTCTCCTACAACTTTGGAACAGGTTGGTCAGGAGGGAAAGGGGTCTTGGGCCGCTGAGATGCTTGGCAGTCTACGGGGTCATAACCATAGGCACTGTGGCTGCTTTTGCTGTCTTCACTGTTCGGGTTGCTGCATTAGCCATGATGGTGCGAACGTTCCTGACGAGATTGCCAGGTGAGCCAGAGGAGAGTTGAGATCAGAAAGAAGATGAACGCGATGGAGAACGAGGCGTCCGCAAAGGTCGGTCTCTGGGGGGAGAGAGCAAGTGCGCTGATGACGTGGCGTCCTCTACACCACAGGCAGTTGACTCACTCATCAACTTCGAGACTGTCAAGTACTTCAACAACGAGGCTCACGGTGATCGGCTCTCTTGCTCCCTCGGAAGAATCTCTAACCGGGATTGCAGAACTGAGGAGATACGATGACTCCCTCCGGTGTGCTAGGTGCGCGAGGCTGCTCCCTGCCTGACCTGCCGCCCCAGAGGGTTCGAGAAAGCTTCAGTCGAGACCCAGACTTCCTTGTCTTGGCTCAATTTCGGGCAGGTTGTCACGTGCCTTGCAAACCCTCCCACCCTCCTCCTCCTCCTCCTCCTCCTCCTCCTCCTCCTCCTCCTCCTCCTCCTCCTCCTTCTCCTCCACATCCTCTCTCCCTCCCTCTTCTTCTCTGGGTGACCTCTGCTCGTCTCCTCCTACTGCTCTTATTAACTACCATGGCAGAGTGCCATCTTCTCCGTCGGACTCACGGCAATGATGGTCGTCTCTGCTCAGGTAGGGAGTCCAGGAGCAGCCCGGCTGGTTGGGGGTGACCAGGTTGACAGGGCGTGCTGGCTGGCACGATGACAGCAGGGGACGTAGTCATGGTCAACGGCCTCCTGTTTCAGGTCTCTTCTCCATCCTCCTGCTGGGAGCGGGTGACGAGCTGTGGCAGCTTTCTGTGCCCTTGAACTTCCTGGGGACTGTCTACAGAGAGCTCCGGCAGAGCGTCATCGACATGGAGGCGATGTTCGGCCTGCGCGCACAGGTCCTCCTCCTCCCTTCCCTGCCCCTATCTGTCTGCTCCTTGCTTCCAACTTCTCCTCAGTCTGTACCCTTCTCTTCACTCCACTCCACCTCTTTGCTTGTCCCTGTCTCTCCCTCGGGCCGCTGCTCTCCTACCTCTTCGATCAGCTGACAGGCGCCATGGCAGAAACCTGCTGTCTCCGCGGCTAATCTCGCTCCTCCCATCAACGTCACCAAGGGTAAGATAGTCTTCGACAACATCCGCTTCGGATATGGAGACGGAAGAGAGGTACTCCTTGCCTCCTCCTTGCCTTTTCCTCCCTCTCCCTGCGTCTTCCGCTCCTCTTCTCCTTGCCTGTGCTCCCTACCAGCCTTGTTCGCTCCCTCACTCGCTAGCAGGTACTTCGGGGCGTCTCTTTCACAGTCGAACCGGGTCAGACCATCGCGATTGTCGGGCCATCAGGATGCGGCAAGTCAACCATTCTCCGCCTCCTGTTTCGGTAAAAGCATCTACCTCCTGATGCTGCTGCTGCTGCTGCTGCTGCTGCTCCACCTGCTCCTCCTCCTGCTCCTCCTCCTGCTCCTCCTCGCTCCCAACAGCTCAAAAATGACGGTTTCGCAGGTTCTACGAGCTGAATGAGGGGAAGATCTTGATTGACGAACAGGACATACGGGATGTGGACGTCCAGAGCTTGCGGTAAGAATGCAGCAGAAGGGGGAGGGAGAGAAGAAGTGGAGAGGAGGGAAGAGGAAGGGAAGAAAGTTTGGACAAGAATCTTCACACTCTTGACAGTGAAATCATCGGGGTAGTGCCGCAAGATACAGTGATGTTCAATGACTCGCTGCGTTACAACGTTCTCTACGGGCGGACGGATGCAGGAGAGGTGAGAGGGAGAGGTCCCCTCCCTGCCTTCTCTTTCATCCCCTGCTCCTCCTCTCTCCTCTGCCCCTTCTCATCCTCCTCCTCTTGATGAATCCTCCTCTGCATATCCGTTCTCTGCCACCACATCCTCTCACCTCCTTTCTCCTCTTTCTCGTTTTCTCTCCCCCTTGCTCCCTCCTCTTTCAGCGCTCCCTCCGTGTGCTTCATGATTTCTGCGAGTAGCCAGAGCTGCAAGAGGCCCTCAAGCTTGCCGCCGTCGACAAGATTGTCAATGTGCTGCCGCGGGGCCTCGACTCGGTGGTGGGGGAGCGAGGGCTGAAGCTGAGTGGAGGAGAGAAGCAGCGAGTTGCTATAGCGCGCACAGCTTTGAAGAAGGCCAAGGTGAGTGAGGAGGAGCAGGACAAGGAGAACAGGGAGAGAGGGAAGGAGAGCCCAACGGTCAAGAGGAGTAGAACGTTCAAGAGGAGTAGTGACTCGGGATAAGAAGGGGGCGGGAGGAGGAAGGGAGGGAGGGAAGGGGGGGACAGTAGGAGCCACGACGAGGAGAGAGCAAGGATGGTGTCTCCCTGCTCTCATAGGGTGATGCTTCAGATTCTGTTGTGCGACGAGGCCACCTCGGCGCTTGACAGTCACTCGGAGTCGCACATCCTCTCTGCCCTCTACAAAGTCTCTGATGGCATCTCAACCATCGTCATCGCCCACAGGCTCTCTACTGTAGTAAGTCCCTCTTCCTCCTCCTCCTCTTCCTCCTCCTCTTCCTCCTCCTCCTCCTCTTCATTGACTCATTGCGCAACGAAAGCTCACAACTAATCCTTCTCTAGGTTTCAGCAGATCAAATCATCGTCCTGAACAACGGAGAGGTCCGTCAACCTCATCTCACTCTGCTTTCTCCTCCCTCTGCTCTCTGCTTCCTCCGCTTCACTTCACTTCTTCGCCTGCTGCGTTCCTTGCTACCCTCCTCCCTAACCATCAGCTGTTGACCATGGAGCAGGTGGCTGAGAAGGGCTCGCACCAGGAGCTGCTTACTCGCGAAGGCCTCTATGCGGATATGTGGCGCAAGCAAGCACAAACACCCTGAGGCCAGCAGGACGGGAGCACCAGCAGCAGCTGAGAAAGATGTGAATCGGACGGCAGGTTTATGAATGTCGTGTGGTGAATGAGTCAATTATCCTCCTCCTCCCTTCCCCGCTCAGGCTCTGTCGCTTCGCCTCCTGAGGCCTCTGCGTCAGGCAGACCGACAGATCTTCACCTCTTACCTCCTCCCGCATCTGCAAGCGAATCGCCTCCACGAACTGATGCAAGCTGACAACAAGTCATCCTCCTCCTCCTCCTCCTCCTATCACCTGCTCTCGTCAAGGACTGGACCTCCAAACCAAGAAAGCCATCCGCCCTGCTGCTGCCCGGATGTGAGACGGAGGATACGAGTGTGTGGGAGAAAACGAGAACAACAGGGAGGTGGGAGAAGCACGGGGATGTGCTGATACCGAGCAAGGAGCACTCATGGTGACGGAAGAGGTCGCGAGACTGCCCGTCTTCTCCTCCTGCACCTCCTGCGCCTCCTCCGGGTCACGGGAGAAGAATTTGAGCTTGTAGCTGCTTCCTCCTTCAGCAGGCAGCTGTCGAGCCTCCGTCACCTTCTCCTCGTACAAGAGGGGGAAAAGAAAGAGGCAAGAGAGTAGAGGAAGAGGAGGTGGAAGGCGGCTAGGGAGTAGAGGAGGCAGGAGAGGACGATGAGCAAGGAGGAGGAAGAGGAGGAGGAGACGGGGAGGCTGCTAGGTGGGATGTGGCTGGGGAGCGGAGAGGGGAAAGGTCGAAGGGGAGCTAAGGAGGGTCTTGCCGGGTCGGAGAGAGCAACGATATTGGCGAGATCCACGCGGAGATGGCAGGAGCGCAATCGGCTGCCTGCCAAGGAGACGGAGTCGAGGTAGAAGAGAAGCTCCCTGAAGAGATACGGTTGAGCTCTTGCGGAAGGAAGATAAGAGGACTGGGGAGGAGGAGGGCGTACTGGGAGGGTAGTGAGGGGGACAGGATCGGAGGGAGATGAGAAAGGGAGGAGCTGGACGAAAGGGAGGGGAGCAACTTGAAGGACTTGGTGTGGGAACGGCAGAGGAGCTGTCTCGTCACCTTCTGCCGCCGCGGAGGAGGAGGAGGTTGTACACAAAGGGGGATGGCTTTCCGGGGAGGACGCAGACGGCGGTGGTGTGAGAAACAAACTCGCAGTGTCGGCGGAGGACGCTCTCAGCTCCTACCATCCCCTCCAGGAAGAACTTGGCCTTCTCCGAGGACACATGCGCCTGCTCCCTCTCCATCACCTGCGGGACATCATGAGTAGATGCGGAGAGGATGCAGCTGCAGAGGGAGGGGAAGTCAGGATGCAGAGAGATGTCAGGGAGATTGAGCAGGAGGAGGCTGAAGGAACGGATGTGGATGGAGGACAGTGGGGACGAGGACAAGGAGGACGAGGGGAGAGGGAGAGGGTGAGGGAGAGGGAGAGGGAGAGAGAAGGGGGGGGGGAGGAAGAGGAGGAGGGGAGGGTGAGGAGGAAATCATTGTTGATGCCATTCACCTTCTGGTTCAACATTCTTGTCTCGTCCTTCACGCGGAAGTAAACCTCGATCACGTCCGGGAGGTCGTCGACCATGCTGCAGCTCCCTTCCTCCTGCATCCTGCGCAGCTCGTTCACGATCTCCTGCGCTTGCTGCCTCTGGATGGCCCCGTCCTGCTGCTCTCGGAACAGAACGTCGAAGATCAGCTTTGGGGTGATGGATGAGGACGAGAACGTCTGGTGAGGATCGTGAGAGCCGACGGCTGCCTCTGCGAGGTCGCGGAGGAGGAGGAGGTAGCGCATCGACCGCTGCAGCGGCCATGCCAAGAGGTCAACCAGCCGTTGCCCCGAGAGCCCGACCTTGCTCCCCATCCTCTCCTCCACCTCCTCCACGAACTTGGCAAACCTGCCGGACACATTGAGCAGGTTGGGCCTCGCGTGCTTCTCCACCCGGTCGAACTGATGCTGCACGGACTTGATGGCGTAGAGAATGGCGCTGGACCTCCCCAGCAGCTGCTTCTTGATCCCCGACAGCCGCGAGCAGTCTTGCACGCAGGTCTCTACCCACCTCCTCACCTCCGCCTCCACCGCCCTCGCGCACCGCAGGTTCACATCGAGGTCCCCGAAGCACGCGGACCAGCTCCCCTGCTCCTGCTCGTCCTCCCAGTCCTCCCGCTCTCCGACGCTCCCCAGAAGCTCCTCCAGCCTCCTAACGTACGTCTGCTGACTCCTCAGCATCACCATCGTCCTGAACGTGTAGTCCAGCTGGGCTCTCTGCTCCTTCCCGGTCGCCGTCAGCAGCAACTTCGAGATCTCCTGGCAGAAGGAGTTGTCTGCAGGGCTGAAGTCCAGCGGGTACTGGAGGGCCGAGCGGTAGAGCAGGAAGAGCAGGACGCCCTCGTCACCTGAGAAGGGAAACGTCAACCCAGTCGTCCCCCACCTCCCTCCCAGCTGCAGCAGGTTACCTGTATTGATCGCCTCCTCGAGCGCCGACCTCCCTCCCTCGATCGCTTGCCATGGTTTCAGGCCGATCCCTTCCACCAGCCGCCGCAAACTTCCCCAGTTGCTCCCCTTCACCGCCTCCAGCAGCGCCGTGTAAGCGTTGGCGTCGGCGCCAGAGAGCGGCTGGTTGGGGTTGTTGACGCGAGGACAGAGAGACTTTCGGATCTGATCGCCGACCCACTCGACCGCCTGCTCGAGCACGATCATCAAAGGAAAAGAGAAGAGAGGAAGAAATTTGAAAAAGTAGCGAAGAGAAGAAGAGGGGAGAGGACAGGACAGGAAGGGAGAGGAGAGGAGGGGAGGCGAGGAGAGGAGAGGAGAGGAGGGGAAGGGAGGGAAGGGGAGGGGACAGGAGAGGAGGGATGGAGCAGAGCATAGCCGCAGAGAGGACGAGAGATCACGAGACCTCTTCGAACTCGCTGATAAAAATTCCTTCCACACCCCCCGGGCGGAAGTTGGTCCTCTCAGTGGCGATTCCGATCCTGACAGGAGGGACGTGGAGGTATCGGATGTAGAGCGCTGTCCTGCGGAAGGAGCAGCAGCGCTTCTCGTGGGCGAGCCGGAGAAGCACATAGACGAGGCTCCTTCCCAGAAGACTTGGCTTGTCCCTGTACAGACCTCCAGCCACCTGCTGCAGCTCTACGAGCCCTAGATGCTCCTCGCTATCGTCACTGCTCCCCTCCTGTTCATCCTGTTCCTCCTGCTCCTCCTGCTCTTCTTGCTCTTCCTGCAGCCTGTCATGCTTTGCCACATCCTTGTCCTTGGGTGCCGCTGCCTTCAAGACACGCAGAATTCTCTGGCATGCTATGACAATCTGTTTTGCCTTTCCTTCGGGAGTTTTTTGCTGTGAGATCGAAATCATGCAGATTCACAAAAACTATCTTCATGCAGAATCACAAATCACATCTTACATGATGCGTAACACAAGTTGCATCAGTCATCATTCTTGTAACAAGGCACACAAGTGCATCTTATCAAGACCAACCCAACCATAGGCATCTTTGCTCATCTCCTCATCCACCATCTTTCACTCTTGAGTGTAATGGATCACATCACATCCTTACCATCTCCATCTCCACCAGACTTTCTGCTGCTCCCTCGTAAAACTTCGGTTCGGACTCGTCCTTCTCCTCCATCGCCCACTCAGGAATCTCCAGGAACTGCAGCAGCTTCCGCCTCCCTGCCGCGTCCCAACCGAACGCTGGCAGGCCGATGGTGAGCTGCATTTCTTTCTCGCTCTCAATCTGAACGAGCAGGTCAGGTCAGAGCAGATGTGAAGAAAGGAGAAGAATAGACAGAAGGAGAAGGGGGCAAGGGGGGGTTGGAGGACACGGAGGACGAGAACGAGAACGAGGACGAGGACGAGGACGAAGAGTAGCAGCAGCAGCAGCAGCAGCAGCAGCAGCATCTCACCGAGGCAAACAGGTGCTCCATCATGGGCCACAGCCGAGTGAGGATAAGCGAGTTCACTGACTGCTCAATCACGTCTGACTCGACCTTCCCGCGGAACAGGAACACGTCCATCGCCCTTGCCCTGCTGCTGCCACCCTGACCGCCCTCTTGCCAGACCCGCGCGCTCATGAGCTCGAGCACGCAGTTCCTGCGGAACGACTCGATCCTGTTCACAACGTCCTCAACGGCTCGGAGGGCAGCATCAAACTTCGCTCCTCGCGGGATGGACCGCGACTGAGGGCTGAGGACCTCCTCGAACTCCTCGTAGAAAGATGCAAAATTTCCCAGGATGGACCGGTCATGCATCCTCCCTTGCGAGAACTCTGTGGGAAGCTGGGTGATGGCGAAGGTTGAGTCGATCTGCTGCAGTGCCGAGCGGATCGGCTGGAAGTCAGGATGGAAACGCGGTGAAACTTCGTGCAGGAACTGCATCAAGGTCCTCAGGTGGAGAGCAGGAGGCAATGAGGAGGACAAGCAGCTGCAAAGCTCCTCCTTGCCCCCGCAAGATTCGATGACCTGACTGAGGGGAGGGGAGCAGCCGCTCCCAGCCTCAGCAAGCTGATCCAGCAGGGAGTCGGCGACCTCGGAGGAGAAGAGCTGTAGCTGGCAGATGTCATCAGCCAGGAGCATGAAGAACTGGTTGAGATGGACTTCATAGCAGTCCGTGAGGAGCTTCACGTCCAGAGGGAAGTGACCGAAGGACGAGGTGAGCAAGGACCGCAACCCGAAGCTCTCTTCAGCGTCGGAGCGGAGGAAGCTGTCGGCCCCGCGGCTGCGATCATCGCGCTCCTCCTCGAGGCCCCCGAAGAGGATGACGAGAGTCTCCTCGACTTCCCTGAGCTGCCCGCGCCTACAACGGGCGGCACAGAAGGCTCCGACGAGTTTCGATCGGAACTTGTGCAGGACTTGAACGCGCTCCATGTGCGCCAGGTAGAACTTGATCAGTTGGCGGAGGCGAAGGCTGTACGCTGATCGGACTGCTATGATGTCTCGCAGACTTGACGTCTGACGCCCGACAAGGTTCGGGTACTTGTCACCATCACTATCATCGCAGCTCCGGCATGAGATGGAGGCAAGAGGGCTATCCTGGCCCTCTCGCGGCCAGTACTGCACCATCCCCGGCCTCCTCTTGCGCCTCGAGTACCTCCAGACCTGCTCGCGCGGCTGGTAGACCTCGACGACGGGGAGGCGTATCTGAACGCTCCTCCTCGCACACGCTTGCAACATCGAGACTTTCATGTGAAGATCCTCCGGCCAGAACATTCTGCAGAGCTGAGACGTAGAATGGTCGTCCACAGAGCAGCTCTGATCCCCCTGCTCTTCCTGCTGCCCCTGCTCCCCGTGCTCCTGCTTGCCTTTCTCCTTCCGGATAAGATTGCGAATGAGCGTCTCAGTCATGCTGCTCTTGAGCTCTCTCATGACATCGTCCATGGACACCGACGATGCTTCTCTGCGTTCAGCTGCATGACCAGCGGCACGAAGACGAACGTCGGAGATCAGGCGGTAGGCGGGGGAGACATTTGGTCGCTCGCTCATCGCTGCTTTCGGCCTGGTAGAGGAGCAGAGCAGGACGTCGTTGACAGAGAGCGTCAGAGGAGGCTTCGACAGCCAGTCGTCCTGGAACGCGTCCGCCGACACAAGGAGCATGAGCTCATCGTCGTCCGGAGCCTCACAGTCTCTCAGGTCCTGCTCCTGCAGCGCTTCCTCGCGGATCCCCTTGAGACTGTCCAGATCGATGAAGGAAGAGCGGCTAAGCCTGAGGTGGCGGCGAGCAACCGCGACGAAACTCCTCCAGCGGGTGACGTCAAGGCTCGTGTTGATCCTCGACAAGATCCACTCAACGGCACTCCCGTCACCTTCAGGCACAGCGGTGAAGAGAACTTTGAGCCCGGGACATGATCCTCCGCTCTTGGCACGAGCTGCGAGGGCCCTGGAGAGGAGGATCAAGTTGCACGGGTGACAACTCTGCGACCAGCCCAGCACAAACACGTGAAAGATCCCCTTGTCCAGGAAGAAACTCTGCGCGGTCCCCAGCACCTGGTCCACCGACTTCTCGCCGGATCCTCCAGCCTCCGCATGAGGAGAGAAGCAGTGGATTGCTAGCGAGTTGTTGACGTCAGCAAGCAGGAGGGTACGCGATGCTTCGCTGCGGTCCTTGACCTTTCCTTCCTCCGTCCTCTCCTCAGGTGGAACGATGCCGAACGTCTGCTCCAAGATGTCGCGGGTGATGGTCTCGTCCGAGGACCAAATGGCGACAGGAAGTAGTTTGGAGCTCTGGGAACGTAGGAGGAAGATGATGACAACCACCCACAAGTAGTTGAGGACGATCTTCTTGTCCATGGCATCGAGGTACTCAAAGTAGTGCTCCTCGTCCACCAGTCTCTGCCACGAGTCTGACTTGGACAGCTCCTGCACGAACACGGAAGGATGCATCAAGACGTCCTGGGCACGTGTCAACCCTCGACCTCCCGAGCAGCTCCTCACCTGCAGCTCTTCGCGGGAGTCTGTTCCCAGGTGGGAGACGAGATGATCGAGGATCCTGCAGGCGATGGCCTCCTCGAGGTAAAAGGCGAGGCTGCTGATCTTCTTAGTGTCAATCTTGATCGCCTCTGCAAGGTGCAGAAGTTTCTCCTCGTACACCCCGTCGATGGTGCAGCGGGCCTGCCAGCTAGCGCGTCATCCACCGCCACATGGAGCAGCAGCCCAGCACCTGCATGTGGGTTCCCACCATGGAAGTCGCAAACATGCCAGCGACTGCGTGTGAGGGAGTCACGTAGGAGGCGATTGTCGGCATCATGGTGGCAGCGGCGTAAGGAGCGAGGAGACAAGTCCCTGCCATGATCGTCGCGCCGGCGGTGATGGCGAGGGTCAGCCCCATGACCTGACGGAACCTCGGGCTGAGCAGAGAGGTCAGAGTTTGAGCATGCGAGGTGCGGCAAGGGACCTCCGGTCCATCGAGAGCGAGAGAGGACGGTTCAAGAACTCCTCGATGAAGTCTGCCTGCTCCTTGAAGTCTGCCTGGATGCTGCAAGACACGTTCATCTCCCCCTCGTGACCTCTACAAACCTCCTCTCACCCTTGCAGACCGACAGTGTTGGCCTCCTCCTCCTCCTTCCTACCCGAGCTCGGGTGCGGGTCCACCCCGCCAAGGCTCAATGTCTGCATGAAGTCTCGGAACTGACTGCGAGTCTTCTCCTCGAGGTTTTGTGCCTCGCTGACGAGGAGGCTGAGGAGGTGGGCCGTTGACTTCCCTTTGAAGGCCTGAAGGACCTCCGACCTGTCAAAGAAGGAGCAGCGGCAAAACCGAACTTTGTTCTCGTTCTCCTGCGGCTGCTCAGTCTGTGTTGCCAAGACTGCTGCCAGTGAGGCACCTGGCTCAACAAGAAGATCGACTCGTCGGAGCAGCGCTGGTGGTAACGGCGGTATGACTTGGACGAGCCCAAGATCTCCTGCCGCTGCCAGGCGCTGGTCAAGACGCTTTTGACACTCTCGTCTTGGATCCTGCGAACAAGTCAGCAGGCGGCAGCTCGTCAGAGTCACTTGTCACTTCTCAAAGGGAGGGGGAAGACCCTTGAACTGCTCGACGTCGTGCGCCTCGCAAACAACCTCCACCTGCACCTCTCGTGACCGTCGGGAGTGACAGGACGCAGGGCTACCTCCCGCGTGCATGTTCCAATCAGACGAGCTCTGACCCGCCCTACTACCCTGCCGAACACACCGCTGCACCTGCAGAGATCTGAGAGGGACGAAGGGAGGAGGATGGAAGGGGAGTGAGGAAGGGAAAGAGCGACAGCGAGGCTGAAGACAAAGAGGAATGGCAGAGGGAGAAAGGAGGAATATTTCATCTCAGGAATGCACAAAAAAGGCAACCTTGCACTGATGCAATGACTGTCCCAGCTCTTGGGATCTATTTCCATCCACGTCCACCACTGTCCTCGGCTCTTGCTCTCTCCTCTCTTCCCTTCTGCAGGATCTCCATGCCCATCCACGATTAGCTGGATCGCCTCGACGTAGCCCATGTTGTGACCTCTACGTGTCATGATGAGGAAGGGAAGAGGATTGAACACAACATCACCGTATAGACAAACTCAAGTAGGTCTTATTGAACTCCTTCAAGCACAAACACCTCGCGTCGTGTGCAAGAACTTGACATGCAAGAGACCTCTCCGAGTACAAGGTCCTGGTGTTTGGCCCCTACCGAAGGGCTTAGTAGACGTTCTCGAACAAGAACATTACCGTAATTTCCTTCAATCTTGCTTTCTGCCACTGGGAGGTATTGATCCATTCCCAGATCGAATTCAGATACTGAAAACACCGTCATGTCAATTGAAGCAGACAATAGGAGTCACATACCATGCCGATGTGATTTTGACAGAAGATACTTGAGATTGATTCCATGTGCAGATTCTGCCAGATCAATTACGAACATGAACCGGAACAAAACTGATTCAATTGCCTCTTTCTCTGAAAAGATTTCCTTGAATATTTGGTACGATTCTTGCGCTTCAGTATGCAGCACTGTAACATTCTCCCTACCAAATAGCATGAATGCGCTAGTCCAACATTTCCCAGCTCACCTCGCGTGCTTGAAATATGGGAACTGCACAACCCATCGACGGACGGCATCTATGTCTGTCTGCCGAAAGATCCGCAAGGCTTCATGATTCTTCTGCACGCTTGACGAGCATGTTGCATCCTGTGCCAGCTGGCTGGAGGAGCTCGAGATCGAATCGGAGAAGATCCAATACTTCCCCAACGCGCAACCTTCATGCAGTGAAACCTACGCAAGGGTCAGGATCAGAGGCGCCAGGCGCAAAGGAGGACCTGGGCCACTTGATCCTTGACGCGATGAAGAAGATCTTGGTGACTCGTGCTCTTGGCTGACTGGCTCGTCGAAGAAGACCTCGATGAATCCTCGGAGTCTGCTGTATCGCCGCCAATATCCATCTCCAGAGATTCTTCGCCTGCCATGACGGAAGTCGATGGGGTTCTGTTTGCAAACTTCGCCCTGGTCGCGCGAGAAGCCACTACGTCCGCCTGTTGATCGGACATAGACCCCAAAGATTGAACCAGCTCCTTTGAGAAAGGATGTAGGGTGTAGGGATGGAGCTGATCATTCAAAGATGCCTTGAGACGGTCGATCAACATGGACCGATACTTGGCCTTGATGAGCGAGAGAGCCGGAACAACGTCTTCATTCCGAACGACATGCAGGAAGTGAGGACATGGCAGATCTTTGCGTAGATGCGGAACATTTCTCAGAGAAGGCGCTATAGCCTCCAGGAAACTCATTCTCTCGTCAGGGTCCTTGCTGCACATCACCGGCATACCGTAGGTGAAGCATCGCAGGCTATCTTTGAGGAGACTAGAATGCCTCTCAAGAAGAATGCACGACGCCTGGAACGCGAGTAATGCAACGAACCCGAACCCACACACGACGATCGAGTTGGCAGCTGCATAGGAAGCTTTGAGGGCCTTGACCCTCTGACCCTGATACTCAAAGAGCTCTAGCTCAATCTCCGTCACGATCTCCTCTATCAGGTTGGTGAGAGCAAGGTTCTTGCTCAGCTGGAGCATCTCGGTGACGGTGCAAGACTCCTGCTTCCTGCCGAACCATTTCGAAAACGACGACTCCCTCTCGGACCGAATGGAATGCACAACCAGTGAAGGGGGCGCGGCGATCGAGAAGAAGAACGACGGCGATGTTGTGATAGAGGGTTCAGCCCTTGATGCGAGGGAGTAAGATACCTTGGTCAGAAAGCACTTGCAACTCTGTGACAAGCTCCGTACACTACGAACTTGCACTCGGCGGGAGGACAGTAACAGTTCCCCAGCTTCTTGGATCTGAGGGAGGCAGATTGGGCGACCATCCAGGGAGAAGAAGGAATTCTGCTCATGAGACGCTTCCAGGACTAGCAGGCCATCCAGGACATCCCTTGCCTCCCTTGCAGGCTCAGACCAGAAAAGTTTCGTAGCCATTCACCGTGAACAATCCAACAGCCTTTCTAGTCGTGACCTGTTTCGCTTCTTGGCAGCATACATCTCAACTCATAGTTCTCATCGCTGGCGATGCTCTTCTGGTACTTCTCTTCTCCTCCCGATCTCTCGGCCTCTCCCTTCTGCATCGTCCAACTTTGTGCCGCCATGCGTCGCAATGCACTATGCTTGTAATTTAGGATACGCAAATTTCAAATTAGAAGACATGTAATAAATTAAGATACCTAAATGAAGAGAAAAATTAAGATACGAGGGTCAATTACGATACGATCGACTGCTAGACGGCAAGCCGCAGGTAACAATGGCAGCGGCAGGAGAGGAGGAGGACTAAGTAGCAGGATACCTGTGAATCCTTGTGTGAGACACAAGTACCTGCCTCCCTCTCCTCCTTACCAGTTCACCCTTGCCCCCCATGACTTCCTTCGGTCCTCTCCCTGTCTACTTGTGGTCGAGTTATGCCTTCTTGGAGTGTTGGTGTTGGGGCGATGACTGTATTGGTTAAGCATTGCTATGTTAGCTGTATCCTCTATGTTGTGGCTATGTTGCGCTTTCAAGATGGGAATGGAGAACTGATTTCCATCAGAGGATCTCTCCTTGCGTCTATTGATGGATTGATACGATTGTTCGCGCAGGTGATACTTTTCTTGTCATGGCCGTAGGGCTGTTGGGACGTGTCGCCTCATAACCGAGAGGTTGTCAGGACAGCTTTGCAATACCGTAAAGGAGATATCCTTGGCTAAAAGCTGCAGAGAATGAGGGGCTCTCGTCAGGATCCCGATGCAGGCTCCAAACCTGTTCAGCTCTTTCCTCTGCAAAAATGGATTCCGATATTGAAGGATGGGAGCAATTCTAGACCAGCGAATGGGAGCAAAGCATTCATAGAGCTGCCTAGCACAGTGCGACGGTTTTCGTATGAGGAGCTGTTGGTTGGAACTCAGAATCTCTCAGCGTCCCTTCTGGTGGGTCGTGGCGGCTTCGGACCAGTTTATCAACTCAAGGCCGATGGTGTTGAGTATGCAGTGAAAGTTGGAACGAACCTTCCCGACGCCGGGGTTGGACAGGGCAGGCATGAATTCGAGAACGAGGCTCTCCTCCTATGGATGTGGAAACATCCAAGAATTGTGAGCTTGGCCGGCGTAAGCGACGGTCAGTTCCCCTGTCTGATCTACGAGTACATGCCGGGGGGGAGCCTGTCCTCAGTCATCCATGACTCAAGACGGGCTGCACAGTTCGGGCCTGTCAAGAGGCTGATGGTTGCTGCTGACGTCGCCAACGCGCTCATGTACCTGCACGAGGGAGGTCGGGGGGTGAAGCCGAAGAACAACAAGGTGAAGAAGGCTGTCGTCCTACACCGTGACATAAACTCTTCCAACGTCCTCCTCGATCAGGATGGCAGGGGGAAACTCGGAGACTTCGGGCTGAGTGCGATGCTGCATGAGGTCGATGTAGATAGCGGGATGGTCATGAGCGGCAACCAGGTGGTAGGCCAATGGGCATGGTCGGCACCAGAGGCCCAGGAGCTGGGAAACATGACGGCCTCGGACATCTACTCCTTTGGGCTCATTCTCCTCCAAATGCTCTCGGGCTGTGAGGACTCTATCCTGCCCACTGTGAGAATATCCGCTGCCATGCCAGGAACAGACCCTGTTCTGGACGATCGCCTGGCTCCTCACGACCCGTGGCCGGCTATGATATCTGAAGCGGTAAGCAAGCTGTCGTATGATCCTCGTACCTCGTGACTTGTCCATCTCAGGTCTTTGATCTGGCTTTGAAGAGCTCTGATCCTACCCCAGCCCGGAGGCCCACCGCGAAGCAGGCGCTGCAAGGGATTATGGCAGCCTTGCAGATGAACGGGGCAGTTTATGTTTGCGATGAGCCCCAGCAGGTGAATGAAGATTTAAGATCTTCTTTCTCTCTTCTCGCCTTTGCTCTAGTCTCGGGTGCGACTCACCATATCTTTAGGATCCACATTTCAACCATGCTCCGTTTGAGCCTTCTCGCATTGACCACAGTGGGACGGTGTCTACCTTGCTGCATTTCACTCAGGTATTCAGCTCCTTGGAGTATCCTTGACGTGACGCGAAGAGCAGGACAGCAACTTGAATGTCAAGGACAAGAAAAGTGGACACACGCGTCAGCGAAGCCTGGGTCCTGGCGAAGTGCGACTAGTCCCTTGGAACGGGCCAAGCACGAATGCTGCTAGCGCTGTCGACAACAAGAAGGCAGCGATACAATCTGTGATGATCTCAGTATGGTTTGAAGAAGTTTTGACTGTTTTGTTGCAGGTTGTTTCCGTCTGCTGCTGCAGTGAAGAAGATGCTCGCCTGATGCTACAGGCGTGTCAATGGGACGTCAACAGGGCCGTTGACAGACTGTTGAGCGGGGAGAAAATCCAACAGCAGCCGGAGGCACCTAAGGCTCAGCCACTGATGAACAGTGCTGTCTGCCCAGGTCTGGGAACGGGAAGTGGGCATGTGAAGATAGGAGACACGGAGTTCGAAGGGAGCTGGGTGAATGGTCGAGCTCACGGTCGGGGACGATTCATTGCCAACGCGATCTCGTATGAAGGAGAGTTCCGCAACGGATTCATGCACAGCCGCGGGGTTTACAAGGCCCTAGATGGAAGTCTGGAGTATGAGGGCGAGGTATCAAGGTCTCTCCTTGACTTGCAAGCGCCTGATCGATGTTCTCGCAGTTTGTCGAAGGTTACATGAACGGTGAAGGGATCATTACCAAAGGGCCGGACCGTGTGAGGTTTCATTGTAAGTTCGATCGAGGTGTGTTGCTGTCGCAAGAGCCGTGCGCTGCGAAGCCAATGTTGACGGAGGACGAGAAGATGTTCATGATCTCGGTGTTCCAGTCCGTCGTCAGCAACAGCACCGAGCAAGAGGCTCATCGGTTCCTCTCCATGAGCTCTTGGAGCCTCCAGGATGCCATGAAGATTGCGCTGGACACCAACCCTGACAGAGTTCTCTTCGACGGGAAGCCGCTAGAGCAGGAGGGAGCGAAATTGGGCAGAGTCTCAGATCAGAGCTCGAACGCTCGTGTGCATGAGAGCCAGTCAAGCTCAGACGAGCAAGCAGTGACAGGAGCGACACGAGATAATGCACTAACTGCAGAGCAGGAAGCAACCAGGGGTGAGGCGAGGCAACAGGACTCGGACTCGAGGAGCGACACGAGCAAGGGAGGAGATTCAAGCGGTGGGGAAGCTGGAAAGAGCGTGAAGAACCTCAATGAAATCCTCCAATCTCTTCCTCCGGGTTGGGAAATTCGAAAGGACCCGGCATCAGGCAGGATTTTCTATGTTGACCACAACACCAAGACGACCCACTGGAAGCCACCGCTGGAGGCTCTTGGTGGGAAAACGATTCAGAGCAGTACTCCAGAGAGAAGTGAAGTTCGGGGAGCGACAGGTATCTCTCTTATCTCCTCGCTGCATCCTTAACAAGTGGGGCAGGCGCGTCATCGCACGAGAGGGAGGAATCTGCGGGCGCGTCGAAGGGCAGCGGGGCAGGCGAGGAGTCTCTCGCCGATGTCCTTGAAAGGTTGCAGCTGAACCACATAGGCGCGATCCTTGAGAAGGAGGAGATCCGAGACATCAAGACGCTCTCGATGCTGTCGTCGCGGGATCTTAAGGACATGGGGATCTCACAAGTGGAGGGGCAACGGATCATGGAAGAGATGATGCGGAAGCAGGTGATAAGAGGCAGATGATGGACCAGCACTGGCGCCAGCAACATCATCTGGCTTCATTCACATTCAACTCACGAGATCGAAAGAGACAGAGGGAACTGAATCGGGCAGGAGCAGGGGTGAGTGGTGGGGAGATTTCAGCCCCTACGAGCGCTGTGGGAAAATTCAAACCGAAACTTTCGAAGGATCGGAATCTTGAGGACCGAGCTCATCAGCTCCTGTGCCATGTCAAAGCTCGAAAATGCCACGTTATCATACTCTGAAGGCAAAATGTGCGGCATGTTCGTTGTCGAACTCCGCGAAGGCCGTTCTCAGGCGACTGGCAGGCGGCGATCGCATCCTCAGCTCTTTGAAGCCGCTGTGAACAAGATCGAGGCGCATAGTCACAGGAAGAGCAGGAGACATCTAGCGACTCACCGAAACCTCTCAAAAACTCGAAGCAGCTCCCCTTGTGTGATTGTCCTGTCGATATGATGCAAGAAAAGCGTGTCGGATACCTCTGTCGTTTCCCCTCCTTGATGATCACGATCCGGTTTTTTCTGTACCCCTCGTAGCTTCTGGAGATGCTCTAGTAACACTGACGTCGCATCCTGGTTGCCATTCCGGCGGGAAGGATCCAACTGCCCCTCATCCTCAAGTTGCTTCAATATCAAATCCGGACTGAGCCCCTGCGGCAAACCGTCTCGTCCTGCATTCTCATGATGTAGCTGATGAGGATCTCGCATCTCGCGATTGCGCGGATTGAGCTGCCGCCTGTCGTTGAAGGTGCGGTCCATTCTCCTCCAGTTCTGTCCATCCTGCACATTTTCCGAGGGAAGTCTACGGCCAGCACCGTTACCTGCCAAGGACTGTCTATCCGAAGAGGAGAGAAACTTGTCAGGGTTGTAGGTGACAATGCCAGTGAAGTCTATGAACCCTTTAGCTGCTTTGTCCCGCGGGATAGTGCTTGTTCTGTGTGCCACGTGGACCCGCAAGGAGAGTCGGACGTAAGGATCGAACCGGGTCCCGTTGACCTTGAGAATGTCCGTCAGAATCAACAGCAGGAGCGAAGTCTCATTGCTGCTCACCTGTCTCCCTGCATTTATGGCCTGATCAGGAGTTTCGAACGTCACAAACGCCACCAGTATCTTCCCGTTGCGATGCAGGGTGCTGTACCTGGAAAATGCAGGCAAAGTGTGAGGAATCAGCGGGAGAAATGCTCTTCTCTCTAAGGACCTGAAGCCAGGGAAGAGACGAAACCTGCAACAGCAAAAACAACAACGTCATCGTCACTGCATTCGACTAGTCGATGAGAAACTCTCACATGTTGTAGATTTCCCTTGCGCGGCAGTCGTAAGGAATCCCGCTGAGGAAGAGGCTGCAAGGTGGACCGCTCTCTTCCATTGAGTCCGCCTCCTGGCTCTCGTCATCCACTTCAATTATCTCGTTTTCAGCCATGCCGGCAAGATCTTCTGAAGTTTTGTTTTCGGTCGAAGCAACAACAGCACTCCCGTCCTCCTGCGCTTCTTCATGGTAGTTCGATTCAGGTAGAATGGTGTTGTCGCCATCCAAAGCTAAACTCTCATCGTTTTCGTCCATTGGTCTGGAAATGAAGGCTTCATTTGGTCCTGTCCCAGCATTTTCGATGAATTCGCTGCTCGCCCTCAGCTCAACAACTGCATCGGAGCCAATGCCCTCGGTCGTTGCCACTGGCTCGACGTCTTCAGGAAGTGCCGCATGCAAGAGAGACAGGATCAGCACACAACAGACAGCTCGTGCGAGCATGGCTCAACAACAGGATTGACAGTGGGGCTCACAAGAAAGGCCGAGCGCCAGCCATGCTCTCCTCTGACTCTCATGCCATGTCCCCCGTCGTTGTCTCATGGGACGCTTTCCGCTGGCTGCACCGCCAGCGGCCCGCCCCAAACTTCGCCGCTCCCGACTCGGTGGCCCGGCCCCCGCCGAGCCTGAGTCAACTGGCAAGTTTCAAGTTCCGAAGCGGCTCCTTACCGTTCTTCAATCTCACTGCCACGGTTCCGAAGTTCGGGTGACGGTTACCGGGTTACTTCGCTCGGGCCTTTCTTCTACCGTACGGTACTCATTTCCTCCCAGGCTAGTCCCAAGCATGATCTTGAACCATCGGGCCGGGCCGGGGGCAGGCGACCGTACTACGGTACGCCGCCCCTAGCCGCTAATGTAGTACCGTACTCCTGGGCAGTGGCAACGCTCAGGCTCGGCGAGAATTGCTTTGTTCTCCATTAGCTTGGTGAGTTTTTCCCATGATCAGCCTCCGAGGCTCCCCACCGTGAGTCACACAACTCGGAAGTCAGACAAGACGGAAGTGAGTTCAAGTTCGGAATCCAGAAGAGGTCATTCAAAGTTAAATTAATCAGGAGAGTCGAGGAGGCTTGACCCTGACACTGTCGCACTGGCCGCCCGCAACTTCGGCGCAGTCGGCAAAACGTCGCAGCGAGAAGAGAAAAGACAGCGAAAACCAAACCTACTATGCTGCCAACTGCCCGGGCCGGGACTCCAGGCGGGCTCCGAGATTGGGCCGGGCCGGGCCGCGGGGCCCCGGGCCGCCGGCCGTCGTTACTAAGTCAACACTGAGAACTGAGTTGTCCCGGTCCTCGTACTGATTTTTGACTTAACTTTGAGTAAGGAGACGTAGCATGAAGAAAAGGCAAAAAAGAAAAAAGAGGTAGGTGTGGTCGTAGAAGCCAGCGAAATTAGTGAAGTGGGGGGTTCAGTTTCGGGGGTGGGGTCCAAATTTGTGGGGTTGGGGAGGGTTTCTTGTGAAAATTCAGATGGGTGGGGTAAAGAAGATAGGTGAAACAGGGGTACTCGATTCGATATATATTGGAGGAAGGGGTAGGGGACTACAGTAGTGCGATTGACTACCCCCACCCAGCACCGAATAATCCTCGCAGAGGGCAGGGGTTATATTTTAGTTGATGTGCTCCATGTGGGGAAAAGCGAGAGGGGAAAGGGGGACAAGGGAATGAATACGAGAGCAGCAGAGGGGGGGAAGACGATGCCGCAAGGCATGCAGCTCTTTATCCAGACCGCAAGCATGGCAGATAACATAACGCCAGCAACTCAGATCTGACTCTCTTCGGAACTTTGACTGCAGTATTTGTTCCCACACATCCATATCAAATCTCTTGCATCCTTTCAGTTAAAAAGATGCCCTCTGAGCAAAACGTTCTCACCAAGGATTCAAGTTTTGGAAATGATCCAATGACCTGCTTGCTGCATGACTTGTGCGCGCTCTCAGGACTCGGCTATGCAGAATTTTGGAAGCGGGACAGGAGTGATGTCGATCTTGGGAAATCCCATGAGCCCTCAAATGACGAGCTGCCCTATGCTCGAGGTACAGATGTAGGCCAGTCGAGCTCCATGCCAGGACAAGATGTAAATGCACGTTCTGAAATAACAGAATCACGCCATTCACGGACATTTCACAAAGAGGTTTCATTCGATGACAAGAACAAGTCCAATAGCCGCCCTGCCCATGATGATGTAAAAGCTCGTCGAGGAATTTCTCGTCGGGGGCTCGGTAACAGCAGTCGTTCGCACATGCCTAGCATATGTGAGATCAATGCATTTGAAAGAATCTCCATTGATCGAGTTTGGTCTAGCTTCCTTGACGATGATGGCCGAAGAATCTCTCCACATTCAAACCGGGGTGCATCGGTTGATCTGTGGCGGGATCTGATCGCAGTGCTGATGATTTTCTAGGAAACAAGCAGATCTAGAAAGGATCTTGAGCGAAAGGTATGTGTTTCAAGTACAAAGTTCTGAAATTGAATAATCTTGGGTAGGCTAACATGGTCTGGATACGCTTACGCGCACCAAGACATGTTTGAGATCGCAGTTGAAAACTCTAAATGCAGTCATGTGATATTGTGTTTTAAAATGCCTGAATTTTTTTTGACGGATGTCAAAGGACTGGCCAAGTACAATAAAGGCGCTGGAGGAAGTTGCTAAAGATGATGTATGTGCGTATGAAGAAGGCCATGGCGTGATAGGAATGGCTTGGCAACAACGTCGGCCCTTTTGGTACGACATCGCTGCATCGGTACTCTCCTACTGTTCTCAAATATATATGATGGATAATTTTCCAAACCAAGACTTCAGAGAATTCTGAGTCGTCGACGTTTGACGCAAGGATGTCACTTGCAAAGGTGAAGATGCAACTGTAGTGAAATATGAGCTCAAGACACCCAGAACGTCTTCGATTTTTGCGTCGGGATCCCTGTGTTGCATCCACATTATGGTATTGTGGAAGGGGTGATCCTTTTCTTTCACCTGGACAACAAAAAGATAGAGCTTCCAGATGAGGTTTGTCCTGTGATGAATGGGCAAGATCATTCAAACGGCTGCAGAATTGGAAACAATACATGAAGGACCAAAGCATCATGGAAATTTTGGCTCAAGCTTCTCGCACAATGTACTGGACGTACCATCTTGGGGTAGATTTCATTGATTGCCTTTGAAAATCAATCACACTTTGCGCAGTCCTCCATGAACTCGTGGTTCAGTATGATTGATGCTCAGAAGATGAATTCTGTTTGATTTCTTGACGCATTTTGGGTTTCCAGTAACTTTCGATGTAGGTCGCCTTGATAATGGGAGCAAATGACGATTCTAGGAGCAAGAACGAAGTTTTACCTCCCAAAGCATGGGACAAGCGAACGAGACATTTCTTGCGCAAATATTTTCGGAAATTCAAAGGCCAGGTATTTACGCATTGGTCCAATTCTGTGCCAATGCCTTCGTTTAGAATGCCACCCCCCCCGGGCCATACAGCTGGCAATACTCACTCTGGTCGTTCGTTGGGACGTACCTGGGTACCTTCATCATCACGGTGAACTTTGGACCGTTCAGTGCAAAGCTGACTTGCTTTTTCAAGTCGATCAGTAACTACATGAAGTATAACACAGATTATGGACAATACACAGCGACATTGTCAGATGGTATTCCAATCTTTTTAGCCAAAATAAGAAATTTACGATCCAACGTTTGCACAGGAACCCAAAAGATTGAACAGGGCTACGTTTTTCTTCTGATAAACTCAATGGGCGCTGTCTCTGCTATGCTTTTTTCAGTTCCGAGCTCGCCGTTGGCCCAGGCACATTCATATCGTACTCAACTTGAATTTTTCCTGATCTACTCTTGACAGCCGAGAAATGTTGTTTTTGGTCATTTGATAGCCGTCACTCTGGCCATTGCACTGGTATGATGAAAATCTTTTGCGCTTTCTTGCTGACATGACAATCAAGGACTATCTGACCAACCCTCGTTACTTGCGTCTTTTCCCAAATGTGTGACAAGCACAAGCGATTATTCGAAATAACATTTCTGACTAGTGGGTCGGCGCTCCATTGGCTCCAGCTCTAGCAATTGGCATTCAAGCAAAGGTAGCTCCTCGGGTCATAGTTTTGTCTCATATTTCATAGCTGGGAATAATCCATCCGCCTTCGTGCTCCGCGTGTGTGATCTATACCATGGGCTTGCCTTACGTCAAGAACTTGGTAGCGTTTGCTCCCTTTGTCTTGCTAGTGTTGGTGAAATCGGTTGGCAGGGCTGGCTGTACTTGGCTTGTCCCGTTTTACTCGATTGTGTGGTACGCACATAACGCTGAATCTTTTGTTTCTGATGCCCACGAACAGCTCTTGGTCGTCGTGAGTTTGCTATTCAACAATCTTTCCAAGGACAGAAGTTATCCTCTTTACTGGTGACAACTGAATGAGTTTAGTGTATCAAGAGGCAGAGCGAAGTAACATCTTACCTGATGTTTATTCCTTCCGATTTTTCCGATTTTTGGATCATTACTGTACCCAAGTAAAGCTGAGATATCTGTCAAACATCATGGCACTTTTCACAGTGGAATGGAATGAGACATCACAAAAGTAGTCTGAAGCATCTTCTCAGTGACTTGATTTCGGCATTCGCCCAGTCCGATGCCTCTCTCAATTTGAAATTCCATGGTCAAGTCCTTCACAGCCATTGATCTAGCCCGCCTCCGGATTCCACATAAAGAATGCGATAGGGCAGTTCGAGGTTTTGCTACTATATCCACTCAGTCCGGTCATCTGCCTCGGATGTCTTCGGATACTACCGTCGTCGGCAACGAGATGGCGGCAAAGGGCATGCCAACCCTCCAATGCTGCTGATCGCTCTGTGATCGCTCTTGTTGCATCCCATCATCATCTTTCTCTGACCACATAACGTTTCATTCATTCGCTATCGTCAAATTTGATTTCTCGACAAGTTCTTTCGAGAGATTGAATGTGAGGATGAAATACAAACAGCAGTTTTTGAAATTAACTTCAAAATCGCAGTGAATCATGGGAGAGTTCGATGTCGGCATTTACTTTCAGAGCTCGAGGCATGGAAGATGTCACACAGTCTCGAGACTCACTCCTGGAGGTAGCGACGATGATGAAGAAACCTCACAACTCATGCCGTGGTGAATCATGTCAGGTCCGGCAGAGAAGTCCTGTGCCGTTGAGATCGGTCATCGCATTGTGATGATCAACGAGAAGGTATGAAATGAAGCTGCAGGAGGTTATGGGCACATTCAACTTGTGATCTTCCAGGACGTTTCGACTTCTTCGCTGCAAGAAGTTGAAACTTTTCTGAGGGGCCCGAAAGACTCCTTGGTCAACGTCAAATTTCTTGAGATGAGGGAAATTCGATTGACGATGGAGAGATGCGTCAAGATTGAGGTGATCGAGGATCTTGATAGCGAGCAAGCTGAATCTTGATCGCAGAATTCTTATTCTGTTGGCATCATATGGAAAAGAGGGGAGGAGGGGCTGGTCGTCAGCGGAATATCCCCAGGTTGTGCAACAGCTACTGAACATCATCGCATCCTTCTTACTTTTAACATGAACAGAATATTATGGATTCGGTGTGTTGCCGAAAGCCGGGGACAGGCTGCTGAAGATTGATGGGGAGGTTGATGTGTTGCGATGAAGCTGCCGCCTGAACCCTTGACAGAGCATCGAGTCGATGAGATTCGACGACATCACCATGAGGCTTGCTGGGCCGCTCAACACGAGCGTGAGGCTTGACTTCGCCCGAGGAGTTGCTCATCACACTGTGACGTTGAAGCGCGAGTTGTCAGCTCCTGCACGGGGCCTGACTCCAAGTGTGCTCGACCCTCAGATTGTGGACCTTCAGAGCAACGTCCGGTTGATCAACACCCAGCAAGCTCACAGCCATGCTCATCCTGGATCTTCGAGTGCCTGGGAAGTCTTCGATGAGCCAGAGCCAACCCCTGGGTCCAGAGTTGACCAACGAATGGTGGAGACGGGCAGGAGCCCAGCTCCTCTGACCTCGAGCTTCAACGACACGAGTGCTTCTAGCGCCCCCAGTGCTGTCACAACGAGGCCCTACGGTAGTTGGAAGACCTTCAACGAGCTTGCAGGTCTGGACAACAGAGAGGCTGAGAAGAAGAACACACTCCCTCCGCAGGACAGGAGCAACGAGGCCGATCCAAGGCGAGCTATGCCGTATTCGGCCAACACTCACCAGCCTGCTCATGGTTATCCGGTTCTTTCAGCCCCCAAGGTTCCTCAGGGTATCGAGAAAGGCGAATCAAATGCCGTTTCAAATGCTCAGTTGAATCACCTCCAAGAGGAGAACCGGACTCTTGCGAATGAGAAGAAACTTCTCCGAGAGCAGTTGAATGAAATGAAGAACAATCTAACCAATGCCGAACAGACCCTAAGCAGGAAGGAAGCAGAGCTGAACAGCGTCAAGACTGTCCTCTCTCGCCGAGCAGAGGCTGCGGGTGAGACAAGGCGGCAGATTGAAGATCTGTCTGCTACCATCGTGTCATTGAACGAAGAGAAAACCAACCTTGCTCTCAAACTCGACAAGACGTCATCTGACCTCAGTCAAGCTAGAGCTCAGATACAGGATCTTCAAGACTTGAGGATCTCAGAACGACAGAAGCTGCAAGACGATGCTGACTTTCAGATGAGGAGAAGGTTTGACGACTACACAAGGCAGATAGAAGCTTTGAATGCGGACCTTCACACCCGCGATGAGCAAGTGAAGATTGCGCAAGGCAAGGTCAAAGAGCTGAGTCAGGCTCTTGTCGATGAGAAGAAATCCCTTGAAACCTCAGAAGGACAGCTGGCAGTGGCGAACAACGAGATCATCAGACTACAGCAGAATCGCGCTGAGCTGGAATCGAGTCATAAGGATCTGCGATCGCGGTATGAAGGTGTGGTGCAGCAGTTGAACGTGCAGCAGGTCAAGAACTCAGAGTTGATCGATGCGGCAAGAGAACAGGAAAATAACATGGAAGCGCTCAAGGCTTCCAACGAGAAGGTGTTGGAGGAGATAAGACAGCAGCTGGTGGCTCAATCTGATGACTTCATGCGAGTCAAAGAGGAGATGCAAAGATTGCACTTGCAAGAGCTCGAAGATATGAAAGAAAAGCACCAGATTGCGATCGATGAAATTCGACGAGCCCAGGCCGACGCGGATACCAAGGCTCAAGATTATGAGAAGAGGATCCAAGAAGTTGAAGTTGCAAACAGAAGCCTTTCAGCTGAGTTGCAAGAAGCAGAAGCTTCCTACAGAGAGAACATGGTGGACATGAAAGAAAGGCACGAGTCAGAGTTGGCTGAGCTACAACAGAAGCTTGATGTGACCATGAACAAATGCGAGAAGTTGAATGAGGCGTGCGCTAATTTCAAAGAGCAGTTGGCTAACGCCAAACGAACGATTGAGGCGCAAGCGCTTTCATGTCAAGAAGAGCGAAAATGTACGGAAGACTGGCAGCAGAAGGCAGAGAAGAGTCAAGCTCAAGTGCAATCACTCGAAGAAGAGTTGAGAAATACCCACCAGCTCATGATTCAGCTGGATATTTCAAGTACACGATTGAGGCTGCTGGAGCAATTCCAGCAGAGAATTCAGTTCGAGGCTCACAAGAAAAGTGAGCAGATACGGCAGCTACAAGGAAACTTGCCCTACGCGCAGCTGGGAGGCATGCTGCAAGAAGCGCATGTCTCCCTAACGTCTCTACAGGAGCTCGCTGAGGTGCGGGAGAAAGAAGGTGCTCTTTTTTGCTGTCTCTGGAACTTCTGACTAACAATCATCTGTTTTACGAAATTGTGATCACACACTTCCACTTCAAGTTGGTAATGATTGCATTCTCTTTTGATCTAAAAATTGAACATGATTTCAGGTTTCTACAAGCAAAAGTTGAATGAATTGATGAACGCAAGGGAAATGGGTGTGGAGACTGAAAAGCAGCTGTGGAAATACAAGGTCTCACTCGCAGCAATCTATCATACTGCAGGCCTGAGACTATTATCAGGAACAGCTGGATTGGAAAACGATTGCACTTCAACAAACGCTGGATTCCCTTTCGAACTGTCAGGTTCTCTGATGCCTGATCATGTTTCCTTCAACTTCTAACCATTCCGGGATAGGTCCTCATGCAGAAACATGGAGTTCCGCAAGATGAGATAGACAAGGTCCGTCTGCTCCAGCTGAGAACAAGCTTTTTCATCTGACCTTCTCCTCGTTTGCCCTGTAGGTGACCAGCGCCTTGACTGTCAGTGCCCAGCACGCAAGACCCTATGAAGAAACGTCGCAAGCTCTCAATCCGGGCAGCATCACCATAACAAAGGCTTCCTATGACGTCAACGCCGTAGCCATGACCTCCCAGGTGACACACGCGAATATGAAGAGCACGCCTGACTGGCTGGTTTAGCATGACGGCGCTAGCAAGTATCGGTCGGCCAACGCGGCACCTCTGCTCTACTCCGGCATGGTAGGCCTGGAAGGCGAGGCGATGAGGTCGGTGACGTGAACCTGTCAGCCGCCTGCCATGTCCGACCCGAGGATGGCTCAGCCCGGGGGGATGAATCTCGACGGCTACTCGAGGTCACGTGACCTCTGGCGATGCTGGCGCGTGACTGCTGTGCGACAGGCCGGTGGAGGGCGACTACCACTTCTCCTCGGGCAGTTACGCCTGATGACGACAGGGAGGATCGATGGCAGAGCCTCGCGTCCGTCTCGCCATCATGAAAGTTTTGTTTCATTCACGGCTTTTGATAAAGATCCACGGGACCTGCCGAACGCGAAGACATCAACCCCCTCCTTCTCCTCGCTCTCCTCGATGATGCACATGAGAGCCTCGCCCGCGCCCTCCTTCCTCTCCTCATGGAGATCTACCGGGGAGACAGGAACGAACATAGACTTGAAAGACTCCAGCACGCTATCTGACGTCTCTACCATGGGCTCTCTAGCCTCATTCCATGTCACGCTATACCTGTCATGCCCGTACTCAGGTGGGACCACTGGACAGCCTAACGCCCCTCACCTCTTCTTGTGCGACATGATGAACACAGCATGAGGGAGTACCTCAAAGAGTCTTCGAACCGCCGAGTGCAAGAGTTTGGCCATGTGCGAGGAGTACAGCAGGTCGCTTCCCACGATGATGCTCACGTCGGAGCCTCTCCCGAAGGCGTCGAAGTGTTCGTCGTTGCTCCAGTCCAGTTTGCATTCCACACACTTCCCGTCAAGACCGTTCAGCTGGATGTTAGCTCGAATAACCTCCAGCACAACCTCATCATAGTCAGAGATGTACACTCTCCTCGCCCCCAGCTTCGAGAGGACCATACCAAGGATCCCTACCCCCGCTCCGATCTCTAGGACAGCCGCGCCTCTGAAGAGGTTGCTGTTCTTCATGCAGTACTCGCAGAGCTTCTTTGTCGCCCCTTGCCAGACATCGAGACCGATCAGGTCACTGTCATCGTCACACCTCAACCCCGCCATGACCAACTTTACTCCCTCATCTACCGCCATCTCTTCCATGTCCAACTCTTGCTCACAAGCTGGATCACTGGCAGGGTCCCCCTGCTGCTCTGCTCTTGTTGACGGCTCCTCTTCTTGATCTACCATACTCCCCTCCTCCTCCTCCTCCTCCTCCTTCTCCCCTGGAGCTCGTCTGCACAGAGCGCGCACCTCCTGCCCGGCTACCCTCACACGCATTAGGCGCAGCATGGCTGGTATAAAATACAAGCCAGCCTCGGAATGCTTTATTAGAAAAGCAGAAGAGACAGCAAAATTACGAGGACTTGAAGCGTGTGAGATTCCAACTTGACGGCTCTTGGGCAAGGAGATCGCAGTGGCGAAGAAGAGCAGGGAGGAGCGGTCTTAGTGAGAGAGTCAGCAGGAGAAGCAAGAGAACGAGAGCAGAGAGGAGAGAGGAGAGAGGAGAGAGGAGAGAGGAGAGAGGAGAGAGGAGAGAGGAGAGAGGAGAGGGAGTCAACGAGCGCTATGGTGAAATTCCTAGAGATTTGTAATTCGGCGGACCAGAATAACCTGGCCTTTGTGATCGTGCTGATTGGAAGCTGCCTCCTCAACCTACTTCTTAGCCTGTTCATCTTGTTCGTCCTGTTCTGTACAGGAAGAGGAAGCAAGGCGTCGAAATCCAGCAGCTACGTCGAGCCTGCAGCGTCCAACCCCGAGAAGAGCGACGTGAAGTCATTCCTACAGTTTCAGCCTGTACAAGTGACAACTTCTAACGATCTTGACGATGGGGGAGCGATCAAGGTGCCGCCTCATGCACTTATGATGACTGGCTGCCCTGCTGCTCACGCCGACGTCTGATGGTGTTGTGATCGAGCAGGATGAACTCAAGAAGATGTCGAGGGAGATTGCAGACCTGAGCTCCAAGATGGAGAACAGGAGGCTGAATGAGATCACAGCCAGTAACCTTGTCTGCAAGCCTAAGGTCTCTCTGTGACGCCATGGCAGGCTATCTCCTGCACAACGCGCACGACGTGATCGGCAACGGCGTTCCCACCTCCGCTCAGGTCAGTCTCCCCCCCCCCCCCCCCCCCCTGTCGCGCTCCCGGTGACGCTGGCTGCAGGTCACTCTAGAGCAGATCAGCGCGCATCAGGTATGTTTGACCCTCAGGAGAGCTGACGAGCTGAGAGGACGTGACAGGCTCACGTGCGGCTGCGAGTCGACGACATCGACCGCAAGGTCGGCAAGCTCGAGTACCTCCTCGCCAAGATCACCAGCTGATGCAAGAGCAGCCCACCCGTGGCTTGTTTGCTCCCATGTCGACATGTCAACAACTATCAGCCCTCAGTGTCTGTAGTGATAGAGTACTTTACAGATTTACAACTTCCACGCCAAGCTCCGTCCTCTGCTCCTCGCCTCCCGCGCAGCTCCCATCCCGCTGCTCCCATCATTCCTATGCTCAGCACACTCCATACGTGTACGGGGCAGAGGATGTATCCTCCATCGCTTGCAGTGGTACAGGGTCATCGATCAAGACTGCTTCCCCTTGCTTGTGAACTAGTCGACCTTTCACCCACACCATTGCGACATTCACCTCCGAACCGAGGTTGATTAATTTCTCAAGGAGGTGCATGGACGAGTCCGAATCCCACACGTCTATCCCCCCCCTCGCAGCATCCAGCAGCACAGCGTCGAAGCTCTTCCCTGCCTCCAAGGTTCCCACCTGCCCTTCAATCCCCAGAGCCTTCGCCCCTCCCATGGTTGCCAGGTGAAACGCGTGTCGCCAGTCTAGCAGCTCGTCGCTCTTGATAGGTGCGAAGTTTCTGGTGACCTGATGGGCGATGACGGCGTTTCTCATCGAATTGAGCATGGAGGGGCTGTATCCTCCAGCTACATCGGTGCCCAGAGCGACCTTGTTCCCAAGAGCGACGATCTTGGCGGTCGGCAAGACTCCATCGGCGAAGAAGAAGTTGGAGAGCGGACAGTGAGAGATGCTCGTTCCCCGTTGCCGCAGCGTGCGCAGGTCCTCATCGTCCAGGTGAACCCCGTGTGCCATGATCGTCTTGTCGTGCAGAAGTCCGCAAGTGTCGAAGATGGTCGTGTCGGACTTGAGGTGGGGATACCGCGACTTCACCATGGCGATCTCGTCCAACGACTCTGAGATGTGAGACTGCACGTGACAGTCATACCTGTCCGCCAGCGCGCCCAGACCATTCAACAGCTCCATGCTGCAGCTGGGAATGAACCTCGGGGTTACCACTGGATGGACAAGCTCGCTTCCCAGGCCTCGCACGGACTGAATGAACCTCTCCGTGCTCTCCAGCGACTCCTCCGTGCTCTCAATGTAGTCTGCCGGCGCCAGGCTGTCCATGCAGACCTTACCGATGTATGCTCGCTGACCTCGCGAGGCCGCAAGCTCAGCAAACGCTATGCAGGACTGCAGGTGGATCGTAGCAAAGTAGAGAGCACAAGTCGTTCCATTCCTCAGCGTCCGATCGATGACGGACGAGTAGACTCGCTTCGCTGTCTCCACGTCTCGCAGACTGCTCTCGGCCGGGAACGTGTACTTCTGCAGCCAGTCCATGAGGGGGAGGTCAGTCGCTGTCCCCGTGTAGGAGTACTGCGGCGCATGGATGTGCGTGTCGATGAAGCCAGGCACAAGCATCTGGCCCCTCTCAAGCTTCACAAGCTCGATGCCCCACTCCTCGTTCAACACGCAAGAGCCTGCTGCCCTGCCCTGCATCCACAGCCTGACTGGCTCGTCCTCCAGCTCCTTTAGTCGCGTCACCACAATGATCTTGCCTCTCTGATCCACCACCAGAACAGCTTCCTCCATCACGTCGATCTGCAGCGAGAGCTTCAGACCAGCTCGCAAGCATCCTCCCCCTCACCTTGCCGTACGCGGTTGCGTGCGCCATGGTACCAAAGATTACCAGCCGGGCATCCGCCTCGACCCACCTGATCGGCACCTGCGGGTGGCTGCCGCTGACTCCCATGTGCTGCCCATGCGCGTCAAAAAAGAAGACAAGCGAGAGCAACACCCGCTACCTCCTCCTGTCGCCTTCCTCCTCTCTCCTCCTGTCGCACTCCTCCTGTCTCCTCCTTTCGCCCCTCCGACGCCATGGCAGGGCTGCAACGTACTAGTCATAGTCACATCAACTGTCAAGCACAATCGGTACGGGGATCGCAGGTGGTGAGACCCGAGCGAATTCTGCAGGTTTGCAGCAGACGGCGATTCCCAAAGACGAGGCGAGAGCGAGGAGGGCGTCTCTTCTGCTCTCAGCTGGTCTCCCTGCTCGACTGCGTGCTGGTATCTGTGCTGGTCTTCAGGTGGACTAATCTGAGGCTCTGGTACCTAAGCAGGGACAGTCATGGGATGAGCAAGCTTCAGGTGCTCACCTCTGGCTCCCGAGCTTCCTCTTGGACCCTCTCGGAATCGATCGGAGCTGATGAGCTCGCACGGGAGGCGGGAGACTGGAGGGTGTGCTTGTCCACAATCTCCTTCCTCGCTGACAGGATCGCGTCTAGTTCAGACACGTTCCCGTTCTGTGAGCTGACTGAGGCCAGCTTGCTCAGACTCCTCCCGAAGGGCGACGGGCTACCGACGGAGTCATGGAGGGAGGAAGGAGTGTCTGCGGATCTGAGCGGCGAGAAGGGATCTGGAGGAGAACGATGAGCGAACAAGAGCAGGAGCGCTGAGGCAAGCCTGATCTCGAGGGGGAGGAAGTCTTGTGCTCCAGCCTAGTGGGGGTGAAGGACGACATGGAGTGGTTGAGACTCGACACGTGCTGCAGCCTCTGCGTCAGCCTCGCTGCTGCCCGGTCAGAGAGGTGAGAAATTGAACCACCTGGCCTGGCGGAGATGCCGTGACGGGGGGCGAGTGCAGGTTGAACCTCTTGGGCGTGCCGTCGGAGGTAGCAGGAGAGGTTCTCCGCGAGGAGAAGGTCTTGGGGTTGAGGGCATCGTCTACCCTCTCCACCTTGTGCAACTGGTCGTCCTCGTTAGGACCCTCGAGCTGCCGCCCGCTCTCAAACCTTCTTTGTGATCTTCCCTTGCATCAGGATACTGCACGGATCCCTTATTTGATCTTCAAGCTCCCGGACTGCAGCCAAACTCAAAACCCCGACAACATGATCGTCTCATTGCATTACTGATGAACTCTGGCGAGATCGACTTGCCAAACATGATGATCCCGATAGTCGCAATGATACTCCCACGGCGCATGCCAAAGATGAGAATTTGCCTCCTCGAGATTTTCAACGCTGCTGCAAGGTCTTGTATCAATTGCTCTTGGTACCTGAGGGTGGAATCAGTCGCAGACAAGAGCAGCATGTGGTCCTGGAACCTCTTCCTTGTGTCGTGCGACAGCGCCATCATGTCGTAGTTGTCCTCAAGGGTGAGAGAGACGATGATTGGATCTTTGACGTTCAGTCGCGGGCTGAAGAAGTGATTGGAGATCGGAATGACACTCTCGAGGTTCAGCTTTTTGACTTTGGGTGCCATGACTGGAGTGGGAGGATTATCATCGTGGGTAGATGTGGAGAGATTCAGAAGCCCGTCTGCTCCCGTCCCTCCTCCCATGCTCGTCGACTGATCCAAACGGAGATGGAGGTACAGGCGACAGAAATCAGCCTGTGAATGCGCGTTGAGCTCATTCGACGTTGATCCCGCCTCATCGGCCGCGTGCACACAGTACCAGCCTCCTCGCGAGCTGTGCTCTTCCTTCAAATGTCTCAGGGAGATCCCATCCAAGAACCCGATCTTTTCTCGCGAATGATTCGAACTCACTAACGGCGAGGAGCGCTGTGTAGGACACCAGTAAATGTCTACCTGCACAGAGCCATATGCTATCATGGTCTCATCCAGCATGAAGTCGAAGTAGGAGTTCCATGAGGGGTCAGCAACGCTTGCAGTCTTGGTCATAATGACGTTGGTGTGACCCGGACACATGATTGAAACCGAACAAACAAGTTCACCATCTCCTTGGAGGTTTCTTCGCAACAGCTCGAAGTTTTCGCAAGAGCCAACGTACAATGAGAAGTTCTGTCTGCCAGGTTGTGACCGTTGAGGAGACATTTGCGACGCAGCAGAGAGGCTGTCAGAGTCCATCCACCTGAGGACATACGAATCTTCCGTGTTCGTCTCTGTATGCTGATCCCTCAGCTCCTCCAAGGGGGAGGCGCCGTGATGGCGGTTGTCGCTTCCGTCCCCAGCCTGCCAAACTTTCCTGGGTGTGACGGGCGATAGAGAAGACGGGGAACCTCCGTGCTGCTGGAAGTGCATGTCTGCCAACCTCTCGTAGGCTGCCGCCACCTCCGCACCCTTCCCTGTCCTCACCGCCTCCTCCATCAGCTCCTCCAGGCCAGGGCCCGGCATGTCTACCGGCGGTGGGGATTGAGGTGGGGGTTGGTAGGCCCAGAGGGAAATAGGTGAAGTATACAGTGAGGTGGTAGTGGATTGGTCAGAGGGACTGCACATGGCGTTGAAACACCAAGTCTGCGAAGCGCGCCAGCTCTCTCTGCCCAGCATCGAATGCTGCCGTAGCACGCACATGCGTCCGAGACCCGCAAACACTCATCGTTGACGAAGCATGTCGCTTACAAGGCTCGAAGGAAACCTTGACATGCAAAGAGCGATGGAGAACGGCTGAAAATCGGCGAAATAAGAGCAGACCCAGGATAAAAAGAAAGAGTGAGACACGAGAGCAGACAAATCGTTTCTGATTGAGTGGCAAAACAACACAGAAAAGTGTGAAGGCTTAGAGATTGTCAGGAGCTGATTGCGGTTGTAAAGAGAGAAGAAAAAATAATCCGCCCACGACCGCCTGCATGGATGGTGAGGACATCACTTTCGAGCAATTCAACACTTACTATCAAAGCAAACAGAACAGGAAAGAGTGTGGATGAGAATGAGCTTTGGTTGGTCGTGCTGGCCATATCCAGATCTGTGTTCAAATCAACTTGTCGTCGCAAACATCGAAGACAAGAGTACCTGATAGATCTTCTTCCTCCGCAGCAAGATCTGGGTTCTTCTGCGCTGAATTATTACTGCATAGCATCCAGCACGAGCAATACAACAAAATTTACCGCCTCCCAATCTTCTATCAAATCTGAAAATAGTTCACAAAAAGTCTTGTCCTTCAAGTTTGTGCGCATTGATTTTCTTGCAAGCTGGTCAAACGTGAGATATCATTAGTGAGAAACATAAATTAACCTGTCGTTTTACACTTTCACTGGTAGTGATAGTGCCAATAGCAGGCACACTATCCAACATGAATGATACCACTCCTTGCAAGATGGAAGAAACTGTGTTTAAGAGTCACAGTGAATCCATCACGGTACGTCATGAATTCCACTACAGTGGAATTCATGCGCCAAGAGTAGATTGTTCGTGATTCGATCAAAGTTCTACCTGACCACATGCAGTTCCAAGTCTCCGGATGGAAATCAGACATGCTAAGACAAATCCGTTGGTTCGGCTCAAAGCGGCCGCTTGGGGTGAGCATCCGGATAGACGGTGGCTTATAAGGGTACTCCTGGGGAAAGCGGATGATGCCGTGATAGTATCCTCCCTGGTAAGGCGAGCCAGCAGGTCCTTCTATGACAAAATGCCATTCGAGCATGTTTGAGGGGAGAGGCTACTCGAACGTCAGCTTGTGCGGGCGAGATGACGATGGGCTCTCACCGTTGCATGTACTCCAGCCACAGGCTCCTCCTTCAGCTTCTTCAACTCGCGCTGTAATCGTTGCTGAGATGATCACAGTCATGCATGACGATCATGAAAGGATAATTCGTTGATACCAAGTTCTGTTTGCGCTCTGCAGGATGCATCTTCAACCCCTGAAAGAAAGAACGATTCCGACAACCAAACTACCTCGCTTTGTGTTGTTGTCAATTCACTCGGGTCAAATCAGCAGATGCTGGAGAGTTTCAACTGGCAGTGACAAAGAATAGTCTTAGAAAGTCATTCAGAATGTCTCAATTCAACGGGACGAGATTAAATCTTCAAGCACAGCTGTTCGTAGCTAGCGAATGTTCTTTCCACTCTTAAACACTCCCATTCATTCCCACCAACAATACAAATTCATCCCTGCTCCTTCTTCTCTGCAACCGGTCAAGACTAACATCTCTGCTTCTTCTGTCGTCCTTCACCTCCCTGCATCCTTCGTTTCTCCATCCTATGCGTACCCTCACTCCAGCAGCCCCAGCATGTTCCTTTACCCCGAGGCCGCAGAGCCCCAGGGTCCCACCCAAGGTCGTGGATCTCTCGAGTGAGGTACCTAGCGAGAGAGAGAAGGACCTCTCTTCTGCCCTTCGAGACCAGCTTCCCAATGATCCTGAGGCGGGCGCTATCTTCTAAAAACGTGACTGAATAAGTTTGAAGCCGTCACTGTCACTGTCACCGGGCCGGGTCGGACCAGCCTGCCGCGTGCAGCGGCCCGGCCTGAGCCCCGGGCCCGGCGGGCCGTCGTAGGATGCCACTGGCGGCCTGAGGGCTGAGCCAGCCGGGACAAAACTGGCCGGGCCGTGCAGGCCGCTTGCGGCCAGGCTCGGAGTCTGAGTGACATGGCAATGATGATAGCCGGGCCCAACAGTGAAACTTTACCGTGCGTACGGTGTCGATCCGAGTCGTCGTCGGACCGGGACCGTCCGACGGTCTGCGTCAACCGTTGGCCGCGGCCCGGTTCCTGGCAACTTGAAGTGAAGGCGAGCTGCGGCCCCGGACCACGGCCGCCGGGCTGGGCCCGGGGTGCGGCCACTGAGGCTGAGGTCTGTCTGGCTCAAATTTTCAAGTCACTGAGTGACTCAAAGTTACTAAAAAAAAAGTCTCCGGCCCCCGGATCATGGCACCCGGTGGTCGGTCACCGGGTCACGGGGTGCCGGCCCCGGGGGCCGGCCTGGCAGTGGCGGCGGGCCGGCCTGGCGGAGCGCAGTCACTATATCTTCTTGAACTTTAGTTACTTCTCGGATTCTATGTTCCATGGAAGCAGGATTTATTTTAACGGGTAGGGGTAACGGGTAGAGGTACTCATCTGGCTTGGTGGTAGACAGTTTCACAGCCATAGCGTTCGAATGATGGCATAAGTAAAGAGGATACTAGAATTTGCTATTCTCACATTCGAACTTTCGAGGAGGTATGGACTGGTGTTATAAACATGCGAACGAGAATTTTGAGGGAGGGGTAGTCACGATTTCAGGCTAGTTTGTTGTGGTGCGGGGGGTAGGCGTTATTGCTAAGGCGTACTGTGAGGCCATGTCGAGATTAATGGCGGCCGTAGTGATGAGTCTGGGAACAGCGTGCGCTTTCCATGGACCCCTTCCTCTCTCCCCTTCCTCTTTCTCCCTTGCTTGGCCGACCTCCTCTCGATCCCTCCCATTGTCACCGGTGTCTCAATCTTGCTCAGCGTTTTCCCCGCTGGTGTCGAGTGGAAAACAGTTTGCCAAGGTCAGCCTGCGCATGGCGGGAACCTTTGGCAACAACGAGGATCCAGAAGACGAGAGAGGAAACTCCTTGCCTCTCTTCTACAGGAGTGACAATGGCACAAGGGACTCAGAATTCCGAGGCATTCAGTCGAGGGATGATGGACCAATCAATCCTTATGTTGAGATGCTGGAATCTATCTCCCCCGGAGAAATGGTCGGTCAGTTCATGGCAACAGCATCTCCGAGAGTTCAAACCGCAGTGAAGAATACGATCATGGGGTTGCTGGGAAGGTAGACTCAACTTCATGCTCGCATTCAAATAAGTCTCTTCTTCAGCCTACGCGCCTCCCCTGCGTTTGATGCCTCCATTGTTACTACACAGCGGGCAATGGCGTCTTTGATGTTTCAGCTCGAAATGACTGTAATGATGCATACCAGATGTCAAATACATTGTTTTGTAATCAATCATTTCCAGGGCTACATGTTTCGCAATGCCGAGTACAGGCTAAGCTTGCAGAAGTCTCTTTTGGAAGCGCTTCCGCCATCCATTGAGGAGGCAACTTGAAGAAATGAATGATAGTGGCTTCGTTGCTTACAATCAATTTAGGAGAAAACGCCATCACCGAGTGTAAAGGGCAAAATTACTGTGACCATGCCAGATGGAAAAGAAATAGAGGTGAAACTGATTTCACTGATCGATTGTTTGAGTATGCGTTCCCATTCATGTCTAAATTTCATTCTTTCTAGGTTGATGCCAATGCATATGTCTCAGAGCTTTCAAGAGAGGTAAAACAATTGAAATCAGAACTACTGAGCCTCCAAAAGGTCAGTTGCTTTTAGAATAATCTGATGCCAAGACTGATTGATTTGACAGCAAAATGACATGGATGAAGTACAAGATATATTGGGATTTGTTCAGGTTCCAAATGATTTATCAAAGCTGGACTGAGCTCATTATGCTATCAGCGCCTAGACAACAAGGAGATGCAGTCGCTTACCTCGAGTGTAAGGTGCGGCAAAAGTCGATTGCCGTCAGTTCGACGCCTTGTGATGTAGAAATCGTTTTAGCCCTGAGGTATTGGACGCAATGAGGAAGCTGGTGGACACCGTCATCAAAGGGATGGGCGCTGATCCTTCTCTGATGAAGTGAGCAAATCTGTCTTGACTGAGATCATCGTGACTCCTCGTCCAGCGAGGGTATTGAAATCATCACTGAGGTCCCAGCAAGCACTCTTGCCCAGCTGTGCATGTGGCAGGTAAACCCCTTGAAGCAAAGGTCGTGCCTTTTCTGACAAGCTTCCCAAACAACCACAGCTCGTGGTTGGATACAACTTGAGGGAAATGGAAGCTCGGGAAGAACTGAACAAGCGTCTTCCTGGTAAAGAGTGAAGAAAAAGAAACATGTCAAATTACGTCCTAGCGAACCAGCGATGTTGATTCTTTCTTCTATTCTTTATTAGACCTAATAATAGAGGAATGCATTTTAGGCGTCAACCAACAGCATTGCAGCGCAAAGTTGATGCAAACATTGCAGACGAGCGAGAGATTCTAAAAAACATTATCCTGCGATGTCTTGGTCTGACCATTAAACATGATGTTCGGGTTCCGGATGATATCACCCATGCTAACCACCTGGCAGGACGCTAAGAACAGCAAGCTTTCATATCTGTCTCACCCTCGGGCTGTCTGCGCTGCTGTCGTACATCGCATGTCTTCGAAGACGTTGAGCTTTCGTTTCAAGCTCGCGAATGACCAAAGGAGAGCTGGAAAGGATCTGCACCCGGCGAGCTGGATGCAAGCGGCGCGCTGCTGGGACTCGTCTCTGTACAATGATGAGATTGAGAACAATGTGTGCTTAATGATCACATGAAATGAAGGAGGGAACACAACCTCCTCTGCTTCTACTTTGCCACCAAAGCCAGAACGGATGGTGATCACAGCTGGATGAAAGCGATTACGAACAAACAACACAATGAGCCACACTCATGGAGTACAAATAGTGGGGGAAAAAATACCTAAAGCAGCAATCGTGCAGACCAGAATCCCGGCAACGAGCATGGCAGTGGCCCTGCTCTTGATAGCACGCTTTGCTTCACAAGGGAATGATCCATCTGCAAAAAAAATCAACAATCGGCCTCCGAGCAAAACACTAGATTGATTTGCTTCAGTGGAAGCATCAGGGAGGACATCAAAGACGCCGAGAGCTTCCTAACCAGTAACCAGAGGGGAGGTATTTTTATCGCGTTCAAAGAGAAGCTTCTCGAATATGAGCACAAAGTAGAAGACCATGAAGACAAGAAGCAGAGGGAAAGAAAAAGGAGGACAAGCAGGAAGATTAGAAGGGGAGCACAAGTAGGAAGATTAGAAGGTGAGCACAAGTAGGAAGATTAGAAGGGAAGCACAAGTAGGAAGATTAGAAGGGGAGCACAAGTAGGAAGATTAGAAGGAGAGCACAAGTAGGAAGATTAGAAGGGGAGCACAAGCAGGAAGATTAGAAGGGGAGCACAAGTAGGAAGATTAGAAGGGGAGGAAGAGAGAGGAAGATTAGAAGGGGAGGGAGAGAGAGGAAGATTAGAAGGAGAGGAAGAGAGAGGAAAATTAGAAGGGGAGGAAGAGAGAGGAAGATTAGAAGGGGAGGAAGAGAGAGGAAGATTAGAAGGGGAGGGAGAGAGAGGAAGATTAGAAGGGGAGACCAAGTAGGAAGATTAGAAGGGGAGGGAGAGAGAGGAAGATTAGAAGGGGAGGAAGAGAGAGGAAGATTAGAAGGGGAGGGAGAGAGAGGAAGATTAGAAGGGGAGGAAGAGAGAGGAAGATTAGAAGGGGAGCACAAGTAGGAAGATTAGAAGGGGAGGGAGAGAGAGGAAGATTAGAAGGAGAGGAAGAGAGAGGAAGATTAGAAGGGGAGGAAGAGAGAGGAAGATTAGAAGGGGAGGAAGAGAGAGGAAGATTAGAAGGGGAGCACAAGATAGGAAGATTAGAAGGGGAGCACAAGTAGGAAGATTAGAAGGGGAGGAAGAGAGAGGAAGATTAGAAGGGGAGGGAGAGAGAGGAAGATTAGAAGGAGAGGAAGAGAGAGGAAGATTAGAAGGGGAGGAAGAGAGAGGAAGATTAGAAGGGGAGGAAGAGAGAGGAAGGGAGGGTCGGGCGCTTTTTGCTCACAGGATAGTAGCATTGCCATGTTCCCAAGGGCCAGTCTGAATTTTCACTCAAACGAGAAAAATGTAACTTCACAAGCCTGCCTATCAATTTATACTAGAAATTATTGAGGACATCAATTGACATTTACTTGGAATACATCACTTTCAGGTATTGCTGCTGGTATTGCTGTGTTAGGTTCATACGTGAGGCAGGCTTGGCACAAGATTTTACATTGCGATGGCGTGGAAGTGAAGCAAGATCCCGTGACAGCTTGATTGACGTCCCGCTAGTCCTTACTCTCCTCCTCCTCCTCCTCCTCCTCCTCCTCCCATCATCACCGCCACAACCACTAATATTACTACCCCCACCCCATTCAGTCAGATTTCGCACACCAGGCAGCTCATGGCAGTCTGGGTTGGATAATCTCTTTGACCTCTGCAGAGTGGTGGAGAGACGCGATGAGATGAAGCTTTAGGGCTACCGGCGGTCGGCCGTTGAAGATCTTTCGTCTCAGATGTTTGGGAACCGTTGTTTGGTGGCGGTGGTAGCCACGTTCTGTGCGGTTGCATTGTACTTTTACTTTCGTGAGGTTTTGTTGCCATGTGTTGCGATTGGTTCTCACTCGTATGCTGAAGGATGAGACAGAGTCCGACATTGTCGATGAAAACCGGTTGATGTGGAAAATTGCCAACAAGGAGCAGAAGAAAGGTGGGGCTGAGCTCAGTAAGACGGGAACGCCGTCATCTTTGCCAGGCAGGAAAGGATACCAAGGAGAACACGTTGCAGCGGTATCGTATCAACTTAATCATCGCTGTTGTTGCTAAGGATGTGACTGGCATTGCAGGTGAAGCCTCGGGGCCCGCCTGTGATTGTCTCGGGACGAAATGATACCCTGCAGAAGAAAACAAGTGAAATACTACATGACCCCCGTGCCGTGTTCAAGAGTAACATGAACAAGACCATAGTGAAGAAAATGGTGAAGGAGGTTTACGATGCCCGTCTGAATCACATCGAGACTGCAATCAAGAATCTTGACATGAACGAAAGCACAATAATGCAGAAGATGGCGGCATTGCAAAGGTTGAATCATGAAGCGGGATCGAACGTTGCAGATGTTGGCAAGGTTTGATTTCTTGCTTTGATGTTGAAAGTGCCATGTGTTTCTCACATGGCATCAGTTGAAAGAGCAACTCAATCGTGTAAGTAAGATTGTTGAGGTCCTCCTCGCAAGGCTGAGTGCCGTTAACGCGACTAGAGGTGAGTTGAGAAAAAGTCTCCAGTCTGACGTATGACGGTGATGATGAAAACGTGCTTGGCATGCAGAGGAGGGTGGCGAAGGTAGCATTGATGATGATGATGAGGATGAGGATGATGATGATGATGATGATGATGATGATGATGATGATGATGATGATGATGATGATGATGATGATGATGATGATGATGATGATGATGATGATGATGATGATGATGATGATGATGATGATGATGATGATGATGATGATGGAGATGATGATGATGATGATGATGATGATGATGATCGAGATGATGATGACTGGGATTCCAATGACCATGACGACGACAATGTCGATGACGATGTTTCTTATAGTTGCCAAAGGGAAAAAGTTCGAGTAGAATCTATCAAGCCAAGGCCGATGGTCGTTTCCCCTCCCAGCGGATCTGAACGATCACCACCTCCACCTCCACTACCACCACCTCCTCCACCACCACCTCCACCACCGCCACCTGCTCCTCCTCCTTCCCAACCAACGAGTGTTATCAAAGAGGAGGGCAGCAAGGCAGCGGCGCAGAACTCAACAGCCTCTCCTGCTGAGGGAGCAGCTCGTGTGCGGGTGGGAAAAGATTCTTCGGCGAGCACGGGAGTGCGTGTTGTCCGCCCTGGCGACACTCTGGAACGAATAGCTGTAGCTTCCAACACCTCCGTTCGGTATCTCCAGAACATCAACGGGTTTGCAGTTTGTGGGGAGATGTAGCATTCTCATTGACGTGTTCAGGATCAAAGATCCAAACCTCATTGTTGTTGGACAGCCGATCGTGACTGACATCGACAAACTAAACAAACAATCACTCCCGCTCCTTCCTTCGACGATGAAGCATACAGTCAAGGTGCACTTGACTTCTCCAATCACACAGTGCTCCTCCTTCCGCTTCTCTCACCTGCCTCCTTGTTGTCTGGCCTCCTCCTTCGATGTGCTCATTTTCGCTCTTTCTGCTCTGCTCTGCTCTGCTCTGCTCTGCTCTGCTCTGCTCTGCTCTGCTCTGCTCTGCTCTGCTCTGCTCTGCTCTGCTCTGCTCTGCTCTGCTCTGCTCTGCTCTGCTCTGCTCTGCTCTGCTCTGCTCTGCTCTTGATCTGATCTGATTTGCTCTATCATCAATCCTCTCCTCTCACTGGTCTCGTGGTTTTCTCGTCAAGTCGGCGCTAATTCTGAATCGGCAGGAGGGCGAATCTCTTGCTGTCATTGCGGACACTTACAACAGGACTATCGACGAGGTTCCTCCTCTTCTTCTCCTCCATCTTCACTTCAACCCCCCCTCCTCTGAACTTCTTCTGTCCGCACGAAGAGATTGATGCGCACTTTGCAGCTCATGTGGTTCAACAGAGGTCTCCTCCTTAGCCCAGAGTTGGTGTATGCTGGGGAGGACATTCTAATCCCTCCTTTCGAGGTTCTTTCCTGTGCGACGCTGACGTTGCTGACAACGTGCTTGACAGTCTCTAGTCCTCCGCACTCGTGCTCGCAACGCAAGCGGCGCCTTCCACTGGAAGACACCTGACCCAGGTAAGGCAAGTAAATACTGTCCAGGCTCATGGTGGCTTCGCAGGTTTACAAGCAGCTGAGGCCGAGCAAAAGAGAAGTTGGGGAACAAAGAATCGCTCGCTCGTTTCGCAACGTGAGGACCGGCAGCAGCAGCAGCAGCAGCAGCAGGTGAAGCAGTGGGGGAACGCAGGGGATTTCTCCCACGTGCATCAGAGTCCTCACAAGCGTTTGGGTTTGATCGCCTCCTCTTCATCTCCCGTCCAAAGCCAGATGGGGTGACCGTGACACGCGTCGGTTGTTGTGCTATGGTGACCGATGCATGCAGGAGAACGAGCATGTCGAAGCCCCAGGATCAAGCGCTTGTGAGTCTTAGCGACTGTCTTGTCTCCTCGCTCATTCTTGTCGTTCGTCTAGTTGCAGAGCCTTCGCCCTGCTCGCTCGCAGAGCTCTACCGTGGTGTCCCGTCAGCCGCAGGCTTGGCGCAAGCCCAATGCTGATGGAAGGAAATCGGCCGCAGTTGAAGTTCTTGGAGGAAAGGCCCTGTACAAAGGGGGAGGGGTTTACCTCGATCCCATCACTAACGGTAGATGTCACACGTTCAACTTGGCGTTCAGATTAACTCGTATGATAGAACGGTTTCACGTGGATGAAGAGAAACAAGCCAGGTGAGGAGAGGAGTGAAGTGTCAGGATTGTTGATTCAGAATCAGAGTTTATCATCTCAAATCAGACCGGAACAAGCATCGATAGCATTGATATGTAAAGAAATGTAAATCTTTTGCAGTATACAAAATATCTATGAGAACTTTGTAGATTTATTACCAATAGAAGGGTTTTTTCGTTCTAAAAGACTTGATTGCTATCGACAACGCAATGCAACATCGCTAGGGTACAGTTGATATCTTACACAAGCTGGCTCTTCAAAAATTCACCAGCCTGCATCGATGTCATCCACCATCGGCCAAGGTGCATCATCCAGAGTGTCCAAGAGCAATCCATCCTTGCTGTGCGAGTGAGAACCACAGATAAGAGCCGTGAGCTCCTCGTGGGCATCGTATGCCGCTGGACCCAAATCGAGCGGCGACCCAACGAAATCCTCGCAAATGCTGGCGACTCCCTCCGGAGAAGGGAAACCACTAGACATACCGTCCGAAGGATCCTCAAGATGCTCCTGATGAATCCACTTCGCTCCCTTCAGCTCGTCCACAAGTGCCACCGGTCTCAAGGCAGAGTCCACTGCCTCCTCGACATCAAGTGACGCATACACAAGATCGTGTTCGATCCCTCGATGATCAAGCGAGTCCAAGCAGGTGAGAGGATCCAAGTTGTGGGACTCCCGCAGGCGTTCTTGCTTCACTTCATCCAGTGAAGCCAGCGGATCCCACGATCGAACTGGAAGCGAAGGATGGGAAGGATCGTGGACGTTCACCACTCGAAGTCTGCGAGTAGTCACCGCATCAACCTCATTGAAGAGGAATGAACGATCCGCAGACAGATCTCGCCCTCGCTTTCCAAGCACTGTTGGCGTTGGACTGTACACGTATGACGGAATCAAAGACTCGACATCACCGTGGGAGGCATGAATGTGTTTCCTTGAGCTAACTGACATCATCTTGGGTGTTCTGAGGGGTACAGAGCTGATATCCTGGGTTGCACTTTCCACGCTCAAATGGTTGAGTTCGTGCTCATGCTTTGCACTCTCAATCCTTGAAGCATGGAGAGGTACACAGCTGTCCAAAGATCCTTCCGCAAATTGAGGCGAGGACTTGCCGTGGAGCGCATGTGCAATCTGCACTTTGCGAACCTGAAAAAGGGAGCGTTAGAAACAAATCTGTACTGCGGATGGTTCTCTCACCTCAGGTGGCTTGACTTGTGCTAGAAACTCTTGATCGGGAAGACCGATCTGATTCCTTGGCCTAAACCTCGTTCCCGTTCGTGCCCATTTATCTCCTTGTTCGAGGATGAAGAAATTGTACATCCTGCTGAATGGCCTTTCCGTACCATTAGACTTGACTTTGTTCCTAACCTTCCTCAATTCATTGAATCTGTGAAATCATGTCAGACAAAGAGAAACCTGAACACAATTGACTGACCTGCGCTCGAAATTTTCCCCGTGCATCACTTCGTAGACTCCGTCTCTGGCATCCCAGCGCAAGACAGTGGGATCCTTGAGAAGCTCACGCACCACGTCTGGCAATGCAAGTCCTCCCATCTTGGCGGGCTCTTCTTTCTTGGTGACTGGAGTTGTCGATGGCATAGTAGCTATGGCACACCTTGCAATAGATTCTGTGGACGCACGCTCGAGTGAATCCTCCCTTCCTGGAACTGTGTAGCTGCTTTCTCTTGGAGCTAATGCAGTCAGCAGATTATGCATTCCACTGCCCCTCAGGCGAAGAGTGTGTTTCAGCCGCGAAGTGGCTTGCAAGCTTTGTTTCAGGTAGATCTGACGGGCTTCGGAGAGGGTAACAAAGTGATGCTCAGGCAGCAATACAGAAGGATAAGGTCGCAAGGAGGTAAGGTGAGGTGGCACGGAGGGTGGAGTCAAGGCTGGAGGAAGAGAGGGAAGGGCGTGCTAGTGCTAGGCAGATGATAAAGGGCTCCGTGCCAAGGGAGGGGGGCGGGGACAAGCCAGTCAGGAGGAGGAGGAGGAATTTAGCTACAGAATGGGTCGAGGGGGTAGGGGTTGGTGAGGGTTAACTATGACTGGGTGACTTCTGGTACGGGGTACTACTAGTACGGGTGATGGACATTTCTGCTGAAAATAAGGGGTGAGCACTTGCAGAAGGAAGAAGGTACCCTACCATGGCAGTCGTTTACAGTGAAAGGGCAAAGCATAGAAAAAGAAGGGGTGCAAGAAGGGACCCGTTCTCAAAGTATTCTGAATTGAGGGGGTGGGGGTAGACCAAACCCGTTCAAAGTTCTGAGGAACGGGTCCATTCCATGGAATTTACATTCTGCCCGCGATGTGACTGTGACACCCCCACCCCCTCATAATCATTCTCTCCAAGAGCCATGACATTCGGACTGAGGGTAGTGATTTTTGAAGGGTGGGTCACTTCGAGATGGGTTGGAACCCCTCCTTTTTGGGCAACTGTTTTCCTCAGCCCCGACCCCGACCCCACTGAATTCAAATTGAACCCCCACCCCCTTTTAAATCATGGAAGGCCACTTGTCAGTGGTCATATCGAAAAAGATAGTTTTAAACTTAAAATAATGTTAATAGAATATGTTTGTAAAATACAATGGCGCTACCCATCGATGTTGAATATTGTTTTAAAAAAAATTGCAAATCGGGAGGCACCCCCACCCTATGTTCGCGATTCGAATACTTGACTACCCCACTAAACACAGATAAAACAAGGGGAAAAAGGGGACGGTATTTCAGATCCTAAAGGGATGCTACCCCTAGTTTCCCAATGTGCCCCAACAGTACCAGTACTGTGAGAGGGTGTACCCCGGTATTTCATGATATATTCCTGGAGTACTGTCTGGTGGGTGGTAAAGGAAACTTTACAAGTCGCAGAGAGCTCCCGTTTGTACCGAGATCGAGCCTACTGGTACTGATTTGGACAGACTGTGCCAATGCCGTATGAGAACATAGAGTGATAATTGTACTGAAATCGGCACAAACAATCAAAAGTACATCTTTTTCAGCACTCGGGGGGTGTTAATGGTAGTGTAGTTCTAATCTCTCTTGTACCAATATATACATAATTACTTACACATTTGTTATGAAAGGTAGACCAATTCATACAAGTCTTTTCTATTTTTGGTACTATTTTAATGCCCGAAAATACTTGCGACCCCAAGCCACAGGGGTCCTGTCAGGGTAAGTTTACTGCAGAATGTGTTCATCAAAAATCTCAGGTAGGGTAGTGTAAGCAAGACGGGGACTCGGGGGAACAGTTGCGGTGTTGTAGCCGGAAATACCTTGAAACCTCAATCTTTCAATGTTATGCTGATACAATAGTTTTTAATGTGCCGGGCAGCCCCTTATCGGCCTCGAGAAAGAGAGCCCTTCACAACAGAGGGGTAGGGTCCAAATAATGAGGAAAAGACGGGTTGTGTGAGGTGGTCAGGCGGTCGGGTCTTATCCTGGTGGCCCCAGATGCTCGTAGATTCAAAAGGAGATATTTTCATCCTTTTACACATTCAGATTAAGGCCTCCCCAGTGAAGTCCAAATTTTGCCCAAAGGTTCTTTTTTATTTCACAATTTTCTCTGAAAATAGGGGCACGAATTTGATACTTTGAAGACAGGATCAGTGGCCTTAAACTGAAATTGAAAGTTGGCTTGTGATCATGGAGAGGGGGCACTTTTATAACAATGAGAGTTAACGGTCAACGAAAAACAGTCCGCCTCAGCATGATGCTGAAAGGCACCATTCAGGTATTATTCTTCTCTTATGAATTATTCTCTGCCCCACCAATCATTGGCCAACTCCCCGCTCAGGCCATTTCGTTCCCCAACTTGACGCCTGGAGTTAACCGTCGTGAGCTCCGAGGCCGCGCCCCCTGGCAATTTGTATCTCTCCACGCTTGCCTGGAGCCGTGGACGGTCACAGGTCACAGGTGACTCGGATCTCAAGGGTATGGTATCTAAGTTACCCGCCGGCGGCCCAGTGGCCGCGGCCCAGACTCCCGCCGGGCCCAAGTCTCCCCGGGCCGGCCAGGGGCCCAGGCCGCGCCCGCGGCTGCCGCCGCGTGCCCGGCCGGCCCGGCGGGGGCCGGGGGGGGCCGGGGGGCCCGGGGGGGGGAGGGGGTCCGATCCTATCTCTCATGTCCCGGTGATTATTTTGGCCGGTGCCAATGTCGGGGGCACCATACTGTTCAAACTCCCAACTCCGAACCGGGTATCGGGTCGGTCAACAGATCGGAGATGGGACGCCGGGACTGTACTGTATTTCGTGATCTGTGTTCCAAC